TGTGGGGGGGAGATATCGAGTGCGGGGGGGGAGATATCGAGTGTGGGGGGAGATATCGAGTGTGGGGGGGGGAGATATCGAGTGGGGGGGAGATATCGAGTGGGGGGGGGAGATATCGAGTGTGTGGAGGGAGATATCGAGTGTGTGGAGGGAGATATCGAGTGTGTGGAGGGAGATATCGAGTGTGTGGAGGGAGATATCGAGTGTGGGGGGAGATATCGAGTGTGGGGGGAGATATCGAGTGTGGGGGGAGATATCGAGTGTGGGGGGAGATATCGAGTGTGGGGGGAGATATCGAGTGTGGGGGGAGATATTGAGTGTGGGGGGAGATATCGAGTGTGGGGGGAGATATCGAGTGTGGGGGGAGATATCGAGTGTGGGGGGAGATATCGAGTGTGTGGGGGGAGATATCGAGTGTGGGGGGAGATATCGAGTGTGGGGGATGTTGAATTGGGGGGGAGATGTTGAATTGGGGGGGGAGATGTTGAATTGGGGGGGAGATGTTGAATTGGGGGGGGAGATGTTGAATTGGGGGGGGAGATGTTGAATTGGGGGGGGAGATGTTGAATTGGGGGAAGATGTTGAGGAAGGGGGGGGGAAGATGTTGAGGAAGGGGGAGGGGAAGATGTTAAGGAAGGGGGGGAAGATGTTGAGGAAGGGGGGGGGGAAGATGTTGAGGAAGGGGGGGGAAGATGTTGAGGAAGGGGGGGGGAAGATGTTGAGGAAGGGGGGGGGAGATGTCGAGGAAGGGGGGGGAGATGTCGAGGAAGGGGGGGGAGATGTTGAGGAAGGGGGGGGAGATGTTGAGGAAGGGGGGGAAGATGTTGAGGAAGGGGGGGGGGGAAGATGTTGAGGAAGGGGGGGGGGGAAGATGTTGAGGAAGGGGGGGGGAAGATGTTGAGGAAGGGGGGGGAAGATGTTGAGGAAGGGGGGGGGAAGATGTTGAGGAAGGGGGGGGGAAGATGTTGAGGAAGGGGGGGGGAAGATGTTGAGGAAGGGGGGGGGAGATGTTGAGGAAGGGGGGGGGGGGAGATGTTGAGGAAGGGGGGGGGGGAGATGTTGAGTAAGGTTGGGGAAGATGTTGAGTAAGGTTGGGGAAGATGTTGAGTAAGGTTGGGGAAGATGTTGAGTAAGGTTGGGGAAGATGTTGAGTAAGGTTGGGGAAGATGTTGAGTAAGGTTGGGGAAGATGTTGAGTAAGGTTGGGAAGATGTTGAGTACAGGGGAGGGGTTGTGGCATAAAAGAGGGGATATGGATAGGGGAAATGGTGGGTATGGGGTGTTGGAGAGGGGGTGTTGGAGAGCGGGTATGGGGTGTTGGAGAGGGGGTATGGGGTGTTGGAGAGGGGGGAATGGGGTGTTGGAGAGGGGGGTATGGGGTGTTGGAGAGGGGGGTATGGGGTGTTGGAGAGGGGGTATGGGGTGTTGGAGAGGGGGGTATGGGGTGTTGGAGAGGGGGGTATGGGGTGTTGGAGAGGGGGGTGAATTCTACTTACATAGGTGGTTTGAGTGTGTTTCTTAATTCTTGTAAACAAAATAATTCACAGAATTCTTCACACTGCTCACAAATACAAAATATGCTCAGGTATCTATCATATGTTCTACATTTAAAAAAAAAGTTAGTTTTATCCTTTTTAAAGAAAAGGATAAAAGAACTAAAATTACACATGGTATGATGACACAATATAGTGTGCATAATGAATGATGTGTATTTGCACAGTCATTCCAGTATTTGCACAATCAATCTGGTATTTGTACAATCAATCAGGTATTTGTACAGTCAATCAGATATTTGTACAATCAATTAGGTATTTGCACAATCAATCAGGTATTTGTACAGTCAATCAAGTATTTGTACAATCAATCAGGTATTTGTAGTCAATCAGGTATTTGTACAATCAATTAGGTATTTGCACAATCAATCAGGTATTTGTACAGTCAATCAGGTATTTGTACAATCATTCAGGTATTTGCACAATCAGGTATTTGTACAGTCAATCAGGTATTTGCACAATCTGGTATTTGTACAGTCAATCAGGTATTTGTACAATCAATCAGGTATTTGCAAAATCAATCAGGTATTTGCAGTCAATCAGGTGTTTGTACAATCAATCAGGTATTTGCACAATCAGGTATTTGCACAGTCAATCAGGTATTTGTACAGTCAATCAGGTACTTGCACAATCAATCAGGTATTTGTACAGTCAATCAGGTATTTGCACAATCAATCAGGTATTTGTACAGTCAATCATGTATTTGCACAATCAATCAGGTATTTGTACAGTCAATCACATATTTGCACAATCAGGTATTTGTACAGTCTATTAGGTATTTGCACAATCAATCAGGTATTTGCACAGTCAATCAGGTATTTGCACATTCAATCAGGTATTTGTAAAATAAATCAGGTATTTGCACATTCAATCAGGTATTTGTAAAATAAATCAGGTATTTGTAAAATTAATCAGGTATTTGTACAGTCAATCAGGTATTTGTACAATCAGGTATTTGTACAATCAGGTATTTGTACAGTCAATCAGGTATTTGTACAATCAGGTATTTGTACAGTCAATCAGGTATTTGTACAGTCAATCAGGTATTTGCACAGTCAATCAGGTATTTGCACAATCAGGTATTTGTACAATCAATCGGGTATTTGTACAGTCAATTGGGTATTTGTACAGTCAATCAGGTATTTGTACAGTCAATCAGGTATTTGTACAGTCAATCAGGTATTTGTACAGTCAATCAGGTATTTGTACAATCAATCAGGTATTTGTACAATCAATCAGGTATTTGCACAATCAGGTATTTGTACAATCAGGTATTTGTAGAATCAATCAGGTATTTGTACAGTCAATCAGGTATTTGTACAATCAATCAGGTATTTGTACAGTCAATCAGGTATTTGTACAGTCAATCAGGCATTTGTACAGTCAATCAGGTATTTGTACAATCAGGTATTTGTACAACCAATCAGGTATTTGTACAACCAATCAGGTATTTGTACAACCAATCAGGTATTTGTACAACCAATCAGGTATTTGTACAACCAATCAGGTATTTGCACAATCAATCAGGTATTTGTAGTCAATCAGGTATTTGCACAATCAATCAGGTATTTGTAGTCAATCAGGTATTTGTACAACCAATCAGGTATTTGTACAATCAATCAGGTATTTGTACAATCAATCAGGTATTTGTACAGTCAATCAGGTATTTGTACAGTCAATCAGGTATTTGTACAATCAATCAGGTATTTGTACAATCAGGAATTTGTACAACCAATCAGGTATTTGTACAACCAATCAGGAATTTGTACAACCAATCAGGTATTTGTACAACCAATCAGGTATTTGTACAACCAATCAGGTATTTGTACAACCAATCAGGTATTTGCACAATCAATCAGGTATTTGTACAATCAGGTATTTGCACAATCAGGTATTTGTACAATCAATCAGGTATTTGCACAATCAATCAGGTATTTGCACAGTCAATCAGGTATTTGAAGTCATTCAGGTATTTGTACAATCAATCAGGTATTTGCACAATCAGGTATTTGTACATTCATTCAGGTATTTGTACAATCAGATATTTGCACAATCAATCAGGTATTTGCACAATCAATCAGGTATTTGCACAATCAATCAGGTATTTGCACAATCATGTATTTGTATAATCAATCTGGTATTTGTACAGCTAATCAGGTATTTGTACAATCAATCAGGTATTTGTACAGCCATTCAGGTATTTGTACGGTCAATCAGGTATTTGTACAATCAATCAGGTATTTGTACAATTAATCAGGTATTTGTACAGTCAATCAGGTATTTGTACAATCAGGTATTTGCACAATCAATCAGGTATTTGCACAATCAATCTGGTATTTGTACAATTAGGTATTTGTACAGTCAATCAGGTATTTGTAATCATTCAGGTATTTGTAGTCATTCAGGTATTTGTACAATCAGGTATTTGTACAGTCAATCAGGTATTTGTAATCATTCAGGTATTTGTAGTCATTCAGGTATTTGTACAATCAGGTATTTGTACAGTCAATCAGGTATCTGTACAGTCAATCAGGTATTTGTACAGTCAATCAGGTATCTGTACAGTCAATCAGGTATTTGCACAATCAGGTATTTGTACAACCAATCAGGTATTTGCACAACAAAACAGGTATTTGCACAATCAGGTATTGGCACATATTTAGACCAACATGTTTACACAAGTACATGTTTACTTTTACAAATCTTCGCAGGTGCATGTGTTTGCATGCATCTTCACACGTGTTTTCACACCCGCGCACATGTGTTTGCACGTGCATGTGTTTGGCCGCGCCTGTGTGTGCATGAGAAGGCACAAGCAGGAAGCGTTGAGCCTCCACACTGATGCAACACAACAAGCTAGACGGCAGGAATAAAAACACGGGCCAGGAATGAGGGAGAGGGAGGGAATGAGGGAGATAGAGAGGGAGAGAAGGGAGATAGAGAGGGAGGGAGATAGTGAGGGAGAGAGAGAGGGGGCGAGGGAGGGCTGGAGTACTCCACATCGCCACTTACATACCTAACATTCCTGGACCAAGAACCAGGGGTCGCGCATACCACAGGCGTATGGAGCCATTTCCTCACAGCCCCCCACCTCCACACACGCCCTGCCTCGCCCCACACACGCCCAAAACACCGCCCACAACACTGCCACGCCCGCCCACACGCCCAATACCAGAGAAATACACCAGCAAAATATAGTGGCGGGTCACACACATACGGACACGGGGAAGGGGGTGGGGGAGGGGGAGATCTCGGAACAAAAAAGGAGGCCAGATTAAACTTTTCGTATGCTAGCTAGGTTTTAGGCCTAGGCCAGGCCGTGTTTCACTCTGCTGTCACTGTATGCACTCTGCCGTCCACCGTGAGCGTCCAAAGGCACCCAAACACCCGGATACTATTTCAAAAGCACGATTTTGTTGGAGTCAACATAGGCGCTAATTCAGCCTACCTGTCTCTTGGGTCAATCCATGTGGTTTTCTTGTTGTTGTGATCGATGAAATATATTTTCCCGTCATAATCATGCCCAATTTCCCATCCAGAAGGTAATGGTAACTCTCCATTTCGTCTTCTAGGCATGTTTTAAGTGAAAAACACAGATAAATTCACATCACTACCGTCGGCTGTCCTCCATATTGAGACTTCTAATGACGTCGAGGCTTCTTAACCAATCACGACGGAGTAACCCCAAGGAGCGAATCAGCGAGCCGCATACCACAAACTAGTGATGTTTTCATGACGCAACAGTGACGGCATGGAGCCTCCACCTATCACGAGCTAGACACCCCTGGGAACCAATCAAATCCCTGCATTCCAGAGGTGCAATCAACGAAAATGCTCTGTATGCCACCATGCCACAAGGATTAGATTTGGATATACGCATATCTGTGTTTATTTGACGGGATATTTGACTCTAGCTACGCACGTTTCACTACGCGCGTAGAGCGTGTCCTTGATGACAACAATGCCTCCCTCTCCAAACCTGCGTTAAACACCTCCGGCAGAGTACCATACGCCCATTGATGACCCGCGGCCAACATGTGCACACTGTGTGTGTAAATATGCGGTCAATGTGGGTCAAGGGTAATCCAATCTTTAGATTCTGGGATATCAGTGCGAGAGTGTAAACACCTAAGTCTGTGGAATGCTGATTAGCGTGGCACCGCCACCAGGGTCACGTGCTGGGGGCCCACCCGCTCTTCCACACTCCCACAGGTATTTCACACTTTATATTACTAATTACACATCATTCACGCTTAACATTTTTACTCAATGGGTTAAGAATTTCATAAAATTTTAAAAATTATTTGTAAACCAATCCAGGTATTATAATTTCTGAGTTCTATTGGAAGCATAATTGTGTATAACCTTTGCTCAATTCTCGATCAAATCCCTTAAATCCTCTCTAACAATAATAATAATAATAATTATTATTATTATTATATTATTATTATTATTATTATTATTATTATTATTATTATTATTATTATTTATTTGCAAAAAGGTACAATGGGTTGGTGAGATTACATAAGCTTGGTATTTTTACACTCATACAGTCACTAACACACATAGCTCTTTGGGCAGGTCCTTAATCTAACATATCAGGTAAGATGAAAGGTACACTGTAGCAAGGTTTTTATATCAACGGATAACTACAACCCAAGTTGGCAGAGGTAATTAAACTAGTAAGGCTATATGTCTTAAGTACTATTATTAGGGAAGTGGGTAGTACAAGATACAGTGTGAGTTTGAAGCACAAGGGTAGGAAACTATGAGGATGAAATTAGCTATTGGAGCTATGAGGATGAATATAATTATAATTATTGGAACTAGTTATAGATTTCCCAATACTAATACAACTGCATTTTCAAATAATCTGAGGAATCTAATCATAAACTATAATGTACCTTTCGATAATTCTCAAATTTTACTATAATGTACCTACTAATTTTCTTCAAATTTTCTTACAATGTACCTGTTAAAAAAAATTTGTTTGCTAGAAATTACCTACTTATAATTATCTTAGATTAAGAACCTGTCCGAAACACTATGCGTGTTAGTGGCTTTACAAGAATGTCAAAACATCAATGATATGTACTCTCATAAACCCAATGTCCCTTCTTGTATATAAATAAATAATTAAACAACAAACTAAAAAAAATCACATCATCCTAGCAGATAACTTCAACATTGACCTTTGTCAACAAAATAGCCCCGAGTCCTAAACAGCATGAACTCCTGTATGCAAACCCCCATAATCTCCAAGCCCACCCGAATCACTCAAACACATATGGACTAACATAACAGCGCCCTTTGCTTTTGGTATAATCGCTGACAGAACAACCGACCACTATTCTCACTACCTTCCTCATAGCAAACATGGACATAACACCTTCGGATACCAAGAAAATTGCCTTCAGACTATACAGCAAAACGGCAATAGGCAATCTCATAAATGCACTTCTCAATATAAACTTGGTATCGGAATTTAATAATCAGGATATAAGTTCATTAGCCGACATCGTCCTCTCCAAAACTCTAAGCCTCTACAACACACACTGTCCTCTCCTTACCATGCAAGTAACTGCCAAAAGATTAAATAACCCCTGGCTCACACGTGGCATACTTAAAGCAATGAACAAAAAACACGACTATGAAAAAATAGGATTGGTCTAGTTATAAGAGATACTTGGTCTAAGTATCAGAGTTAGTATTAGTATTATCAGAGTATTAGACCAAGAGTTATTGGTCTAGTTATAAGAGTTAGGAGATACTCATCAATGCTTACCAGAATAATAAGAAGAGTCAAACTTTAATATATGATAGTAGATATTACGAAGCAAAAGGAAATATTAAAAGCACATGGAAGGCCTCTCTAACATCCGAGGATTTACCAACAATCAGGTAAAAAGACTTGAGAATGTACTTGAGAATGGTCCAGGACGGACTGAAACGTTGTCGTCCCTTCACCTTCTAGTGTGTGGTTTGGTCAACAATCAGGTAAAACTCTCCAAAGATGGTTACACACTTGTAACAGACTTAGAAACGGCAATTGAATTGAATAGCTTCTTTTCATCAAATGATACTAACCCTGCCAAAAAAATCCCAGAGACCCAGACACATGTTATTACATACCTCATCGGCAGCTGTCCTAACACTTTACTACTTTTACCAATCAGCCCGACATAGATTATATCAATAAGTCACTCACTTAAAACCAAAGTTGGGAACACTAGTAAAACTAGCTCAAGGACCTACTCGAAACTATCGTATATAAGAATGCCTCTCATGCCCTTGCACCACCCATAGCTCAGCTATTCAAAAATCTCTAGTGTCACACTTTTCCTGATATCCTTTAAAAAGCAAGATTAACGCCAGTTGACAAAGGAGGCGAGATAGCTAACAAACAGTTACAGACCCATATCAAATCTACCAATACTAACAAAAATATTTATACAAAATTATTTACGAACAGCTCTACACCTATCTACTAAAATGCAACATATTAAGTCCCTACCAGTTTGGCTTCCGTTCCCAAATGCGTACCAATGATGCCATTAATTAATCTGCTTAATATTAATCTACACAGGCCCTTGACAAACATGAGTTCCCAATTAGCCTTTTCATTTACCTGAGAAAGGCCTTTGATACCGTAAACTTTACCTTCCTCTTGAACATCACTATGGAATCCGAGGCCTAACTCTAACTATATTCGATCTTGCCTTAGTGACAGACAGTAATATGTAGCCATCAATGACATAACCTCCCTCACTCTACCATTAACCGTAAGAGTGCCACATGGCATCATCTTATGACCTCTCCTAGTTTGTATAACATCAATGATTGTCCAAGTGTCTTTACCATTCTTAAACCTATACTATTTGCTGACGATACTACCTTTATCAATTCAGACCCCAACCCACACACACACACACTAAATAATATTGTAAATAACAAATTAAAAAAAGTCTACTCGTGAATGTCAACTAACAAACTTACACTAAATATAAAAAAGACCTACTAGATCTTATTTAGAAGCAAATCATCAAACTAAATTCATCTTCAGATAGACAATGTCAACATTAATAGTAAAAATGAGGGGAAGTTCCTTTGCCTATATGCATAGACAATAGACTAAACTTTAGTACTCACGTAAAACACATAGCAAAAAAAAGTATCTAAAACTGTCGGTATACTCTCTAAAATCAGATAGTATCTTCCCCACTCTGTTCTTCTTACACTGTACTACTCGCTAATCTGTCCTTATCTAACATACGGTATCTGTGCATGGGGTTCAACCACTGCAAATTAACTTAAGCTCATCATCACCCAGCAAAACTCTGCTATCAGAACTACAGCAAACTTAGTTTGCTATAGTTCTGATATAGCAAACTATATCAGAACTATATAGTTCTGATATACTGCAGTTTACTATAAAGAAAGAGCACACAGAAGGCTGTGTGTTGTCTGAAGACAACACACAGCCCCTCTGTTTAAATTCCTAAACACGCTAAACATATTCACTCAACACATTCTCGTGCTATTTACACTTAAAAAAAACTTATTCCTTGAATTTAATTCTGATTTAAAACTCTTCATTGACAGGTTTCATAGAACCTATGAGCACCACACCATAAATAAATATATATTCATATTCCTAGAGTCAGACTAAATCTGTGCAAACACTCCATTCAACTAAAAGGACTCAGTCGATGGAACTCACTCCCCAATGAATTAAAAAATAATAATAATTTAATAATTTATTGTGTCAGGGGACAGAAAGCCAGATTATACATACAGTACATGCTAGGCTTATACTGAGGTCACTCCTCCCCCCAAGGCCGAATTACTGACCCCGCCCAGGATGCAAACCCACAACAAGATGACTAACTCCTGGGTACCTACTTACTGCTAAGTGAACAGGAACATTAGGTGATAGAAAATGCGCCCAACCATTTCTGTCCTGCCTGGGATTGTCCAACCTATACTTTATTCAAAAGTAAAACCAAAAAGTACCTAATTTCATCTCATAGTTTCCCACCTTGTACTACCACACTCACCCAATTTAGTACTTAAGACATCCAACTTCATTAATATTCTATCAATATGTAATGTAGTTATTATAGTGAACTCAAATTCTGTTACATTTATGGCTTAGCTCAAGGACCTGGCCGAAACGCTGCGCGTGTTAGGGCTTTGTAAGACTGTTACACTCAGACCCCATTGTATGTACTTTCTCAACCCAATGCATTCCTTCTATATAAATAAATACATAAATAAATAATAAATGTGTGTAGTCAAACCATCTACTTTACAACTTAAAACTAGTGATAGAGGTATTCATTAATATTTAATACATTTAATGGGTAATATGCAAAGAAAGTAGTTTAAATCAGGCACAATACAGTCGACTGCCCCTTAACATCACTTAACTTATAGTAATATTATACGAGTGCTGTGTTTTGTCCAGTAACCTATTAATGGCATAAATTAAATGGCATACGACAGCACAAGTAAATTGTGCAAGTGTCCCCTCTCTAAACATTAAAAAGAAAACAATCCAAAACAAAATAAATATTAAATGATAGACTATAATAGAAGTACCGAAAATCTTATAGTTATGTTTAGCATTAATTAATTCCCGATGTCGGGGATAGGAAACCTACTAACGACCTACAGATCTTTCATAAGATGCAACTCACTGTAGTTGCCTAGGTGGTGAAGGAGAGGGAAGGTGGTGAAGGGTAAGGAAGATAAAGAAGGAAGTGTGTAGATAGGGAACACAGCGATGTCCGGGTAGTGATGGTGGTTATATAAATGACGACTATTTAATGAAGACGGTTAAGGTGATGAGGACGGTTCTGTGTAATGTACATGGTTAGTGCACTCGATACCCTTACTCAAATATCTGAATATGTTAGATATTAAGTCACTGCACATCCTCTCATGTGTACTCTATATATTTAAAACTCAGAATTGTAATGTCAATCCTGACCTTAAAAGCTTCTTAGGAGGTTGTAGCAGAACCCATGGACACCACGACAGAAACAAATACCTATTTGATATTCCAAGAGTACGACTTAATCAAACTAGAAATGCTCTACAAATCAAGGGTCCCAGAATGTGGAATGACCTTCCCAATCATGTCAAAGGCTGTACCTCTCTCAACCAGTTTAAGATGAAAACTAAGTACTGTACTACCTAATTACCTCCATGTAACCTACATTACCCCTAAATGTCAACCCATGTCTTACTATTTTTAAACAATGCTGTTTGTTGATCTTCTTGTATATTGGCTATATTCTACCATGTTCCCTTCCTTTTTTATCTTTTATTTTTTTTCAACGCAATTTATACTTTAAGCTCAATTACTATTAAGTTTTAGTCTAAGTGTTTTTCTCCCACCTCGCCTTGCCCGAAACGCTGTGCGTATTAGTGGCTTTAGGTATTGTATGTACTAGCTCTACCTATAAATTCAACATTATGTTTGTAAATCAACTATGTATGTACTTTCCTGAATAAAATTTACTTTACTTTACTAGTGTTGTAGGGTGTGTGTGTGTAGTGAAGATGGGTAAAGTGATGATTGTTTTTGAACAGTGAAGATGGTTACAGTGAGAAAGATAGCATGCAGTAAAGATGTAGCCTCTCGCCGGAGCAACGCCGCGCACCCCCCTTCTATAGTGTACTATATTATGACTAAGATCTATGTTAGCTTAAGGATAGCATGCTTCAGGTCAATATATATTGCTGTTGTCTTCTTATGGTTTCTTGAGTATATTAAAATTTTGTTGGTAAATCATGATTAGTTGTTAGATCTTAAATTAAAATATGCATACACAGCAATAAGATATTGTGCTGCTTTAATCAATCAGATGCTCTCAGAGGAGAAACAAAAAGTGTAGAGGACTATTTAGGTTCAAGGACTGTTTTTCTGCTCTATTGAATATTATAATGTAAGAAAGCTTGCTCGTTCTTGACGAATTCAGATACAATTCTATAACAAATGTTCCAGAGATGTGTAAATATTTAATTCAAAGTGATCTGCTACCAGAAATTTTAGCCAAATGTCTCCAGTTTGCTAACTGTAGGTAGTAACTAAGTGATTGTAACCTATCCACCGCTGCCCACTGGATGGGGGGCGGTGTACAGGACAAACATATCCATTGTGAAACCAGCTCTCCACGTATGTCAGTTGCTTAATTTAGACACTGTACTTGTGGTCGGTCTCGAGCCCATTGTTGATGTGACGATGTGCATTGAATTTTGTAACTAGCTCATCAAGATTGTAATTTGCTTAGCTAAATGAATTGTGGGGTTCAGCCCCTGAGCCCATTATGTGCCTCTGTAACCATTTTCACTACCGCCCACAAGAAGGGTATGGGGTGCATAATAAATGAACTAAAGTAAAGTAATTATCAAAAGAAAGCACTAAGCCAGTATGACTATGTAACAAACTAAACTAAACTAAACGTCCTTGGTGAAGCTAATTTGTTGAATGCTCGCCTTCATTAAGTTGTTTACGAAGTGTTAGGCATACAAGTCCACTACGGGCTCACCATAGGCCGTGCTACTTGGAACTTTTTGTTCCCAGTAGCTGAATCCAAAACAACAACAACATCGGAGGGTGAGGTTTGATTCAAATTGTCTAACATGCTCTAATGGTTTTACTGAAACATTTTTAGTCTTGGTAAGCCACTGTCGGGTGGTTCGTTATCACGATGAAACATTTCTCTCGTTTTATTGGTATCTGTCATTCCAAGACAAAGTATATTCTTAAATTTTGCTTGACAGCCTAGTCGTCATTACCTGCAATTGTTGTACAGCTCTCAGTGTTAGGTTTTAGCAAAAGTTACTCGTCCGACAAGGGTATTTATCAATGTAAGTAGTATCCAACACTTGTGGTCTTAAATGGTCGCAGTCGTCGGGACACACGCGCCTCTCACTAGTCCTTCATGCAGTGTTTGTTACAGTTGTAAGCCGTTTCTTACGGTGGTAGGTCGTCTTTCAGCGATCCATAGTCGTCCGGAGATATGGGAAGCGAGTGCTGCTAGCCATGAGGTTGTCCAGAAGTGTGGGAAATGGTCCGTTTGTCACCCAAAGGTGTCATGGGCGGTCCAGTGGCCGTCCAGAGGTGAAGGGGCGGTTCTAAGGTGCGGTAGTTGGTTCAAAGGCCGTCCAGTGGTGAGGGAATCTATCCAGAAGTCATCAAGATGAGTGAGGCTCCCCTCACTCAAGGTGTACAGTGGTCATCCAGAAGTGTGGGAACGTTTCAATGGTCGTCCAGAGGTGTGGCAGGCAATCCAGAGGTGTGGCAGGCAATCCAGAGGTGTGGCAGGCAATCCAGAGGTGTGGCAGGCAATCCAGAGGTGTGGCAGACAATCCAGAGGTGTGGCAGGCAATCCAGAGGTGTGGCAGGCAATCCAGAGGTGTGGCAGGCAATCCAGAGGTGTGGCAAGCAATCCAGAGGTGTGGCAGGCAATCCAGAGATGTGGCAGGCAATCCAGAGGTGTGGCAGGCAATACAGAGGTGTGGCAGGCAATCCAGAGGTGTGGCAGGCAATCCATAGGTGTGGCAGGCAATCCAGAGGTGTGGCAGGCAGTCCAAAGGTGTGTGAGCAGTCGAGTGGTCGTCCAGACGAGCCGGGGTCCTAACACTGGGGTTTCTTGATGTGGCTCGCGATCCATCTGTGGTAGTTGGACACGCGGGTGTACACTCCAGGGAAGTCCTCGGCACACCCCGCCCCGAAGCTCACTACGCCCACGGTCGCCCACTGATTCACGCCCACTTTTGTAACCAAGGGGCCGCCGCTGTCACCCTGTGTGCACACACATAACTATAATAATTGACAAAAAGTATGTCAGCTCGCCTCAGTAATTAACAGCGCCCACTGTCAGACACAGGAGCAAAGACACCGCACTCATCCAAGCATTAAAGACACTGCCAAGAGATCACCACCACAACAACCACGGCTGTCTGGTCATAACCACAAAACCCACAACTATCAGAGCACAACAACAATCCTATCAATTCACCATTACAACATTCACTTCTCCAGAACTAATAACAATACAAACCGACACATCTCATCGGGGCCTTTTAAATGCTGAACAAATGTTTAAGATATTAAGCCTGATCACTTTAAAAGATCCAATATAACTTAGACAACGGGCAATAATTTCAGTGTCAACAAACCACTATGAAGGACGGCGAACCGATGTTTTTTCACCCACAGAATAATAGCCTATCCACCGAAGCCGTAAATTCCAGGACAACGCTCCACTCCAGTTCAAAATTCAGCAAACCTTTGACAAACTAATGACTTCCTGTTCCCGTTGAGGCCACAAAGAATGGTGACTCTCAGGTAAATTCAGGTAAGCAACAATGAGAGCACTCGGTTCTCCACCACATCACTATCAGTCCACTATGGATTAAATCAAAATTACTTTATACTACACTTTCCCAATGTTGACACTTTATGTATCGGAGTGATATTTTATGTGAAGAAATTATTATTATTATTATTATTATTATTATTATATTATTATATTATTATTATTATTATTATTTCTTCACATATAAAATAGAGTGTCATATATGGGGGAAACACTTGACACTATACAGATATAGTGTCAACATGGGGGGAAATTGTAGTATATAATATTTTTATTTAATCCATAGTGGTGGTGAACTGTTCTGATTGTTGTTTACCTGAGGGGCTACTTTATTATTATTATTATTTACAAAAATTTGAGTTTTATGAGACAGTGTGCTTGTTCCGGCCTCCAGCTGGAGCAGGCACCATCACTGACTGAGACAGTAATTGCAAAACACTTCCTGGAGGGAATTAATAGATCGTGACATGCAAGCTTTATGGGAAAATTCCACCAGTCATTAAAAGTCGCACAAGTGGGAACTGCAGTTAAAAAAAAAAAACGAAAAAAAAAACGGGCACCATTTCTCCCATGGCTTACTGTTGGAGCAGGAACCATGCCTGCCTCTGCCTCCATTTCCTCCCGGTTTCCTAATGTCTTCTTTCTTTAGTCTCCCCCCCCCCTCATAACCAAAACCAAAGAAGCTCACCACGCAGGTGTCCTTCCCGTTGGTGAAGGAGCACAACATGTTTTCGGTGATGTTGAGGGAGCCTTTGAACTTCGTCTTGCACATCTTTCCACTCACCAGCGACAGTTGCACCTCCATCAGTGTCGAGGGCAAGCTTTCATTCTCTGCCAACATTAATTCCCATCAGCGAGACAAATTATAATTAAAAATAAATTAACAAAGGCGAATCAAAAGTCTACCAAAGAAGGATCAGGGGAAGAGCAGAGACTGTAATGTTTAAACTACATTTGAATTCAATTGCTTTTAGCGACTACCATTCTATGAACGATAGTACTGTGTATTCCCGTGAGCGATAACGTGTTGTACATCCCATACTCATCCTGTGAGTTGTAATTTGTTCATACTCATCTATGAACGGTGGCTTAGTATTCATCCCATACTCATGCCGTGTGTATGGTAGTTTTATGCACCTCATACTCGTCCTGTGAGCGGTAGTATAAAAGGATTACACCTGCGAAAAAGGTCTTACTCAGACACCAGTCGATCATTTTTTAAAGCTATAATATTTCTGTGCATTTTATATATAATTATATTGACATTGGTGGTAATATAGCTATTGTTTATACAGTATTTGGCTACGTTTAATAACGTAACAATGCATATTACGGTTAAATGATTAATACGGTATATATTTCGCTAGTTTAAATAGTTTATAGTAAACAATTTATGCAGTTTACATGTAGTGATACACAATTGGCTATGATATACATAACTTGTAATTTAATTAAATATTTATCAGTGCTCAGTTCCTGAGCCTATTATTTGCTTCTGAATCCTTCTTCACGACCACTCACAGGATGGGTATGGGGTCCACGACCACTCACATGATGGGTATGGGGTCTACTACCATTCACAGGATGGGTATGGGGTCCACGACCACTCACATGATGGGTATGGGGTCCACGACCACTCACATGATGGGTATGGGGTCCACGACCACTCACATGATGGGTATGGGGCCCGCTACCACTCACATGATGGGTATGGGGTCCACGACCACTCACATGATGGGTATGGGGCCCGCTACCACTCACATGATGGGTATGGGGCCCGCTACCACTCACATGATGGGTATGGGGTCCACGACCACTCACAGGATTTGTATGGTGTGCATAATAAATGAACTAAACGAGAACAATTTACAAAAAAAGCACAATGTGGATACAGTTTTATATATATATATATATATATATATATATATATATATATATATATATATATATATATATATATATATTATATATTTGAATATATATATATATATATATATTCAAATAAAGTAAATATATATGTAAATATATAAGATATATGTAAATATATATGTAAATATATGTAAATATATATATGTAAATACTGTATATAAGTTCAAATAAAGTAAATATATATGTGTACATACAAAAGAATGGGGGTGGTAGAAGATAATATTAGTGTTCAGTGAGAAACCACAAGGTCTCCTCTGAATACTTTTTATTTTCTTCTCCGAGGCTATGGGTCCCCACATTGGCACCAGAGGTGGTACCCTCACAAACTTTTATATATATATATATATATATATATATATATATATATATATATATATATATATATTTATATATATATATATATTTATATATATATATATATTTATATATATATACATATATTTATATATATTTATATATATTTATATATATATATATATATATATATATATATATATATATTTTTATTATATATTACATCCATTGCCTATTATTATATAATAGACAATGGATGTGGTAGTTGTTGAGAGCCTTAGCGAGGCGTTGAAAGTAGGTAAGCGGGTGGACTTACCTCCAAGCTTACCCCAGCCTGCCACCACCACCTTCTTGCCCACGTAAACGTCCTGGTGCACCCCCAGGCACGCCGGGGACACCGCGCTGGAGAACTTCACCGGCTGCTCCAGCTTCAGCAGGGCGATGTCGTGAACCCTCTGCCGGAACACGATGCTATCATGTACCAGGGAAGGAGAGAGGGGAGGCTGAAGAGGGGAAAGGATACTGAGCTAAGTGTTCAGGTTGAGATGTATACTAGCAGGGGGAATCTTGATGCTTCAGCTTCTGGGGCCAGATTCACGGAGCAGTTACGCAAGTACTTACGAACGTGTACATCTTAACTCAATCTTTGATGGTTTTGGTTACGTATATTAAACAGTTTACACGCATGAAAATTTCCCAATCAACTGTTGTTATTGTTATAAAAATCCTCCTGGTCTTCAGAGCTCATTAACTGTTTAATTTATGTAAACAAAGTCACCAAATTTTGAGAAAAGATGTACACTGGTTCTCAACTCTAAAGTTTCAATACATCGGGTAATTTATCTCCAGCCTCTTGGGCTCTCAGTGTATCTGGCAGTGTTTCTTAGCTTAATTCTTTTATTTGCATTAATTTTTGTTAGTTCAAGTATGTTTATTGAGATAAGCAATAAATACATCTCAAAGGGATAGAGTAGCTTAGGCTATTTCTACCCCCCTACATCATGTATCTCATTTGCATGTCTGGCTTCTATGCATGCTCTCTCGCTTCGTATTGATTAGCCTAAATACTCTGTATATATATTTAATCGATACTCCTGGATATTTTATATATCTCAATCCTGTCCCCACTACTTATTTCTTCCAATGTTGTTAATATAGTTGCCTCAATCTATCCTGTTACCCAAATCCCCTTAATCCTGGGACTACTGTTGTAGCAAACATGTGTAACATGGCAGCCTTGGTGTTGGTGCGTGTGTGGGACTGACCAGGTAGTTGTCGTAGTGCTCGTGGGGGATGATCTGGGAGACCTTGATACCAGTGCTGTTGGTGTTGGGGAAGGCGTGGGCTCCAGGGTACACGCTCACCTCTATGCCATCCCTGCCCTCACACATTACTGTTAGTACATATTTGTTGCTCCTAATACTTCTCCTTATTATTACTACTACTGCTACTATATTGAAAATTACTATTACTACTACTGTTACTAGATTTACAAATAATATTCCTGTTATTACTACTATCATCATCTTTACTTAAATCAATATTACCATAGCCACTTCCACTGCTGATGTTACGACCATTATTATCACTGCTGATGTTACGACCATTATTATCACTGCTGATGTTACGACCATTATTATCACTGCTGATGTTACGACCATTATTATCACTGCTGAAGTTGCTACAATATCACCTGTTCCACTCTTATTAATACTAACATCAAAATTGTTACACACACAAAAATTCCATTAACGTGATATATATCAATGAGAATATTAACTGGAGTTCTGAAGTGACTCGAACCCGCAATCAAGGAAGTCCCAGCCGCTAACTCCACCACTGTACCACCCTGACCTGATAAAAATTATACAACCGGAGTTCCAATGAAACCACAGGAAATCTGGAAGCCTCTATCAATGCCATTCCAAGTTTTATATATAACCCCTAAGGACTCTGGTGCAGGTAAAGTAGTTTAACAGCGTTGGGACGTATTATTACTGCTATTGTTACTAATACTACTACCACTACCATCACCGCTATGAATACTTATACTACCTCAACCCTTATTACTAATACTACTGCTGCTACTTTGTTTTTTGAAACGTCGTCGTCCCTTCACCGTCTAGTGTGTGGTCTGGTCAAAATACTACTGCTATTTCTGGTCTTATTGATAACATACTATTACCACTATTGTTGACTACTTCCACTCTCTTCTGTTTGTCTCTCTTACCCTGTGAGGCAGTGGGCCGCAGTGAGGACAAAGTCTCTGGTGATGAGGCAACCGCCACAGCCTAAGGACTGCCCATTGGATTTGATGTGAATGAAGATCAGCCAGGGGTACTCTTGGGGTCTGGCTTGAGTCCCACCCACTATCCGGGGCTGCGATATCTGAGCCACTCCGCAGCCATCTGGTGGGTGGGCCAGGACCAGGCAGGGTGTGAGAGACAGGGAGTAATTGGCTTAAAGTCTAGGGCGAAGGTGGTTAGGCTAAATATTCATGCAGTAGAATGGAAATACGCAAGACATCACGGAGTACTTTTGCAATAGGAAATAAACAATCACAGTGAAAGGAGAAATCTCGGATTACCAGTTGGGTTCAACTAGGGTCAGTTCTGGGGCCGATCCTATTCCTTATGCATGAGAATGACCTACCAGAGGAGAGGGAGGGGAACAGATACCTTCATCTCAGTGTTCACTGATAATGCAAAAATTTATGATGAAGATAAATATAATGGAATACTGCATGAAACTACAAGGGGATCCAGAAAATGAAACCCGGAATTATCGATTGTGAGTCAAATACGAACCCTGCACTACCGGGGCGCTAATATGAAAATTGCCTGTAGAAATCTGAACAAAGAGTCGTTCATAATCTTATACATCGTTTGTCAGACCAGTTCTGGAATATGCAGCACCAGCGTGGAATCCTTATCTCATTAAACACAAAAGGAAACTGGAAGAAAGTTTAGAGGTATGCCACCAGACTAGTCCCAGAACTGAGAGTTATGAGGTATTTATTTATCTATTTACTAGGTACGAGGAAAGATTACAAATATTAAACCTCACGTCACTGGAAGAGAGAAGAAACAGGTGAGACATGATTACTATATACAAAATAGAGGAATAGAGCAGACAGGGACAGAGTATTTAGCAGGAGGGTAGCACACAAACAAATGACACATTGAAACTACGTACCCAAATAAAACACAGAGATATACAAAAAAAAAATCAGTGTCAGAGCAATGAACAATTTTAATGCACTAAGAAGGGAAGTGGTGGAGGCAGACTCCACATACAGCTCTAAATGGAGATAAGACAGCGCCCACACCTGTAGTTGATGGAGTTGAGAGACGGGACCCAAGAGCCGTGACTCACTCCCCGCAAATACAACTAGATGAGTTCAACTAGGTAAGTACGTACATTATTTATAGTTCAAGTAAATTTATTGAACTAATATAATACATTTCATAGGGACTGAGTGCCTTAGGCTACTATTAAGCTTAGATTAATACTATATCGTCTTTCACAAATAATCCTTCACAGAACATGTCATCTCTCTATCATAATTATTACATTAAATAATTGCATTTGTAATTAATAAAAGTAATTATCAAAAGAAGGTGCCAAAAACATATGTAATTAGCTTAGCCATAATTATACTGTACATAACTATTACAGTAACGTAAATTCGTTACATTAAAATTAAATTCAGCTACATCCCAGTGCAAAGTTTTATACCTTATAAACCTGTCTACCATACCAGTTTCACGCACCAATATTATTTGACATGACACATTAAAAATGTTCTTATTTCTACATTTACTTATCAACTAACATTTTAGAATACATATAATTATCTAATGTTGATTACGAAGCATCCTACATAGTTTACATTCCTTTACTTGTTCAGACATCAGACCACCGTATTGCCAGTAAAATTTATTTCCTAATCTTAATCTCATATACACTGAGAGCTGGAGCCCAAGAGCTAAATCTCCTCTCATCGCAAGTACAACTATAGGTGAGTACTCACCACAGAAGGGGCGGACGATATATCTAGGATAGGCTCGCTTATCAGGAAATTTGGCGTAGTTCGTTGTCATGTTGCTGCTCTGTGTAGAATTGTTGACTTCTGTGTCCTCAGCGTTGCCTGTGTGACACCAAATAACAGAATATTAAGCCCTCATGGAGACAAACTCTAGGCCAGGGCCATAAAAAAATAAGGAGAGCGAGAGATGCGTATACGCACACAAGCACACACATGCACACAACACAGCACTCACCTGTGGTCTCGTTCTACCTACCTATGCAGGCTACGCTTTTCTGATTCAGCGACCATGTCTGCCATATCTGAAGAATTTACCAATTACGGTAATCAAATACAAAATAATTAGTTAATATCTTGCACATTGTGTGACCATATATGTTAACTATGTAACTAGTTCACCAATGTTGCAATTTGTTTATAGCTAAGCAGATGTTTGTTCAGCTCGTGAGCCCGTATACGTACTTCTGTAACCTGTATGGGTGTTGGGGGCGTGACTCTCATGGTTGGTCTCTAATAGGCTGAACCACGACCGCTCACAGGACGAGTATGGGTGTATAGTGAATGAAATAAACGAAACTCACGTCTACATTAGAATCTATGTATGTATAAGTCGACCTCCATACTTACCACACTCCATATATTCACCACTTTGACAGTGAAAACATTATTTCTTATGTGTCTGACTCGCTTGGGCCCTCAATTTCCACTTCTGTCTCAATATTCGCGTAAACAGAGGCTTAAGAAAAAATAATTTGTATTTAAAAATATACAACAAAATTTACATGATACATTGGTTGCTTATTTGTTAAATAAATATGCATATTTAATAAAGCCATATAGTACGAAAAGAATTTCGGGCATACCAGTCAACTTAATTCTGGAAGGCTTTATTATGACCACCATAATAGGTTATTGACCAATTATCTAGTATACTTTCTTCCTGAATATGATTCATAACTAAAGTCAACACTGTGTATGTATCGCCTAGAAGTGGGCGGTGTTGCGTGGAGTTCACTTCGTCGACTGCCGCTGGTTGCACGTTGTTGCTGTTTTAGATTCAGCTACTGGGAACAAAAATTCCAAGTAGCACGGGCTATGGTGAGCCTGTAGTGGACTTACCCGGCACAGGAGCGGGGCTGTAACTGATGCGCTGGTTGCATGGAGCCGGCTCTTATATACTAAAGATAATGTTGCCATTTCTGTTAAATTTTAGCCAAATATCCCCAGTTTGCTAACTGTAGGTAGTAACTAAGTGAATGTAACCTTCCACCGCTGCCCACTGGATGGGGGCGGTGTACAGGACAAACATATCAATTATGACACTAGCTCTCCACATATGTCAGTTGCTTAATTTAGAAACTGTACTTGTGGTCGATCACGATCCCATTGATGATGTGACGACGTATACTGAATTTTGTAACTAGCTCATCAAGATTGTAACTTGCGTAGCTAAATGAATTGTGGGGTCCAGTCCCTGAGCCCATTATGTGCCTCTGTAACCCTTTCCAGTAACACAGGATGGGTATAGGGTGCATAATAAATGAACTAAACTAAACTAACATTGCTGTTCCTAGAATGCTTGTAGTATTGATTAAAATAATGGTGAGAATGGTGGACGGTAGCAATAGTGTAGGTATTATTTAGTACCATTATAATTACAATCTCGTTTGTCCCATAATTATTTCGTGATACCGAGCTCCAACTTACTATAGTATCACCTTACTGATAAACACATTTCCACTACTCTCTTGAGTATTTGGCACTCCGCACCATCTATATATGCCCTAACCTGACCTCTCACCCATAGGTCAACCTTCAAAATACTCATGTATGTTTATTTTCCTTTTCAGAGAACATAGTATATTTTTTCATGCATTATTGGGCTTTCTCATTATATCTAATATAATATACAAATCTATTTTATAAAAACTATTGTCTGATTATTTTCCTTTTCAGAGAACATAGCATATTGCTGTCCATTTTCAGCTTTCTCATTACATCTGATAAAATTATATACAACTCTATTTTCAATTTAACCTGTCTTCAGGGACAGGTTAAATTACTTATGTGTATAGTCTGGATCCCCTGGAGGTTATGGATTCAAAACCACTTTGTAAATAGTGCTATTATCTACTCTCTATCCTTAGTTAGGGTAGGTTAAGGTTTGGTTAGATTATGTGTCATTACGTTTGATTATGTTAATAATGTGTATTACTGACAAAAATGCTAAATGTGAAATTCAAAACTATTTGAATGTACCCGAGAATTTCACTTACAGAAAACCAAATTCTTTAGACCATTTAAAAGAAAATGTGTTCAGCATACACTTTATTGTTTAAACCAACGACTTGTAATACAATGAAGTTATAACTTGATAATATTCTTTGTTTAGTACAAGAGTTCACTTGGCATTGTACATGTAGACAATTAATGGAACCGTAATATGCCTTCAATCACAAATATCTAGATAACTATCCATGGTAGTTTGGCGTGGAGTTTGGTGCCTCATGGTACTGCATTTGCTCTGAGAACGGGCTAAATCACGACTTTTGTTCGAACCACAATGCTGTAAATACTTCACCCACGTACTACAGATACAAATAATTGCCAACAAAACCTAAATACCTAACCTAACCTAACCTAAACAATGCCAAAATAAGCACAGCATGATAATATATAATAATATTAATTTATATTTGAGAAAATTCCTGTCTTGAATGAGCAGCATGTTAAAATTGATGAATGCGTCTTTGGGGTCAATCGCTGGATGGAATGGACTTTTGCTTTGTTTATGAGGACGGGCTGGATGTGACAATGTGCACTGAATTTTGTCACTAGCTCGAAACAGTGTGTTTGCCTGAAACGTTGTGTTATCAGAAACTTTATGTGTTGCCAGGAACGTTGTGTTTTGCTATAAACGTTGTATTGCTAGAGACTGTGTTGTTAGAAACGCTGTTATCCGAAACGTTAGGTGTTATCCGTAACTCAAGTGAACACAGAGACCAGGGACAAAGAAAACTCTGGGAAGCACAGAAATAACTGCCTCTTAAAACTAGTTGGGGTCGTCGAGTTATGCTGTACGTAACCAATTAGGAAACAGCATGCATATGTTTACTAAACACTGTGACATACTTTCCGGACATGAACCAGTCATCACAAGTGTTTCCAAATTACTCGTCGTCTTCCACTCAGCTGCGACCTGAGCACCATTATGTGTTCCATAACGCCCTTGATAAGAGCAGACGAATCATTTGTGTCCAGCGCCTGTCAACACACACACCTGCACCAGGCATAACAATGGCACATACACCTGGCGCAAGGAAATATACGTGCCTGTTCACAGTCCTCTTGATCACGAGGGTCGTAAGTCTGCTGGTGTGTCATGCGATGTTAAGTAGATCAGTCATGGTGGGGATATGAGGGCTCCAGCTTGACTGGGTGTTGTGGTCACGGTGTCACCTGGCCACTGCCAAGTCTCCACGTGTAAGCCTACGTCGTTCTATTATTCATAGTTTAATCTATATATTTTTGTTTACCAATGTCTCATAACTCTAGTTAATTTATGCTATATGTTACATGTAACTCATAGACTAAACTGTAAGTTCAAATTTAGTTTAGTTAGAAAAGGGTTACAAAGGCACATAATAGGCTCAGGGACTCAAACCCACAATTCATTTAGCTAAGCAAGTTACAATTTTGATGAGCTAGTTACAAAATTCAATATACATCGTCACATCAACAATGGGCTCGAGACCGCGATGGATAGATTACAATCACTTAGTTACTACCTACAGTTAGCAAACTGGAGATAATTGGCCAAGACTTCTGGCAGCAGATTATTTTGAATTAAATATTTACTCATCTCTGGAACATTTGTTATAGAATTGTCTCTAAATTCACGTATCTTTTCGCACTCCATCACATAGTGACAGAGGGTGTGCGAATAATTTTGTTGACACTTTACATTTGGTCAGGTCTACATCAGTAGATAATGAGAATTCCCAGAGATACTTGTAACCAAGTCTAAGCCGAACAGTAGTAACATCTGCCCGAAACGTGCGTATTAGTTGCTTTAGGCATTGTATGTACTAGTTCTATCTATAAATCCAACATTATGTTTGTAACTCATCTTGTATGTATGTACTTTTACCTAAATAAACATTTGATGTGATTTGATTTGATCCAGAAATCTGCTGATTTTATTGGATGATCCATAGATGTGTGGCTCTTGCATGACAGTACGATGATAGATGGAATTCAGCTGGTGTCGATCTCACTTTGCCTCAGATCTACAAGATTTTGTTGAAGTTCTTGGTTGAAAACAAATATAAATTTATTTATGTTTGATATAAGTAAATTTATATTTAACTATATTTAGATAAGTATTTTCATTATTGTATGGAAGTTTATGATGATGATAATTACATAATAACGCAAATAATAGTAAGGTAGATATTTTAGAAAATGCAAATCTCGAACTGCAACTACATGTGTGTTAATGGCATTGTGATTTTATGAACTGGGAATTATGAGGTCAACGAATTAAGTAACCAAATGTGACCAGTAAAGTAACCAGTTGTTACAGTGTACGTATTGCTTTTAGTCATGTATATTTCAGAGTTCCTGTGTTAGTGGCTTTACATGACTGTAAGAACACCAATGTTGCGTACTCTCACAGATCCAATGTACCTTCTTGTAAATAAATAAATAAATAAATAAATTCCCTATTTTCAATGATTTTAGACCAAATGGCCTGTGATACCTGAAACTTTGTATATATTTTACCCTATTGTTTGATACTAAACTATGCTGTGAGATGGGGATGTTATAGGTGAACCCAATTCCGGAACTTCTCATATACCACTCTAAGTCTTCTCACGAAATCACTCGAAGTCTTCGAAGATTGGACTCTTCATTGACCTGAGAAAGGCCTTTGATACTGTTAACCATAACTATCTCTTACTTAAACTCCACCAGTATGGAATCTGAGGCTTTGCCCTGAACTATATTCAATCCTATCTTAGTGATAGACATCAATATGTAGCCATCAATGATATAACCTCTCCCACTCTACCGTTAACCGTAGGAGTGCCGCAGGGCAGCATCCTAGGACCTCTCCTATTTCTGATATACATCAATGATTTGCCTAATTAAATAAAATGTTTATTCGGGTAAAAGTACATACATAGATGAGTTACAAACATAATGTTGGATTTATATATAGAGCAAGTACATACAATACCTAAAGCCACTAGTACGCAAAGCGTTTCAGGCATGTCTCTAACATTCTTAAACCTATATTATTTATTGAAGATGCTACCCCATCTACTCAGACCCCAACCCATACATACTAAATAATGTTGCAAATAACGAATTAAAAAAGTCCACTTATGAATGTCAACTAACAAGTTCACACTAAACATAGAAAAGACCTACTACATGTTATTTTGAAACAGATAAACAAATGCAATTCAGCTTCAGATACTGTTAACATCAGCAATAAAAACGGTGGAAAGTTCCTTGGCCTATACACAGACAAGAGACTCAACTTCAGCACCCACATACAACACATACCCAAGAAAAACTAAAAAACGGTAGGTATAGTTTCTAAAATCAGATATTTTGTTCCAAACTCTGCTCTCCTCTCATTATATTACGCGCTAATATATCCTTATCCTACATACGGTGTCTGTGCATGGGATTCAGCCACTGCAAACTACCTCAAGTCCATCATCACCCAGCAAAAATCTGCTAACAATAACAAACTCTGTTTTCAGACAACACTCAGCTTCCCTTGTTTACATCCCTAAACATACTAAACATAAACTCACTTCACACATTCTCTTGTGCCATTTATATTTACAAAACCCTGTACTTAAATGCAAATCCTGATCTGAAATTCTTCCTTGGCAGATGTAATAGAACCCATAATCACCACGCCAGAAATAAATGTATATTTGATATCCCCAGAGTTAAACTAAATCTGTTTCAAACTAAATGATTTTACTTTAAGCAAGGATTAAATACCACAACAGCGTTTAAAAAGTTTAGTCCAATGAGTGTATGGCGTAATAAAGGAATACACACGAAGCCAAACATAGTGGAAAAAGGTGAGATAATGGAGGGTGAGGCGAGGGGTGGATAGTTCATACTTGGCGGGGGTGAGAGTGGTGTAGGTGGCGCGGCGTCAACACCCAGCTAGGGCCAGTCGTGGGGACCTGCTACTGGACATGGGGCTCCTCAGGTCTGCCCTCTTTATCTCCTTCTTCTCCTTCATCTACACAGAAGAATGGAACACCCACGAGTACATGATCCGGGAGCACTCGTTAGTGAAGCCTTACCAAGGTGAGCATCCAACCAGACTACTCCGGGGGTCCCAGCAACTACTGTTATTGAGGGTCAGGTCACCTGTGGTATAGGGGTACCCAGGCTTGCACACGGGAGTTTTGGGTTGCCGGGGAAATATTTTGGCCGGCAGGGCATGTGGAAGGCAGTATATTATGAGTATTTATGGGACTCTTGGGTGGGGGGGATGGGGCTGTGTGAGGGGTGGTTGTCTGGTGATGTGGCGAGGCGTGAGTGGGGGGGTCACTGAGCACTTGTGGCTAGGCCTAACCTGGGTAGATAATGTTTGCCAGTATGTTAATTGTTCATGTTTGTCACTACCTGTATAATTAAATGTTCTTGGACTGTATTTGTTAGATAATTTTCCTGAATATTGTCAGCTGACAAAGGTGAGATATACATTATGATTGAATTAATTATAATTGGGAGCAAAGTTTTAATAAGCTATGCCTTTAAGAATAGATAGTTAAGAACCATTAAGTCTGGCTAATAACTGAATGAGTGACAATGCTGACAGCCTTGCTGTTGACCAGGGGGGAAAATTACATAAACTGCAATGTTAAGAACATGGATTATGTAATATACGGAAGGGCCTGAAATTTAATCACCCAGGAAATCAGATCAGTCAAAAGAAAACTAGCTCAAAATATAAAAGAACAACCAAAAAGATTTCTATGCCACTACACTATAAGAATTAAAACCAAAACAAGACTTGGTAGGACCCTGAAAAGATGAGATCCTATTACTTTACATCAGTGTTCACACTTAAGTTTAGACATCCTGTTACCCACACAAATGTTTGAAGTTGGTGAAGAGAACGAATTAAAGAATATTCCCATAGCATGTGGTTTAATCAGGAAAAGCATTGACAAAATGAAAGATTCAAAAGCCCAGGTGAGGATCAAATTCAATCCAGTCATTAAGGAACTGGCAGATGAACTATGCCTAGCATTGAAACTTCTTTTCTGGAAAATTGCTGAACCAAGGTATAATTCTCATATATTGGAAACTTACAAATATCACTTATTTAAGAAATGGCACGAGCTCAGCAGAAAACTGCTGTCCAATCATTTTGACCTCGTACCTGCAAGCTAATGGAGAGAATCCTAAGGGAGGTAATCATTCATCATCTCACTGTGAACAGTCTTAGTAAAATCAACGCAACCTTGTTTGATTAAAAAATAAATCCTGCATTACAAACCTCACATTTTTTGGAAATGGTAATCAGGTATTCAGACAAAGAACTTTCAATAAATGTAGTATACATGGACTTTGCTAAATTGTAAGCACATGAAATAAATAGTAGAATTCTACAATGAATGAAAAGTGGTTAAAACAAAGTTAGCCAAGGATCATCCTAAATGGAAATGAATGTGGCTGGAGAAATATGGTGAATGGGATACTGCAAGGTTCCATATTGGGGCCATATCCCCTTTTTGTCATATACTGGGTACATTAATGACAGGGATGAGAATACAGGTATTACAAACCACATTGTCATATTTGCAGACGATACTAAGATTTATAGTAAAGTAGGAAATGACAATGCTATTGAGGTATTATAAGAGATCCAACCACTTGTGAAGTTTATGTAGAAGACTGTCAAATGCTTTTTAATATTGAAAATTGCAAGACCCTGCATGTGGGTCATAACATTGCGCACCACCAGTCCAGCAACGAGGAGGCCTGGGTGAGGACCGGGCCACGGGGATGCTAAGGAATGACAAAACACCCAACCTGGCAGAACAAACCAGCCACACTAAGGCTGCTCACTGGTCTTCCACCACCACTACTGCTCACCATGGTTTTACTCTGTGGCAGAGATCGCTACCTGTAATCCTGCCACCGCTGTGATTTCTGCCATAGACATCTCCAGCTGCTCTTTAAACTGCTTCATCTACCACGTCTACTGCATGGTCTACTGCATGCATCCTGCTGCCCTGCCGACTCGACTACATTACCTGCAAAATGTGGGAGCTTCAGCTTGTCCTGTTGACTCTCCATCACTGTTAGGGCAATGTAGCTCCTCATTGCCCTGACCAGTTTGGCTAGCTGCCATCATGCTTCTCCCTGTCTTTGTCACTGCTGCACTGCATAACATCCTTTCCTCCTACATCACCTCTTGTGGTCCTGGTGCACGAGCTATTCCACATGCTGCCTGCATCTTGGCACTGAATTGAACTGTGTTTATACTGTCTTTACTATCACGAAAACGAATGTAACAATAAAAGTTACAATTTAATAATTTTCCTTGCATCATGTACACTGGGGGCAGTCATTTGGTTGGTAAAAATATAAGCACTGTATACAACAGTAAATAGGCATACAGTATAAATAAATTACAAATAAAATATTAGCACAAACAAATGGCCCTTTATTCACTAAACTGCCAGCCATTTTTTTTTTTAATTGATCAACAATTATTGTGATTATAGTAAAATACAGTATATTAATGTCCATCTTGCTATATGGCTACTTTTCTCAGATTTTTCATTTACAGTGTTTGCAAAAAAAATAAGTTCTGTTATTAAGAGAATTAGTAACCCCAATTGTTTGCTATTGCAAGCTTTCTTTACCATGTAAATTTAGCACTTTTAGCTCCCTTTGAATATGCATTACATATAGTATTTGATTAAAATGACATTTGTAATTTCAGGTTTGGGAACTTCAATTCCATATTGGGATTTTCTTGGAAGCACCATTGTGACCAACAATTACATTAGACTAACAGCAGATGTGCAAAGTTTGCGTGGAGCAATATGGAATAAAGTGCAGTGTTATTTACGTAATTGGGAAATGCACATTCAATTTAAAGTTCACGGCCATGGAAAGGACTTGTTTGGTGATGGCTTTGCCTTCTGGTAAGTTGAATTTAGTAGTTTTACTAGAAATATTAATGTTACGGCCCTATTGGGTCGCAACAGGTTCTTTCTCTGATGTTAATAGAGTTTGGGTATCCGGCCCCAAGCTAGTAGTGGCTTTCAAGGGGTGCGTTCCGTAACGCAAGTAAATTAAAGGGGAAGGGATAAAACTGCACTTAAACTTATATATATTATTAAACCACCACCATAAATAAATATATAAACCGTCACACACGGTTACTATGACTACACGTATGTACAATCACTTGTCTTCCTCTGAAGACTCTGGACGTTCACGGTGCTCAAGACGAGTGGTCCTGGTTCTCTTGTGGCCTCACGTTGAATCCTTTGATTCTCTCGAGTCTACCCTGGCCACAGGCCCGCCAAATCACAGTTTCACTGGGGGCACCGTCGTGGAGGCCTTCAACCACAAATCCAGCCTGTAGCTGGCAGGTTACAATCGGTTCCGCTGGTTAGGCCACTCCACGACCGATACTAGGGTTGCGAGCCCTAGGCAGGAGCTTCGTGTGATTCCACAGATCACTCTCCTCACCACAACACCCCAGTGGTTAGTCTTCTCCACCAGTCAGTCCCGGGTACGACAAATCCTCAACTGCCACGTCACAAGCAGGCTAACACAACAGTGTTCATCCGGGGAGTGACTCACAACTTCTGCAGCTAATACTTGGAGAGACTTCGGCTGCCTTGGGTAGACTGATCCAACGTTCATTACAGCAGTCCCAGGTCGACTCTGTAATCAGACACGTCATCAGTAATAGTTACACTTACAGGCTTAGACACAAACGCCCACCTATCCACTCCATAGATGGTGTTGCTGTCTAAGCAGCACCTCACCAGAGGTCAGCAGCGGCTGTGTTATGAGCTGATCAGGACGGGAAACCAGCCCTCGTGGCTGGTATATCCTGTCCTCACTAGATGGCGCCGTCCATTTGGAGGGGGTTTCGGGAGCTGACCCACAGATGGCGCGGTCGCCACTGTTCCGTGCTCGGACGCTGGGCTCAGGTCCGTAACAATTAATTTAAGAGGAAACGTTAAGGTTTACATTGTCAAAGATTTATGGTGCTTAGCTGTTTAGATTCTGTAGACTTTAGTCTGTCTTCCATTCTTTTGCCCTGTTTTTCAGCATGCTCTCTTAATTTTTTATTATCAAAAGAATGCATCAAACTGGGAAGACATTTTACTATATAGGTTTATTGTCAGAAATTTACACCATTTAATTTTCCCCTGTACCTCATTAATAAGGTATTCTTGGTAGTTACCCTATTTTAACCTTCCTGCCATATTTGTGATAATTTGAGAACTATTGTTTTACACTTAAACTTTAAATGTACTTGATCCTAAAACTTTACTTCCTGTTTAAACTGGGCTGTATATTCTCCTTGAGACCATTTTTGAAGTTAATAATACAAAAAATCTCAATTTAGCATGTTATTGCTAAAGAAGTTTATAAGAAAAGTTGATCCATGCACCTTTGCATTTCAAAATACTGTACCTACTACACTTGGTATGTGTGTTGTTTTTAGTACAGTATTTTCAAAGTAGCCTATTCTTCCCGATGGATTTCATCCAATGTGGCTTGCAAGAACTCTTGTTCTTATTCTGCCCGAAACGCTTTGCGTAATAGTGGCTTTAGGCAATGTATGTACTAGCTCTATCTATAAAGCCAACAAACTTTGTAAAATCTCTATGTATGTACCTTTACCTAAATAAAAATTATTATTATTATTATTATTGTTGAGAGCTTTACCCAAGAATCTCCTGATTATGCAGGAGCAAAAACTAAAGTCTGTAGATTTTCTTGGCAATGATCACATGTGAGAAATATGAAACTAAGGTCATGAAGACAAATTTAGATGCTCTGGAAGATGAAAACTGGTGCCACACAACTACTTAGGTTACCCAAATGTTGTCACAGGATAAATCTATTGCCTATTTGGCTGCCTTGCTGGGTGTCAGGACCAGGGAGTGTGGGATGGGGGTGTTCGCAGCAGCGTGGACAAACATTTATAGCAGGAGTCCTTTGCAGTTAACCTGGAAAACTCCCCTGGGAATGAGTTGCTGCTAGGCCTCTTTTAAATATCAGTTACAGTAGTTAAATTAAAAAAATAGAAGGCAGCACTCCAGTTGTCCACAGAAGTAAACAAAGAAAGGAGTGAAATATTGAGGCTAAAGTACGAATCTGTTTTCAGTGAACCCCTGAACACATTGAACATCAATGGTCTTCATGAATTCTTTATGAATGCAACACCAACATCGAACCATATATCAGATGTCACTCTAACCCCACTGGACTTTGAAGTAGCCATAGACAGCATGTTCATACACTCTGCACCAGGCCTGGACCCCTGTAATTCTATATTCATCAAGACTATCAAAAAAACACAATCTCAGGCCCCTAAACATCTTTTGGAGAAGTAGCCTAGAAGGTGCTGGTGTTATCCCCAACATACTTGAAACAGCAGAGACTGTAGTAGCAATATTTTAACCAGAATAGGGGTATGTTTTGGGGCACTTACCTTTCTGGTTACCCGACCCGGTCGATGGCAGACATAGAATGCTTCCAACCACACAGGGGTTTCTATAGGCCAGTGCTCCTCATGCCTCTCCGAGGGGGGCCAGGTTCTGGCTTGTGGTCCCTGGTAGGCCTAGAACTCCGTGTGCATTGACTGATGCCAGGGTCATTCGTATCAGCTCTGTTAGCTCCAGGAAGCCTCTGGGTCTCACCCAGAAACTAGCGTTTCATTACATTCAACGCTGGTTTGTGTGTTTTATTACAATGCAGAATTTTCTTCATTTAATTCCGTATGTATATTACTGTTGCTTGTTATTACATCCAAGCCTTAGTTTGTTGTCTAACACTATTTTAGAGTAAATAGCTTTGCTAACCGTAATACGCTCTGCAGGTACGTGAAAGAACCCATGCAGGAGGGTGATGTGTTTGGTAGCAAGGACTTCTTCACCGGGTTAGCAGTAATCATGGACACCTACAGTAATCATAACGGACCACACAATGTATGTTACTGTATTTAATCCCTATAAATTTAGTACAGTATTAAAATTCATGTTTATAGGAAGTGGATGATAAACCTTTTTTTGTTTGTGCATGAAATATATGTTTAGATTTTAGTCATAATTGTTGATAAAAGTTCATAACATTAAGGGTTATATATAAACATAATAATTCTTTACAACACTCAAATTCAAAACGAGTAAAAAAATTTATTTGTATCGATAAAAACTGTATTAGGTTTTCACATTACCCTTGTATAATTTTTTTTCTTTTTAGCTTTTGCATAGTTACTATTCATGTAACCTAACATCAATTTGACTTGAAACTTAAATAAGTTACGTATGATTAAAAAGGTATGGTTCAATTTGATATAGGGCTGATATAACCCAAAAACAACTCGCCCCCTTCTCTGTTTTTCCTCAACTTTGGGACTGTGCAGATTATAAAATAATTATTGTATGTGACATACTTTAGCCATGATGAAGGTGAGAAGCTGAGCACTTTATGAGCAGTGAGTGTGCATGCGCCCGGAGACACTAGCCCCAGCTGCCTAATGGGGCACCAGTTGCTGCGAATATATTTTTTCATAATTATTTAAATGTTCTTTTTTTTTTAATTTGAGGAATTTATATAGTTAAATGTATTGAACATCGTTATGCTCAAAATATGGTGCTCATATCTAGTGAAACGTATATTTTATATTCTTAGATGAATACAACAGTGTGTTTGCTGTTATTACTTTCATTATATATAAATACAGTACTGTATCTACATTTTTTGTGCGCCATAATGAACCACAAACATCGTGTGAGGAGAGTTTATATATAAAAGACAAGAATTCAAGGTTAGCCTAGTACTCGACAGCTGTGTGGCTGGAACTGCCGTGAATACATATTTACATGATTATTTCAACATCAGGTTTTTTTTTTTTTTTTCTTTTTAGTATAATATTAGTCAATATTGTGTAATTTTAGGAATTTAAATGTGTTGAACATCATTACACTCAAAATATGGTGCTCATATATAGACGTTTATTTTATATTTAGATGAATAAGTGTTTTTGCTGTTATTACACTACAGTATATGCATATATTATATATGTCTTATCTATATTTTTATAAACCAAAATGAACCACTGATTAATTCTGGTGTGTGTGGTGATGAAATCATAGCACAGTATAGAGGTACACGTTTCAACCAGCTGACTCCAAGCAGCCAACATTACCTGATTGAGCAAAATACCCAGATATACACTTCACACATCACAATTATTACTTTGAACCGTGCTATCATATTCCAGACACCAAATCATGACTATGAATCACTTTCCACAAGATTACTTTCTAAGGGAGCATGAGGTCATGTTGCATGATGTGTAGATTCACAAACCTCTGCTGTGTGTTGTGAATTTCTGCCTCCTGACATTCTGGGGGCCCTGACAGCTGAGTTGACAGCGCTTTGGATTCGTAGTCCTGAGGTTCTGTGTTCTATCCCTAGTGGAGGCGGAAACAAATGGGCAGTTTCTTTCACCCTAATGCCTTTGTTCACCTAGTAATAAATAGGTATCTGGGAGTTAGACAGCTGCTATGGGCTGCTTCCTTTGGGGGGGGGGTGTAACAAAACCGGCCTGGTCGAAGACTGGGCCGCAGGGATGCTAAGCCCCGAAATCATCTCCAGATAACCTCCTGCTGTGACCATCATAATTAGCATTGTATTCACTAATATCTGAACCTTGTACGTAATTATTTTTACACTCAGGATCATCTTTGACACTATCAGTGCAAAATAATTGCAGTTATTTTATTCATTATTAAATGGTGGTGTGGCCCCGACTTGTGCAGCTGTGCTGAGAGCTGCAGCTGCATGTGCAAGGCTTGGTTGCTCTGACTTTATTAAGGCTCGCTGCCAGGAGGGATGCCGATTTTATTTTTTTTCCAAGATGGCATCTGTTTACTGGAGTCCTGAGGAACCGGATGTGAGCCTTAGTGTACCCCATGGGAGTTTTGAATCTTATGATCTACAGCATTAACATTCATCATGTCAGGTGGCGCACCACCACGCCCCATAATATGTGCAGTGCAGTGGTTAACTTTTGATAGATCCCGATTAACTCATTGTAATGAGCTGAAAGCTATAACAATTGTAAGATCGTAAGACTGTGGCTCTCTGAAAGTCTGTTTTTCATTAGTTTTATTGTAGCTTGCCCCCGTGAACTGAAATGCTCACTACTATAGTTCTATATGAAATGGAGAGGGAGGGAGGGGCAGTAAGAAGGATATGTGGAGGTTTAGAAAAGATAGTAAATCAAGTGACACTGTATTCACAGTGACACAACACTGTACAGTATTGTCGAAGAAAACCATTAAGGAAATGATGCCCCTTACATTAATTTTCACCTTGTATAACGTATTTATGTAAAAAATTATAAAAAATACATATCTCTTGTCTAATTGCTACAGAATGTTTGAAAAGTAATTGTCTTGCATAGTCCTAATCAATTTTTTTTAGTAACAGTAGAGTGCTTGTTAAAATGTCTAAATATTAGCATTTAAATCATGCATTATCTTTTGATATTTGTCTCCAACAGCATGGTCATCCCTACATCTCGGCCATGATCAACAATGGCACTCTCCACTACGACCATGACCGTGATGGCACTCACACCCAGTTGTCATCAGGTTGCGTTTCCAAGTTTAGGAATCTGGAGCATGATACATACGTTTCCATCAAGTATGTCCACGACACATTAACAGGTGGGGAAACTACCGTGTACATATTTTAGCGAGGTTGCTTTCAAGCTAGATCACTCGGTTGTAATCTAAGGGCAAGATCTTACTGTCCTATGGTTATGCTAACTTCTTCTTCTAAAATTTCTCATTGGGTCTTTGGGTTGCTGCTGCTTGCTGGTGCATTATTTTACTGTCGGGTTGCAACCCTTTCAGAGCCTCATTTTGGCACGGTGTGGTGGTAACACTGGAACCCTTGTATTTACAGGTGGTTATAGCTCCTCTGGTTTTCTGTACCTCGGATTTTGTTGAAGTGCAAACCGAAATCTCACATGGATGCTGTGTCAGTTACTAGGAGTCAGCTTCAGTTTCCCTTTTTTGGGCTGAAAGTCCTAAGAGTCTTAGGTCTTGTTTTGCATGCAGAGACTTGGTGTGTAGTAGCTGTCATTTACCATACATCTTCTGTTCACATCACTGCATCCTGTGCGAGTGTTATTGTACCATTATTTTAAGTAGGTTTGCTTTTAATGAGTTTCCTTTTAGAGCAACAGTGTGATATAGCTCATAAATCAAGCCGAGTATACTATACTGTTATATGAAAGGTACTGTTGAGCAATACACTGTTATTTCTGTTCTCTCCCTTAACTTCCATTCCTCTGTGTCTTCTCTGTGCATGGTGATACTTTTTCCTGGCATGTATTAACCAAATATTCACCTAGTGTTGCTTGCGGGGGTTGAAATCTAGCTCTTTCGGCCCAGATAGCTGAAAGAGATGTGGCTACATTGCACCACCCAGATGTTGTGCAGGATGAGTAGAGTATAAATGGTCATATCTCATTATGGACAGGAATGATCAAGTCAAAGAGTTCAGAATAATGTCAGATAGCCTAATGTTTAGAGAGCTACAATAAAACAAATGTAGCAGTGGTCGGGAAAAGGGATAGGAGTGGATAGTGAGAACCTTCAAAATAAGGGATGCCACATTAATGATACAGTACTCTTCAAAACACTGTGTTCTTATGGAATACTGTTCCTTAATCACATCTCATTTAATGACAGGCAAAGTACCAGAGCTATATAATATACAGGGTTCCTTTAGTGTTTACTTAGAATGTCACACATTTAAACTAATGATGGGATGATTAATTGGAATTAGCATCGAGATTCTAAGGAATCTCACATTTTTCAGTAATTGAAATTGGTATCGTAATGAAGACAAAATTAATAATTTCTCGAGTCTTAAAATTCTAACATTTAATGACAAAATTAATTAATTCTTATTTTCTCATGTTTTGTAGATTAAGGATTAATTTTTGAGTAAACAGGAATTAGCTATGCTTTACTTGAGTTAGTGTTACATTATTAACTTTATTTCAAATAAAATTACAATTTGATTTTATTGTATATTACACAAATAAAGCATGTATACCCACAAAACATACCATCATACATGATGGTATGTTTTCTCCTTTATAATTCTTCTAGAAGATTAAGCTGCATTTGCCAGTTGTTTTCTATTCTTAAATCCACACTATTACACTATTATTACATTTACTATGCTCATAATGTAAATCATAAAATTTTCAAACTAAAGTACAAAATTTTTCTAGAAAATAAGTATCCAATTACAGTGTACATTTTAAAAGAATCAGAATCAATAATCACATTGGAATCAAGAATTTTTAATGGAACTGTTCCACTTAATCTTAAAAATCTTAATCGTTAGAAATTTTAGTACCGTCTTATTACTAATTTAAACTAAAAGAATTGCCTCAAAGCACTGGAATTGTATTCCTTGGAAGGAAGAAGTGAAAAATGCCATCATTTACACAGAAAGCACTGGAAGATCAGGTTCCAAACCTTCACAATAAAATTACTACACACTATCGTGAGAGATGGAAGTAAGTGCAGAATAAAAAAATGATAAGTAGGGGTGCCATAAGAACAATTAAAGAGAACTGTGTGAACATCAGAATTCCACTAATCTTTAACCTCCTTCCAACAAACATAAGATATATTGCTGGAAGAAAGGTAGAAACATGAAAAAAATATCTTGGTATATTACCGAGTTACTAAATCATCCAGATTGTGATAGTTTAGTTGGTCTGCAAGCGTCGAGTTGGGCAGGAAAATTTGAAAAATTAAATCAATCATAGGTCTCTCTAGTATGACCTAGTAGAAACATTTTAAAAATTTCCCAGCAGCGCTTTCTGCTGGGAAAGCACTTTCACATATTGCTGACCTATTTTGACTGCAATAGATCCTAACTTTGGGCAGGTGGGATCTTGTTGGGGAAAAAATGCTAGTCTCAGAAAAGCATTTTTCAAAAGGTGTTTTTCACTTAAACTAGAGCCAAGTTTTTCTGTTTAGTTAATATCAAATTGTTTATGAATGGCAACAAACACACTAATGCCATTGGCTTCTGTGTTGAGTAATATGATGTATTCTTAATAAAAACAAATAAAGGTAACTTTTTAGCATTACAAAATTTTCAATCTGGGCACAGCCATTTTTAATTTAAAGTAATATCCTTATTTCTTCCATTTCCTGTGTACATTGAAAACAGTTCATCTGATTTATTATGTTTAAGTAATTGGAGGGTCGATGATGCAATAAACATGCTTTTTTGTATACCCATTGCAGGATTTTTTTTTTTATACCATAGCATAACAAAAATTTATCCAGGGTAATTTTTAATCATTTTTAGAATGTTTAATATTCCTTCATTATTCTATTTTAATTACCTCTACCAATTCTAGCATTTTACTTCATCTTGTTTCAGTGTCAACTGATATAGACAACAGGCAAATATTCAAGGAATGTTTTACTGTGGCCGGGGTTAAGCTGCCCTTGGGATATTTTCTTGGCGTGTCTGCTGCTACAGGTGATCTCAGTGACGCACATGACATCATTTCCCTCAAGATGTATGATCTGTCAACCCCAGATGATGTAAGTAGAACCCACACAAGTGTATTTTGACATTGTTGTATATATCTATAAAATGTTCATGGGTTTGTATATTGTACTGTGGAATTATTTATGAAGCTGTATTTAATGAAAATATATACTTTGTAATTAATGTCATGGGGTGTGCCTGGGATACGTGGAATGGAGAGAGCAGTCTTCCCCAGGAAGGGCCAACGTGGAGAGCACCGTGTGCCTTTGGGGATTGTTGATGTGGAGAGGGCAGTGTGTCTAGAACGGCACTCCAAAGAATCTTATCAATTAAATTTGTTATTTTTACATAAAGATTTTGGAGTAGAAATACTCAACTTGTTTAATGATCTTTTTCTAAATGTTAGGTTCGCCTTTAATTCTTGATAAAGTTTGTAGTTATATTTTTAAACATCAAGGTACTGTATGTTATATCTTCATAGAGTAATTGGGGCAAATGTATGCAGTATTTGAGACATCTGCAATATTGTAAAATTTATATGGTTCTTCTTCTAATGTTAGTGTAATATTTTGTGCTTTGTAGGACATACTTGAGGACCGAGTAAACATAATGCCTTCTGCTTCGTTTTTTGAGCCTCCCCGAGGTAAGTAATGTACAGCATTTCAGTTAAGTAATGAATGGAGTTAAGTTACATTGAGGAAGAAAGCAAGTTTTTTTTTTTTTTTAAACCTTCGAAGATGCCTCATGTAAATTATGTTGATTTTCCTTGAATTTGGGGTCATTATCTTTTAAGTATTGGTCATTTATTGTTCAAATAGCATGGTGCAAAGCAAGAGCAAAAAAAAATTTGATCTAAAAATGGTTTTCCCACAAATACATTTATTCTGGGGGAAAAGCCCTTGTGGTTCTCTGAAGCTATACACAGTGCCGAGATGGTTACCATCTACTCGGTCACATCAGCCACAGTTCTAGAGGCCTACTGGGGACTGGAGCCAGAACCGGCCCCCTCACAGAGGCACAGGCTGCGGTAACATTTATTTTCACCACTTCACTGGGGAATGTAACCAACAAGTCAGCAAGTCAAACTACTATGGGACTCAAAAAAGACCTAAAGTCTCAAAACCAGCCAAAAACTCTCCCAACTATATAAACAAACTATAGAATTCTCTCGGAATTAGTGCGAGCTTTTTATTTCCCCCACTTACTTGAGTGGAACCGGAATGTATCCCACTGCAAACCAGTGTCCCCATACTCTGTTCTAGCGCAGATGTAAAAGTTACCAGGTTGCCTCTCTCCCGTACTGGCTCCGGTGTCCTGTTATTCAGGTAAGTGGTGTGGTTCTTCACTAAGAATCAGTGATGAGCAGAGTTGCCACAGGCACAATCAAGAGAACACTGTCTGAACATCAGAGAGCCACGGTTAATCAACGTACTCACAGCATGTATAAGAAATATTGCTGGAACAAACGTGGACATCAGGAGAAAACTGAATAGTTTTCATCAAGAAGTGCTGAACCAGCTGGGCTGTGGTGAATATGTGGGCCTGTGGGCTGCTGCAAGCAACAGCCTGTTGGACCAAGCTTTCACAAGTCAAGCCTGGCCCCAGGCCAGGCTTAGGGAGTAAGCAAACTCTCAAAATCCCATCCAGGTACAATCTAAGTGGTTTGCCCTTGGCATCTTTACCTTACAATAAGTGTAACATGTATGCTTCCACACCATGATTTCACTGAACCTGCTCTGATCTTCCCTAGTATTGTGTCCTTCTTTGCCTTATAATTTTATCTTTTTACCATTATCTGTTCTTCCCCACCTATTCTTCAGCTTCTTCCTCGACCCATCGTCGTCTTGATGCTCTGCACCATACTGTTATGCTGCGGTTCTGGTGCCTTTCATTCATCCCCTATCCAGATCTTGTATATTACAGGAGTGTTGTGATCATTGCTGCTTTCACTACCTTGCATGGTTCCTACAACATCCTCACTCTTGCTTAAGCCATACTTTGATGGTTACCCCTCAAGAGGACCCTGATCCCTTTTACCACCTTCCTTTTCCTGTAAGGATATCTTGCTTGCAAGATTCCCTCTTGGTGCACATTTCCAGTATACTTTATCTGCAATTGTCGGGACCTTGCCCCCCATGGATGGTCCCACTTGCATAGTTTTGCAAGGCCTTGACCTACATTGTGAAGGCTTGGACTCTTCCTGCTCTTATGAAATGCTTTTTCTTTGGACACTTCTTAGCACTTGCTATTAACAGATGGGTTCAAAGTATGCAGTTCTTCTTGGCTACTCCATTGCCTTTCCTGACCCAACCATGTGTGCTGCCTACCCCCAGAGTCTCATTGCAATTATTTTACATGTATGTAATTGCATTTTAAAGCCATTGCCTTCTTTGTATACATTTTCTAGATAGGATACATTCGTAAGAACTTAAGAACAATTTAAAATATTTTCATACATAAGAAAATATATCTTGATTACTGTTCTTTACAGACCATGTTGAGGATCCTAAGCCATCATCTCTGTCAACTGGGAAGCAGATATTTCTTCTAATTTTAGGCGTCATTACCATCTGTGGGTGTGTTTTCATAGGTGGTTTATTCTACACTAAGCAGAAGGAGCAGCAACGCAAAAGGTTTTACTAAATGAATTCTAACATGAATTACTACGATTTTGTTTTAAATTTTATGACTGGATGTGAAGTACTATACAGGATCTTACTTTACATTAACTTCGCTTTATATAAAGTTTTGTGAAGTATTTTGTATGTGGATCAATTTTGGTATGTTAACATCTTAAAACTTAGGGTGTGGGCTGATTTATGTGAATTAAGGCCATAAATATGCTGCAGTTCATAGTAAAGCATTTGTTAGCATTTGTACAGTACTGTATATGTATTATACAATGTGCATAAGCATGAGTAGTAAAATAAGCAGGTGTGTGCATTGTTGCAGCCAAAACCTACAGAAATGGTACACTCGCCATGCATTTTATACCTTCGGAGTAAATTCTGTATATTATTCTTTAGGCAGTGTGGTGTTGCCACCGTCCACTGATGGTACACGAGAGATCTAACCAGGGATCATACAAGTCTGTGATGAATATACCAAGTATTAAGCAAATATTTTTGTTTAAAAAAAATATTTATCAATATAGCTGATGCTTTCTCTTTGGGAGCTTGATTTTTTTTTTAAGAAAGCTATGTGCAATTTCAGAAAAAAAGGTTAATGGGTAAAAAAAAAAACTGCTAAGATTGCACACTTAATGTGGTATTGTTGCTTTATAAAACACCAAAAAGCATTCTTCATAATCCTACTCATAGCTTTATAATTATATTTCTTGAACATTAAGTGGCTATACCTGTATAGTAATAGAGGTGTCTATTCTTTATATTTGGCTAAATCTTCATGTAACTTCATAAATTACTTTTTTATTATGTGATGTCTTAAAAGTTGCATTTTGCAGTGAATATCTTGATTTTCACATACAATGTATGTGTGTGGCTTGTAGAGTTGTGTAAAGTTTTTAATGTAAATAAGGAACTTTAAAATGCGTTCAGTTAAATGCAATCCTATTTGCTTTGATCTTAAGAGCCTGGAAAGTTGAAGAATATAGTAAACAGTAATACAATTTGGGAAGTAAAAGTTACAATGTTCAAAGCTCAGTAATGCTTTTAACAAACTATGATACAGTATGTGCATATGAAAGTTTTGTACAACTTAATTAAACCTGAAATGAAAATATATATTCAGGTGGTTTTATCTCAATTTACCATTATATTATAAAAATTAGAGTAATAACAAGAATTCTTTAAATATTCTTTTAAGTTTGATTTAAATTCTGAACACTTCTTCCGAGGTTATTTTACTTTAGAGAATCGTCTGCCTTACTTTCATTACAGTACCTTGTATGTGGCAAGCTTGGTGTACACGTAGCACGATGTTTGCAGCGGTACTGGCTTAGTGCTCTCTAATCGTAATTACCTTAGTTACTTAACAATCCCTCGCTTAATAGTGGTGGGAGATACACTCTGAGGAGCAGCCATCTTCTCTGGGAAACATTATCAAAAGGATAATTCAACATTAATCGTATCCAGCAATTTTGCTAAAGGGAATTCTCATAATTGTAGTACAGTAATTTTGTTATACATTTTTTCTATCTGATTTTTAATCTTTGCACAAAGTAGCCCAAAAATAGATTGTACATTTACTGGCTAATTATCCATTGTAACGATATATAATATATATATATATATAATGTCTTAATATTTTATATTGCTAATCTAAATTATTTACAGTACATTTGTGAAGTTTTGTTTTATCCTGAATTTGTATATTCATATAATATTGAAGTTAGTCATATTATGTGTTGAGTTGATTGACCCTCTGGAATTTTGGGGAGATCAAACAAGTCTGGAATAAGGAAGCTGTAAAGTCTTGTGTATCAGGAAAACAAACAATGTCTTCAACACCTGATGTTCTAAGGCTGTTGAGAGAAATGAATTATCCAAAACTTTAATGTTTTCCATATTTACTCTTAACTATTTGTTTTTTTAACTATTTTTTAATACTTTGTGTGTGAAATTAGTATAACAAGCAAAAACCTTGTTTTCATAAAATAATTGTATGTAGATAAATTTGTTTTTCTAGGGTTGTTCTGCCGTTGTATGATGATGGTCACATTGTGACACATTCAGCACAATAACGTTGATTACGTCCCCCGGTGGCTTTTGTTTTGCAACTTGGTTGTCATTGGCCCAAGTACATAAATCATCAGCAAAGAAGGTGATATAATGAGGTGCATGTATATTATAGCAGCAACACTTACATGTAATGTTAGCAGTTAATAACTAATAAAATAAAGCAGGTTAAACTGGGTTCCCACATTGGTGCTTCCGACTTTACCATCTTTTTCATAAGCTGTATTTTAAACTGTTCCTTGGCTAAACAAGTTTCAGAATTTACCATTTATATGAACTTGTGGAAGAGAATTTTTCTCACTTTTCAGATTGAGTGGGATTTGCAAGTCTCTAGAATTAAGCATTGGTGTAAAAAGTTTTGACTTTGTTACTGGGCATTAATGAGTTCATTGAACCTGAATTTTGCAATAAACAGAAAATATAAATGAAGGATTTTCTGTTTACCTTCCCTCAAATATTTTTAGTGAAAGGAATTTGATTTATAAAATATATACCTGGCACTAATAACTTGAGACATTTGTAAACCTAACCCAATGGTTAGAGCCATCTTAACTCTTCTCCAGCTTCCAAATTAGAAATAGGTAAGTAGTTATCAAAGTAGCAAGCCTGGAAGGAAAAGACTTACATGCACATGACTACAAAAAAGTATATATCCAGAAGTATATGTGACAAAGGGGGAAAGCTTCAGCTTTGGAAAATGGTCACAAGGAAGGAAAGGGGAATGAGGAACCTGTCCTCCAGCTTGATCATGCCAGGGGGTCAACCTCAACAGTATCATAAATTAGCCCCTTCTGCAACTACCCTCTCCTATTCCATGCCTTAGCATTCAACCCACACCCAACTCTGATCTCCTTCCCTTCCTTTAATTACCCATCTCTGCTCCTGCCCCTCAACCTTTGACTTAAAGGAAAAGAAAGTGGTAATTTGGCTGTACAAATCAATGCTATATCCATATCAGGACTACTGCATCCAAGCATGGTTCACCTACGAAAGGACATGTCTGCTTTAGAAAAAGTTCAATGTATAGCAACAGATCGGACCAAAATTAAGTTTGCTCATCCCAACAGAGGTCGAGGGCCTTGTGACTAAGAACACTACTTATCAGACACCTCAGGGTTGATTTCAGAGAGATCAGCCCTGTTGGTCCCTGCAGACACACAAAGCTAAAATATGACATTTGAGCAATAGGTCAATTTTGACCAAGCCTTTTTACCCTTTTATGCATGATTTTAGCCTATTAACCACTGTACTGTGCAGTGTGTCCCTAAGGTGCTCTGAGAAGTGCTTTTTTTTTTAATTAGGCTATATTTTAATGTTTTTTTAATGTTTGTATCACCGTGTTTTGAAATTAAAATGGTTGAGTTTGGAAACAGTTTGACATTATCTGAACATTTATAAAAACAACAAAAATATGTCATTAACAATTGCACCATGAAGTTTTTGCCAAGAGCAGGTGTGTAGTGCAGTGTTTAAGGGAATTGCTTTAGGCACAATAATCAATACTGTTCAGTTGTGGATCTGGTTCATGCCATACATGAGCAACATAGAAAATTAATTTCGTTGCTTGATAGTTAAGCATCAATAATTTATAATGTTAAGTCTAGTTATGAATTAGCAGTGATTAAAGGAACTTACTTAAAGAGGAGGGGTATTATGCTGTCTTGCAGTACAGTAGCAATAAATATTAATATCAAATTACATATAAATAAAAGGGAAGTTACATTACTGGTGTCAATGAACAGCTTTAAAGATAAACTTCATAGTGTTTATGGTTCTACAAGTAAATAATGTGTATTATCGGGTAGTTAATAATTGAAATGAAAATTAAGCCTTCAATTGTTTGATGTTTGTTCCACCATAAAGGCAATTACTACAGTACTGTATTTCTAAATTTTCCACTACTCAGGAACTAGTAGCCAAGATTAAATTCAAAAGATGAATGAGCTGATATACCCCAAGTACTGTAGTTATAGTTTTCAGCAGAAGTACTTCTTTCAGTGGAGTAAGAAAAAACCTTTTCAACAGTGGGATGGAAAATATTAGAGGAGCTGGTACCAAATCTGCACACAAACAACATCACACGAGACCAGAAGTCATGGCACGATGCAGTCCGTTCTCATGAACAAAGTCCAATCCATGCACCCATCACCCTGTGTTTATGAATGAAAAACAGTTTACACAAGACTCAACTGATGACGTTCGAACACTTTTCAAACAAGTGCTTTGTTGACAACTTTTGCTCGAACCACAATGCTGTAAATGCTTCACCCACATACCATAAATACAGATAATTGCCAACAGAACCTAAACACCTAACCTAACGTAATCAGTGCCTAAATATGCACAGTATGCTAGTATATAACAATATTAATTTGTATTTATAAAAATTCCTTTTTTGAATAAACAGCATTTTTAAAATCGATGAATGCATCTTTGGGGTTGACCACTGGATGGAATGGACTTGATCTGAGGACAGGTTGCAGGATGCAGCCTGTCCTCTCAACAAAGAACCAAAGTCCATTCCATGCACCCGCCAAACTACATTTATGAATGAAAAACGGTTTACACACGTACTGTACTCACAACTGATGACATCTGAACATCTCTGGAACAAGTGCTTCGCTGATGACTTTTGTTCAAACCACAACGCTGTAAATGCTTCACCCACGTACTACAAATACAACAGATTCACCAACAGAACCTAAACACCTAACCTAACCTAACCAGTGCCTAAATATGCTAATATATAATATTAATTTATATTTGAGAAAAGTTCTATTTTGAATGAACAATGTTAAAATTGACGAATGTGTCTGAGGTCGACCGCTGGATAGAATGGACTTGGTCTGAGGATGTGCAGAGTACCTCTGTTGGAAAGCAGAGGTGTTCTAATTGGAGTTTGGAAGAGCGACTAAAAAACCTTTAAAGTAGCTTACATCTAAGTTTAAATAACGATGAACCAAAATCTTTAATTGCCATTGTCTGGAGTGCAAATCTAGAGATGGGTAAGCTATTATGATTGAAGAAGCGGCATATTGGCTCTTCTTGCCGTTACATGGACCAGAAGCAGGTATAAAATACCAGACTGGTATAAGAGCATCCTTGCTATGTATATTACATTACCACCAGCCACAGCTGCCACCTACCTTCTGTGTAGTACAAAGTGTGTAGCAACACTTGCCTTTCCACCTGCCATCGTCTATGTTTGTGACACCTAATCCCCTTAGCTGCCAGCTGCCCTGCATGCCACCTGACTCAACATCTGCAACAGTGAACACCTCCATAGGTATGTCTTGTGTATATCAATGATGTGAGAGAATGTGTCTGCTGAAACAATAAGTATCAGTATAATTTTGAACATAGTGCTCAAGGGGACAAAGTACCTTTTAAGTAAGAAATGTGGATAAATATCCAAAGAAGCTATCTTCATAAGAAGTGTATGAATGATTAATTTACACCATTAACCATGAAGTATATTATTTCCATGTGTTGTGTGTTTTGCAATATGTGATATAGCTAGAAACAACATTGCTAACAGTATTAAGTAATTATCAAAATAAGGCACCAAGCTGGGAAGACCGAACAATATTATATGGAGGAAACCATTATGCATGAACAGGTCGAGTTCTGTATTGAATTAAATACAGCAGAGTACTGTATGTCATTCTCTTGGGCCTGCCCATCCAACCAAGACTGTTAATAGTGGATTGTGATAAGATGGGAAAGCTCATTTGAACGTAATTATGAAAAACACAAGCAGCATGTAGTCGATACCAAGGAAATTTAAAACCATTCTGCTTCATATTCTTATATTTATTCCCACAAACAAACCACATCCAAACAAATGCAGTACAGTAATTAACTGAATACAGCAATTTGCAGAACATTTAACAAAATAAAAAATCTTAAAACCGATGAACTATCATTTCTTCCAACATTTATTGCAATTTAGGAAGGAAAGTCTGGCAAAGAGCAGTAAAGTGTAACATTCACATAATGACTAAAGTACAATGCATAATTTGAAATGAAACACTTAAAGGAAGAAAAAAGGTTTTATATTTGTAACAAGGAGGAATGGCTCAACGAGGGTTATGTATACAGTACTGTAAATTAAATTATAAATGAACTTTGCTATCTACGATGAAAAAATATATGCAGCTATGGTTGAATTTAGCTTATTAAACCTGGCTACAACTCTTCCTCAGGACACGATAATACCAAAATGTCGATCATATAATTTAATAACCATTACAAACTTGAGACTACCAGAATCCATGAACAGTGTTGTACATATTTTTTCGCCAATACTTTTGCATTAATCCTTGCCAAATTATTCAGCTTTGAATTTATTTTTTAGATGCAACAAGGCTATGCATCTAAAAAATGCATAGAAAATACTCAGAAAACTCAAGCTATAATGGCAAGATATTTACCATTGTCTGCAATGAGAGATGTGTGTAATGCCCGACAAATGTATCGACATAGCCAACACCTTGCTAAATCTCTCTCTCTCAAGAAACACTTCAGTATTACCAACATTAAAATTATGTTTGTAACTTGTTTACTGTCCCCATATCACAACAAATTTACCTCTAGCAACTACTGGGAGTCAGTGCTAGATTAGCTGCTCTGTTCTGTTGGCCATGGTACAACTTGGGCTTGGTGAGTACAGATTCATATGCAGACAATAAGTCACAATAACATTACAGAAAATTAAACACTCGACCCACAAATCTGAAAATATATGAATTGACATTACAGTATTTCAATCTGTCCAGGTCAATTATAAAGTCCAGGATGGATCGAAATATCATTCTTTTATTTTCCGATCTGTGTGGTTGGGTGTCTAAAAGATTCATTTTTTTCACTATGGCTTAAAGTACTACCAACAATATATTAATCGTACATGAATAAGCTACTTGGTCTAGTGTACGATAAATATGTAGAGAAATTCCTATATTTTTCATCCAAAGGCATCTTGCAATACGAATCTAAAAGGTTAGGTTACTGTACTGTATATTGAGTCTGTGTTTCAAAATTTCTCCCTTGAATATGAGAATGACTACATTCTCATGACCTTTATCGCTTCAGAAATATGATAATTTCTGCAAAATGTACTAATTATAGTTAGAATACTGCCCTAAAAAACAGTAAAATTTGGTGTGATATTCCACAAAACCAGGAGTGAATCACTGTTAAAATAACCAATTAGCAAGAGAAGGCAACAAGCCTTGGAGACTATTTAGCACCGCATGCATCTTAGAATATTCAAGAGTACAGTACTCAGATATCACTTAAAAGACAAGACGAGTGATGTCGGCACAATCAAATTTACAGGAAAATCAAGCAAACAGTGGGAAGGCAAAATTTCCAATTCTGAGAGTCGAGACATTTCATGAGGTGCTCAACTGTTAGGGGAACAATGCAGTTCTGACACTAAGGTGCAGATCACTTACATCCAATACCCACAAGTTAACTGCACTGATAATACAGAACTCAGCCAGAGATATTTCCTGTTCTCATGGCAGGAGGAAGGCCATGGGGATAGTACATAACTTGTTATTTATTGCGAGTGGTTCGCTAATCAGATAAAATATAAAAAAAACTATATATTTTACCTATTTCTTATGTAGATATGTATTTAAAAGTATGAACGAAAAAATTCACCCACAATATCAACTATTACTTTGGCCTAGTCAACATTCCTCCTAGTATTTGTCAGCACAATGTTGTGATGGGAAACAGGACCAATTTTCTTTTACCATTTGAAATATTTTGACAAGAAATCTGTATGCGAAGGTAAATTGATGACAAATAATATCGTGTAGTACAGAATTATAACTGTTTTATCGGGGACAGGACGCTTGCATATACTTTAGGCTTGTGTTGAGGTCCCTCAAGATCGAACTACTGACTCATCCCAGGATGCAACCCCACAAGTTACCCAACTCCCAGGTAACTATTTACTGCTGGGCGAACACAGGCATTAGGTGAAAGGAAACTTGTCCAACCATTTTTGTCCCGCTCAGGAGTCACATGAAGAGAGACCAGAAGCTGAACTACAATATGTCCAATTACAAAATATTTAGCAACTTCACATGAATGCTGTGAAGACGCCATTTAGCTACAAGAACCACATGAGCAACCTCTGTATTCTAATTTGCCTTGTAGCCGAACCGGCGTCATTTATCAACAGTGTTCAAGATTACTCTATTATATAACAAATAATTAACAAGAAAGGGTAAGAATTGTATTTTGAAGAAGCTGAAAATAAATGTTTTAAATATCACATTGTGTGCATTCACTTGGCAAATGACTGCCAACACACCACTGAATATTAATATTGCCAGTTCGGTTTACATGTTATATTGATCACTCCAATTTTATAGAGTAATTTTTGTAATTATTCACTCCTAGGATTTAAATATGACAACTTTATTGAAGAATCTTTAAAAAGAGAACTTGCATGATGGACCAACTACCTACCTACCTGTAGTTGCCAACATTGCATTGATTCTGGAGGGGGGTGTCAAAGTCCCAGCAATCCAGTTTCTGACCTGGCCACCAGGTTGTTGGACGTGGCTGCTTGCAGTCTGACGTACGAATCACAGCCTAGTTGATCAGGTATCCTTTGGAGGAGTTTATCGAGTTCTCTTGAACTTTGTGAGGGGTCGGCCAGTTATGCCCCTTATGTGTAGTGGAAGTGTGTTGAACAGTCTCTAATGTTGACCAACACTACATTATTTGCTTCAACAATTGGTTAAAATGAACAAAATTTCCATTTTTGAACACATTCCATTACTTGAATAAAAATATAAAATATAGGAGCAGAGTACATTCCTATGTCTCACACAAGAGGTGGTGGGGTTTTCCAGGCACTAACATGACCCCCTTTCCCCATTATGTACAAACATACAGAACAAGTGTACAATAATAAATCAATACAATGTGGTAGGGCATAAATACCATGCCATAATAAGCAAGTAATTATTATTGAAATTACCACATCCACCTAATATCAGCATAATGAGAAAAAACAAAAATACTTGAGCACCAAAACTATGCCAAGAATATTGGTTAAGCTAAAAATTGAGCAAAACCATGCACACAACCACCAAAATTATTGAAAAATATGAAACCACTGTATAACAGTTTCCTGACTGGCACTCAACTGCCAGACAGAATTCTACATTAAACAGCATTTTCATTTGTTCACTTTATTCATCAATGAGAAAAAAAAATTAATACTAATGCATACAGTATTTTATTATTAGTTTATATTTGATGAACATTGAAAATTTCCAAATTCAAGCAAATGATAGGTTCTCTTAGTTCAAGAAGCACTTTGATTTTTCTATGTAAAATACATCGCGTGTTCTTAGTGGACATTCTTACTAACTTAGTCTTCCCCACCTAATGAGACCTTGGTATACGGATGTTTAATTTGGTAGGAGGTTACCTTGAGGTGATTTCAGGGCTTAGAGACCCCACGGCCTGATCGTTGACCAGGCCTCCCAACATTATATATCATTATATAGGATATCACATTTGGATCCTGAACCCTGTGTTGTAAAAGCCAACAAAAACAGGACTAGCAGGTTACCAGCAGTTATTAAGACTTGATAAGAATACAGTAGTAAAATCATAACTGTCTCAGAACAAAAATATTTGGTTAAAACAAATTTGTTATATTTTGCCTTCAATTTATTTTTCCTAAGAATTCTTGAAGTTAACATGACTTGCAAATATTCATCAAATACAGTATCTTAATAATTATCAAATGGAAGCAAAAAGCCATGATTGCTACACAATGAAGTACTGTCTTGCAAAATAATCAAGACTTTATAGATCATTAGAAATGCAAATACATGAGCAGAAAGACAAAATGATTTAAATAGAAGAGGCAGATTCGCAGAGGATTTTATCAATGGATAACAGACTCTAAAAGAACAGTTGGAACAGAGGAAAAAAAAAAGAGAGAGAAAGCTGTAGTTTTCCAATCTGCTTTGTCCTAGTGCCAGCTGTTTATAGGTAGCGGTGGAGTAAATAGATGGAATAAAATGTGGAAATGTTTACTGTTATGAAGGTGAAGAACCTGCCAGTCCAGTTCAAGGTAAAGGGATGAAATGCAGAGAAAATGATATATACAATCACATGATATGTGTCACAATCAGACACAATTGTGATTCTATACGAGCTGGTTTGTTAATATTTAATAATAAATGTTTTAAAATCACTTTTAAGGATTAATGGTGCAAGGGGACTTGATAGGGTTCGATTCTCCATCAACAGGTAAAAAAAAAAAAAAAAAAAAATCACACCCCTACTCTGTTGTGTGCGCCCAAACTAGAACTAGTGATTTCTTCTCTTTTTTTTTCTCTTTCTTTCACTAAAAATCTCTCCTCAAGACAATGAGGAGTTTTTATGTACAAGTCCTCTCCTCTAATTCATGTCTTGTAATTGAGATACCCCCTTCCCTTCCCACTCCCGCCATTTGCTGTACTGTGATGTATTCAGTGGTCATTTCCTTAAACAAAGCTTTAATGTTAATGAAATACAGTAGTTTGGAGATGGATGGGCTCATGGTTCAACAGTAAAACCTTTCAGTTATCTAGTGTCTATCTGAAGACTAAGAATGCACACCTTAACATACTCGGTATCTTCGGTGTATCAAGTACAAAATGAAATTCATTTTTTCCTTTAAATTTGTCTGATATTATCTTATGCAAATTCACATTGTTTAAATCTAGTTAAGCAAACAAAAAAATCTATTATTTGTGCCAAAATATTATGCTAAATACAGATGAACAATCTTGACAAGCAAGCACGTAATTATCAAAAAATCAAAATCATTATCAAAAGAAGGCACCAAGCCGGGAAGGCTATGCAGCACCATCAAATGTGCAGGATATTTAAAAAGGCGTTAAATATCACAAAGAATGCCAATACAAGAACAAAAGCGCATAGTGCAAATACGAACAGCTTTTCAGGGATAATTTTACTGTTGCAAAGTCCATTTTGAGATCACCATCACTTGAACTAAAGTCATTACACAGCAATCACACTTGAAATGGCCTTCTTGCAGAAGCTTCTTGTAAAAGTTGAATATGTTACATTAATTAATTAATTTAACACTTTCAAGTTCTGATGACACTAAAACACCTCAACTGACCAATTCATTAACATTTGTATATTCATTGTTGTCCCATATAATCTATTATCAGTACACTTTTGTTTTTACATCCATTCTCTAGAGAATTCATTTGTGAACATTTTGAGATCAAATTTTATAGTAATAACCATCCCAAAAAACTTAGAAAACATACAATGATTATAAAAAAAATTCACATTACTGAGTGGCCCAGGAACTCAGAACGTTTACAGCTGGAAAAGCACGTTAGAGACAGATCACCAGTGTTTGTTTATTAAAGTACAGTAATATCCAACAGAACACTAAAGTCTCTTGTGTTTTCTAATCCAAATCGTAAAAACATGCCAGAAGTACACTGGGCAACAACTTCGTAATCTTCTGTTTATCATCAAAAGAAGGCGACAAGCTGGAAAGACCATGTAGCACCATCAAAGATGCTAAATATCACTAAGGATGCCAATACAATAACAAAAGTGCACAAGACAAGCGATATCAAAGGTATTGGATTCACCAATGATTCTATCGAGGGACAGTAGTGAAGCAAGTCACACAAACGTCCTGAAGATCAGGATATTCAACAAGGAGATGTACAACTATAAGGGGAACAATGCAGTTTGGACAATAAAGAGCTAGGCAGCATTCCATTAAGTGCCTGTGGGTTAAATGTACACAGCCAATACGCAACCTTGCCAGGCCGTTTCTCACCACCGTTTATGGTGGGAGGAAGGCCAAGGGATATTTCAAGTAACTCAAGACCAATGACCTGCCAACAGTCACGGATCGAGGAATGAATGACTGGGTAGAAATCACAAGGAATGGGCTTTTCAGGAAGCAGGACAAGAAATAGCATCCTTAGCAGCAGTATCTGCATACTCATTTAAGGAAATACCAATGTGGCTGGGAACCCAGCAAAACTCAACCTGCTTAAATCTTCCAGAGATTAAAAACAGCCAACATTGGATTTCGACTACCACAGAATGCATAGTATTAAATTACTCCAAAGTCATGAGAGCACTACAAGAGTGCACAATGACAAAGGAGTGCTGCCAACGGAAAATCAATCGACAAAGGGCATACAATACTGCATACAGTCCAGCCAAGAAGATGATGCTCTCCAGATGCAGGCAGCTCATATAGGTTTGGTCTGGGAAAACAACATTGTATCCAACACCATCAGCAGATTTAGACCCATTTGCAAAGAGAGGCAACAGAATGCAAGTGCAAAGAAAATTGTTCAAGGAAATGCCCTTTCAGAACAATGGAAGGGGGAAGAAGCCTTTACCATGTGGGGTCAAAAACAAAATGTCACAAGGAAACCCGCCATAGAGGTACGGATGGAACGACACGAGGAGAAACATTGCTAACACAAACCAAAAGGGAGGCTTGTAAGAGACATCCTAAGAGAAAAAGGAAGGTGGCAAAAGGGAACAGGGCCAACCAGAGGGGCAACAGCCAAAGCCCAGCAAAAGCGAGAATGAGGATGTTGCAGAGACCTTGCAAGGTAGCGAAGGCAGTAACAATTCCAACGATAATGTAGAGACAAGACACCTGTTTCAACATAAGCTCTGGATATGGGATGAATGAAAGGCACCAAAGCCAAGGTGCCCAAGGTGCCAAACCCAGCATGGTGCAAAGCTAATTCAACATTACGAAGGGTCGAAGGAGAGGAAGTACGGGACAAGGCTCGAAGCAATGAAAGGGCCTTAGAGCATTTGACTTGAAGGTAAGAGAAATGGGGTAACCAAGATAAACAAGTGTCAAAAATTAACCCCAACATGCTAATACAAGATGGCCAATGATGGCAAACAATAATTTTTTGCATAACTAAAGATTTGTGGCAGAGAAGTAGATAAGATATATCAAGTAACTATCCTCATTTCAATTCAGTATTTAGTAAAAAAACAATAAAAACAATCAAGTACAAATTACCAGTTTAATATCAAAATATATTCCTCTTACTATATACAAAACAAATGGCGAGCATCAAGATTCCCTGCCTGTTTTTCAACACAAGGAAAATCATGAGCGTACAGCAAATGCCTACAATTTACATCTTTCTGTACACAATGACACACATGCAGATGCTCAGTATTTTTGTTCACAATAAATATATTTTTACAGAAAATCTCTCACTATGACTGTGAAGGCATTTGCTGAAATTTGCAACATTTTATGCCATAGTTGGATAAAAGAACTTTTTTTCGACATTCACAGTAAGGTAGAAAAAGAGACAATATTGTGGAATTTTAAAAAATAATTTGAGTACAAGTGTTAACCATACTACTGTATGATACACTAATGATCTTTACCTACCAATGCTTCTATCATTGTAATTTACCACAGACTTACTATGTAAACTTTATGACAAAAATACAAACACAGTAAAGGCTGTGAGCACACGCAAATGAAGCACTCTGGGAATAATATTCTATCACTGAGCAATGTAGTCTAGCTGGCACTATACCACATAGCTTGAGCTCTTGCTTCTATTGTTTACAAGTTTTAAAGATATTATTTTGAGAAAATCAGGAGCCATTGTGCATTAGATATTATTTTACTTTGCTGGAGATGGAAGAATACTTGCCAGGAAGCCTTCAGGTATAATTACACATGTAATTGTGCCTAAAGTTATGAAATTACACACGTAATTGTGCCCAAAATTTGAAATTCAAATTTTTGTATTTATTCCCAATAACAAAATTAGGACATAACCTGTGTAGGTATGTAGACCCCAAAATAAATGTATAACACTAATATATAAGTGGCTGTATATTAAACTAGTATGGTTACATAGCAATATGCACAACAAATTAATCCGAGTTGACTATAACACGTAAAATTAAGTTAGAGGAACAGTAATTCAGGTTATCCATAATAACTGTCTCAGTCACTGTGGATATTATCTGTGACATGTGCAAGACATCTGGTACCTTTAAACCAGAGAACAATGCAGTCACCATTCCTATGTGTGTGTTATTGCATTACTCTAACCAGAGGGCAAAGCTAAGGTAATCCCGGGCAAAGTACATTGTTCTGTCCAGCCATTTCAGGCAAACTGTGCGCTACATGTATATATAAATAAAAGTTACATCTTTAACTTCCTTAAATTAATTTGCAAGACACTGCTGTTCACCAGCTACTATATTAAGGGGGCCAATAGATAGTTTTTTAAAAGTTGTTCAAAGTCAACCAATATTTTTTGACTAATTGTATATGAAAAGGGCTGCAATTGTTCCAAGTTTCAGTACTGCAGCCTAAATAGAAAGGGAGATTTGATTTTTGTTTTTATTTTTTTCAACAAATTTTACACATTTTCAAATTCGTATAACAACCACAAGCTTCAAATGAAATCATTTCTATGACAATTTTCTTGACACATTAGCATACAATAAAGAATCTGGGGCCGGGGATTTCCCAAAACATCTTTAGTTTTCCCAAGACAAATAGACAAAGTTCCCCCCAAAATTATGCAAATATATCATCTTTTGTTATTATAAAATCAATAAATGAACTTTGGAAAAAACACCGACTCCTGATTTTAGAGATAAACTTTACATACAAGGTGTAAGTTTCATGTAAGTTTAACAAATAAGAACAAAATTGAAAAAAAAAAAAAAAAAATTTAACTTAATTTTTTTTAATAAAACTAATTTTATTTATTTTTTAATATATGCTATTATGATAGCTGAGAGTCAACGACATGATTTTAGTTGACACTTGTGTTTGATAATCATTTTTGACCATTTTAGAAAATTTTTGAAGCATAATTCAATATTTTTTTCTCCCTTCCTATTTATGCTACGATGCCGAGACTTGGACCAGATGAAACCCTACTCATATACAACTAGTAAAAAAAAAAATGGGTTGACGTTGAACAACTTTCAAAAGCTATCTATGGGCCCTTAACATACTAGTATTTGTAATGATGGAAAATTATTATGCAATATCCCTGAAGCCATTGTTTAATGCCACATAAATTATAAATTTAATTTAAGTTAGTTATATACTCTTAAAGCCTAATCTGATAAATTATTATTTATATCCCAGAAGAAGTAAGTAATTATCAAAAGAAGGCACCGAGCCAAGACTATTTATCCTAAGAGGAAGCTCATGAACATTTAAATTTTTCCACAATTTAAGATTAACCTGGAAACTATCTGTGAAGAGAAAGCAAAATTATTCTGCAACTTAGAAAATGAGTAAAATAGTATTGGTATTATTTATGCATTGTCATAACCCCATTTTCTACTTCCATGCCTGCTAAACAAAACTTTAATAACATGGTGATAATATAATATACTGTATATAAATAATCTTTATGAAGCAGTACCATTTCTAGTATCAAATCACCATAGATAAAAATGAATTACAATAGGCTACTTGTGATTAAATTCTTACGAGTTTAATTTTGTAGCACAGCTTACCCAAATATTTCAATATACTGTACTATACAGTGTATGTCATGAATCTCAAGAAATACTCCTACAGGATTTATAATTTATATGTCTAATAATGACAGTATTATCACTTCAAAAATCAATGGAATCCCTTCAACATCTAAATTATTGCTGTGTTTTAATTACTACTGATCAATGTCTTAAGCTTCCATTAGAATTTGTTTTCATTAAAACACATACAATCATTTCCTGCAGACTAGGTGTATATTATGTAATGATCTTGAAGGTGAACACTTTGAACATGCACCTTTTGTCATAGCAGTAACAATATTAATGTCCTCTGACACTAGTGCTCAAACAAACCCCCTCACTCGTTAACACACCAGTAGTTGAATTACAGCACCTATAATACAAAATACACTGGCTAGGTAATAAATTTGCATATTATACAAAATCTAACACTGCAATATCATTATCTACAAATATTATATTATTTAATATAATATATAAGTTGCTAAATAACTCCAAAGTCTATTAACATTTACTTTGATTTCATGTTTTTCACTATGCTAACTGCAAGACCAACTGTACAGTATTTCACGCATCTGGCCGCAGCATGTCCCTTCACTCACTAGTTCAGGCGTACCTAACACAAGCTCTTCACTATAAACCATGGCATTTTGGAAATAACATCTCTTACAAGAATCAATTTCCAGCTAAAGTGACTTCATCCACAGACCTCCTTCCTCAACTCATACCTGTATTTGCAATACTGTCATAACTTACTTGTTTAAGAATAAATACAGTAATTCCCATTTATGAGTAGTTTACTAAAGGAATGAAATGCTGATACAAATATATAGTTAGGTCTATAAGTAAACTGTGTTTGCTCTTGGTTATAAATGATATAACATAAGATTACACGTCTATATACACACACCTTTATATGACAATAATATCACTTTAAAAATAAAGTGGCAATTCTTAACTTTACATTATCTTTTAAAGACATTACAACTGCTTTAGAAAAAAAAATTAATGAAAATCCATTCCCACCAGGACACAAGGACATTATAACTAGCTGAAAAGTCAAGTGAAAACATCAGCTCCAAGTCCAAGAGAGACACATGAATTAACTACCTGTATTAAACCTAAACTCTTAGTGCCTCTTGTTAATATTCAGTGGGGAATATAAAATAGGTTTATTATGGAAATACTATAATTAATATATAGAATTTAGTTGATTTTTCTAATCATAACTTTTTTTTATTATTCCTCAAAGTCAAAGTAATCTATGGGAGGTGGTTTGGCAGCTGCTGGATCACCTTCTTTTTTAACAGAGTTTGACTTTTCTAATTTCTGCATTCCTTGCCGAGCATCGCTGTAAAGTGTGGAATTTGTTTGTTATTCGGATATAGTGTATATATACAGAGATAATACAATTCAAAGTGACATTATTTACTTACCAAGATTTTGCAATACACTACTGTTTTTTCTCTAGTAAATTACTTGTATTCATTCATAATGATACTGCACTACCTTTCTTCACATTTATTAATGACATTTCCAAAAGATGTAATACAGCACATCGCTAAGGCAATAACCCACGTCATACTTCACCTTGCTTATATCTCTCCTTTTTCAACACAAATTTTCTGTTCATCATTTTAGCTACATAGTCAAAAGTAATTGATATAGACATGACAACTAAGATACTGTATTTGCCAGCAAATAGGATATATCTTTTGCTTCACCATCAATCAAATATGTATTGTGTTTACATGACCGAAATCATAAGCTTTCCCCCCTACATAACCACTTGAACGTCACTTTAGGAGTGTCTTATATGAGGGCAAATACAACCATTATAACAGTGTAAAATCTTAAATACAAATTTACCCAATTATTGATAATCTCGTGCATAATATTTTGCAGCTTGTGGCTTGTTGAGCTCAACAAGCCACTTTGTAACATTATTAGTAGCAATATTAGCTTAACATTGATCTACATCAACTATATTATTTTTAAGCCCCTAGCTCCCTAAATATATGTACAGAACAGTACTTCAGACTACTAGATCCTCAATTATTAAACCCACATTTGAAGTAACATAATGGCAGTTCTAAAATTGGATGTAATCACCAAGAGAACAATTGACCACAACCACACGTTCATTTCCATTCATTATCATTATTCTTTCTCCATGTTTAGCATTATGGGTAAAAACTGCCAAAGAAAAACTAGCAGAGGTCACAGTCTGCTAAACACACTAAAATGGCTACTAAAGTTCAACTCAGGAAAGTGCAAAGTAATGAAATTAGGCAAAGGGAGCAGAAGGCTGAACACAAGGTACCATCAGGGAGGTAAAAATCCTGCAAGTCAAATAGAAAGATTGGGGGGGGGGGGCATCAGCGGCATATGCTAGACTGGCCAACGTAAGAACTGCCTTTAGAAACTTGTGTAAGGAATCGTTCAGGATCCTATATACAACTTATGTCAGACCAATCCTGGAATATGCAGCTCCACCTTGGAGCCCATACCTAGTTAAACACGACAAAGAGAAGATTCAGCAGTATGCCATCAGACTCGTCCCAGAACTGAGAGGTATGAGCTATGAAGAAAGGCTAAAGGAGCTGAAACTCATGTCCTTGGAAGACAGAAAAGTAAGGGGAGACATGATAACCACATACAAAATTCTCAGGGGAATTGACAGGGTGGACAAAGACAAACTCTTTAGCATGGGTGGAACACGAACAAGGGGACACAGGTGGAAACTTAGTACCCAAATGAGCCACAAAGACATTAGAGCAAATAGAAAGAGAATATTTTCTTTAAATATAGAAAGACATTAGAAAGAATATTTTCAGTGTCAGTAGTTAACAAATGGAATGCATTAGGCAGTGATGTAGTGGAGGCAGACTCCATACACAGTTTCAAAAGTAGGTATGATAGGGCCCAGTAGGCTCAGGAATCTGCATACCAGTTGATTGACAGTTGAGAGGCGGGACCAAAGAGCCAAAGCTCAACCCCCCGCAAGCACAACTAGGCGAGTACAGCCGACTGTCAGTGCCAGTTGATTGACAGTTGAGAGATGGGATTAAAGAGCTAAAGCTTAACCCTGGCGAGAACAACTAGGCAATTACAGCAATCAATACATTTAAGTAAGGATAGTGGAGTAGAACACTTCTTGACCAAATGCCCTACTTCTTGATGGCCGAGAAAGTACCATACTGTACTATTAACTACACTAGCACTCTGAGAGCATATGATAATGCTGACACTTCTGTACATACATACACACACACATTATTTATATATATATATATATATATATATATATATATATATATATATATATATATATATATATATATATATATATATATATATATATTGCCCTTGCAATATATATATATATATTGCAAGGGCAATATATATATATATATATATATGCCCTTGCTGAAGTCAGATTGACTTCAGCAAGGGCAAACAGGCAGGCCAAAACCAGGAAAGACACACTCCTCCCTTTAATTTTCTAAATGTATATTACCTCCTCCCATTGCCATAATCATGCATGAATATTTCTAACACTTACTTCACAGGAGACTTGCGAGTCCAGACTGGAGCAGGTACTTTCCTTTGGCCTTGTTCTCGTTGAATCACTGTCAACACGCTCATTGGTGGTAGGCAGCACTGATACACAGAAAAAGTAAAACAAATTTAGCAAAAGATAATTCCTATGAAAACAAATACTGAAATGATTAATATTTTTAACGAATGCCTCATGATTTATTTAATACAAATTACCACCTCAAAACCAATTAGGCCTTCATTCTTTGCAACATGAAAGGGTAAATTTGATTAAAAAAAACCAAGAGATTTGGAAATACACAAGATGGACAACTTAATGAAATATGAAAGACTAAATAAGAGGGAATACAAGAATAAAATAGTGTACTGTGAGAGGAATGAGCTACGAGGAAAGGCTAAAGGAGTTGAACCTCACGTCCCTGGAAAACATAGGAGTAAAGGGAGACATGATAACCTCCTACAAAATTCCCAGGGGAATTGACAGGGTGGACAAAGACAAACTCTTCAGCACGGGTGGAACACGAACAAGGGGACACAGGTGGAAACTTAGTGCCCAGATGAGCCACAGAGATGTCAGAAAGAATTTTTTCAGCGTCAGAGTAGTTAATAAATGGAATGCACTAGGAAGTGATGTGGTGGAGGCTGGCTCCATACAAAGTTTCAAATATAGGTATGATAGAGCCCCCATAGGCTCAGGAATCTGTATACCAGTTGATTGACGGCTGAGAGGCGGGACCAAAGAGACAAAGCTCAACCCCCTGCAAGCACAACTAGGTGAGTACAGCTAAATTTATTATGAATCTGTATTGAAGTCTTTTGTGTGGATTAAGTGATAGGAAATACGTATACCTATTCATTTTGGAAACATTTGGCATATCAAGCTGCATACACAGGCACAGCCTCGTGTCAAGTTTTGACTCATTTTTTTTTGCCGCAGCTTTTATTTTTGGTCGGGTTGAAACCATGGGTCAAAATGAGAGTTCAACACAAAATTCCAGAATTAGAAATGAAAAGGTTAAAAATTTCAAGGGCATAAAAAGATGAAGAAAAACAAATAATATGCAGTTAATGAGTGTGTTTAAAAACAATAAGATAAATACGTACATCTAGAGAAAGGCACAAAGTAGTAACAAAGATTTTAGTTTTGCTTACCGACCCTCGTACAGCTGTGGCAACAACATTCTTTTTTGGTTCGTCGTCATAAGATTGACTCTGGCATCCAAAATGTTCACAATACTCATGGACAAACTGACGCTTTTCTCGGTTCATTGGCGCAAATGAATGAATACAACTCTTTTGCTTGGACTGGAAACAAAAAATATATTACTTTGGATCACATATTAACAAATATTTAGCAATCACTTTTCAATACATTACCCAACGAAAACATTTAAATGACATGAATCGTCACTGAATTACGAGTGAGCAAAATGAACCAAAAATTATTCAATACTACAATGCTTCACACCTATTAACCAAATGTATCAAGTACCATTTCAAATAAATAAAACCAGCATTGATTGTAATAAAATGCCCCTTTCTTGGGGAGGGGGGTACTTGGCAGTTCACTGTTACTTGTAACAAAGAGATATCTCCACACACATATAAGTCACATCAGCCCTAGGATGACAAGAGGGCAAAACCTGGGCCACCTCAAGAGGAGCAGGGAGCAGTGGTGTCATCACCCCTCCTCACCAATGAAACAAACCCCCAGAAAGGTTGTGAAGCAAAACAGACAACTACAAGGTTTACAGAAAATAAAACAATGCAGCAAACAACTTGGTAAATGATCCATCCAGTTGTTTGGTCATACCCCTTCCCATTCCTCTAGTTACAGCTGGCCATCACTAAGTGGCACCACGACAGGAGCTGTCAGCCATCGTTAGTCTGGATCCTAGAACCAACCGATGCACTTGGTTGGTAGGCAGAGGAGGATCTAGGAAGCCACAGAGGCCCACCCAGAAAGAGGCCTTTCATTACAATCAATGCTAGTTTTCTGGAAGGGTCAAACAGTGGCTCCACATTGCCAACTAACTGAAGAGAAGGCAAAAATGGAACTCTCATGGGAGGAGAGCAAAGATCAAACCTCCTGAAAGAAAGAGACCAGGACAAGAACACTACTTAGGATAAAACAAGCTTGATGGGGACCAGACACTGACCAGGTAAAGAATCACCCAAGACCCTGGGGGTCCTCCAAACCCCCCAAGCCCAGATATCAGCTCGAGACAAGCGAGATAATACAGCGGCCAAAACCACAAACTTTCAAACGGTCTTCCTTTGGGCATGTTAATGCCCAAAGGAAGACTGCATGCTGGCTAGATTTTATGATTCTAAGGACAGCCAGAGATGGGTGAAATAGGACCAAGAAGACCAGATCAACAAATGACTCTACCCCTTGAACAATGTATCCCTGGTCGAACAAACTATGAAACCAAAGCCAAAGGACACCACCCAGAAGCCAACTGTCTCATTCGTCACCAGAGAAGAAGGCTGCATGCGAGGAAACCGCTCGTCAGGGGAGAAAGAATAGAATGTCTTAAAAAAAGCGATCATGGATTGAAAGGATGACCAAGAACCAAAGAAGGAAAAGAAAAATCAACACCCATGGCAACAACAGCGGTCCAGCTAAGGCCGAACAAAAAGAGGCTATACCATTCGGCTTAAGATGCTGAACAACAGCATGGCATACCCATCTAGTTTCATGTCGATTTTGCAGTCTGCTGTTTTCTGGGATGTTACTTGGTATTTTTTACCCAGATGGCCACCCCTGTTGTCTCTGAAATTCCATATGTATGATCAGCATCAGGTGGAGAGAGATCACTAGATATGCAAGCTTTCCATGAAATGTTTGGGAAAGCATCACACTACAAATATAAAACTTTTGACAACTACTAAACAAGCAGAAGCAAGACAAGGCCAGTGACTTCTGTAACACATGAGAAGTTACCACACACAGCCACCACATGATGGCTGTACCTCAAAGATAATCAAAGGAGACCTGCCAACTACCTGTCATATAAGTAGCAGTACAACAAACTTAGGTCATATAATGACCATATAATGTCAAAAATATCAAACACTTTGTAACACCAATGCTGAACCAGCCAAATGGATAAAACCCCAAAAGAATAACGTGGCCCCTAACACTTCAATTCAAAATGTTAAAATTATCAGTAAGGGTCAAACAATGCATGTCTATGCACGAGTAATCAGTAAGTGTATTAGCTGTAGATTATCATACACAACCCAAATTTCTGATAGGATGGATGATCTAATCTTTGACCATTTAGCACTATCAGTTTATATAAATGTGAATAAATGAAGGTTAACAGTGAGAAAAGGGCAGGTAATAATTTCATAGACTATACTGAAATCTAGTATAAAAATTCTGTACCTGTAAATTTAAACAAATTAACTACAATATTCCTAATATAATTTATGAGTTTATCAATACATTAATGAGTCAAAAGAAAAGAAAATTAATACAGTGCATGTCCCAAGTTTGACAGAATCAGTACTATGATGAGCCTAAACTGAAAATTTTAATTAATAGCTAGAAAAATAGGAAAAGTTTAAAGAACCTTAGAACACCTCAAATACTTCAACTCTTTCAAACCTTGCTTGCTACAGCAAGGGAGAGAATAACTGATAAAATTAAGAAAATTTTGTTAATGGACTCCTACCCCACTCCCTTGAGCAAAGCCTGGAAAAGCACAAACAAAACCATAGGTAAAATAAGTAGACAAATTTGTCATACAAACTCGTTGCATAAAGCCGATCAGTTCAGATCAAATAGGCTCCAAGTTTTTAGCTTAAAAGATGTTACCAGCCAGCTTTACACCGTTTTCTTGTTTAGCTCTACCCACACTGCAGTGGCACTTGGTGGTCTGCTCCAGTTACCTCCATACCCCAGTGTTCTTTTATATGTACCCTTACCCCATTATTGTCTTTGCCTTTACATTTTCCTCTTCTACTTTCTCAAATCCTTCATATGCTGAACGAGGTAACCTTTATTTTACACACACATTCTTCTTTATATTAGCCAAAATCTAGATGTTAATATATATAATGTCAAATTAAGAATATGGCTCTCTTAGGCAGAAAATTTAATGCTTTGACATCTTTTGAGAAAATTCTGTTGCCAAGGTCTTTCTATGGGCTTCAGAAAATAATATGGTGTTTAACGAAGATAAGTTCCAGCTCATGCGCTACGGAAAAAAATGAATATATAAAAACGGAAACCACATACAAAACTTGGTCAAATCTTAACATAGAACGAAAAGGCAATGTAAAGGATTTGGATAAACTCATGTCGGAAGACCTTACCTTCAAAGAACACACAGTAGCCATCACAACTGCAAGAAAAATGACAGGTTGGATAACAAGAACCTTTCACACTAGAGATGCTATACCGATGATACTTTTCAAGACGCAAGTGCTCTCTAGAATGGAATACTGCTGCACAATGACAGCCCCTTTCAAAGCTGGAGAAATTGCTGACCTGGAGAGCATGCAGAGATCCTTTACAGCTAGAATCCACTCAGTAAAACATTTAAACTACTGGGACCGACTAAAGAGCCTAAATCTGTATTCTCTTGAGCGCAGGTGGGAGAGATACATAATAATTTATACGTGGAAAATATTATAGAGGAGCTGGTCCCAAACCTGCACACAGAAATAACATCACATGAGACCAGGAGGCATGGCAGGATGTGCAGAATACCCCCGTTGAAAAGCAGAGGTGCAACAGGTACTCAGAGAGAACTATCAACTGGAGTTGATAGAGGAGACTGGAAGTGTGTTGAACAGTCTAACACATACGGGGCATAACTGGCCGACCCCTCACAGTGTTCAAGAGAGAACTGGATAAGCACCTCCAAAGGATACCTGATCAACCAGGCTGCGATTCGTATGTCAGGCTGCGAGCAGCTGCATCCAACAGCCTGGTTGACCAGTCCAGCAACCAGGAGGCCTGGTTGATAAATGGGTCACGGGACACTAAGCCCCAGAAGTACCTCAAGGAAAGGTAACCCTCTCAAAAGGAAATAGATCCAAATAAAGATAATAAAAAGGTCTAATTCCTCAACTAGACTTGGTCTTACTTTTTAGTTAAATTACCTACCAATAATAACATTCCTTTGCCATACCTCCTTGGACTTCAAGACCAAATCTGTCAGTGCATCATGAACCATCTTGGCAAGATTTGGATCCTTGCGAGATTCGTCCTTCATGAAATCAGAGTAGAGTATGGAGGAGTTACCAAGTTTCTCACGGGCTTCAGGGTTCTCTATCTGCAGAGCTAATGCTAGCCGCCTGTTACGTTCCACTGTTTGACACTCTTCATTGCATGGCAATCTACCAAGATAAAAATGAAAACAGAATGGTTATTGGATACAAGAATGGTAAGGATGTACAGTACTGTCCCGTAAATTGCTATTGCTTCAGCTAACAATTAAGAAAGAAATCAACTATTCAATCCTTGTAAACACTTGTTCATAAGTCTTTGATGTTTTTCTGCTGCGAGGTAATGAATCATTCAGTCAGGACTACTTGGCATATTATTGATCAATTATCTTAAAATAATTTGACTATAAAATTTAACTATTCCATAGTACAATTACAGATAACAATGATTTGATTTTGTTCACCTGGTTAAAGAAAACAAATTTAGTGATGTCATGAAACTTGAAAGACTGAACTTAAAAAAACTGACAACAACATTATGAGGAAGAGTGAACTGTAATATCAATGACATACTGTATATGTATGCCTACTATACGTAATGCCTGCCATACTGTATACATAAGCCTGTATGACTGATTAAAAAGATAGAGGCTCATGGTATTGTGGGGTGCTATATTAAGTTAGATTAGGGCTTGGCTATACCATAGGAAACAGAGTTAGTATAAATGGAGTTAAATCAGAGTTGGGAAAATGTTGTAAGCAGAGTGCCTCAAGGCTCTGTCCTGGGACATCTGTTATTCATAATATATATAAATGATTTAGATTCAGGTTTGAGCAACAATATTTGCAAATTTGCTGACAATACAAAAATCGGGAGGGAAATAAGCACGAAAAGGGACTCACTATCTCTTCAAGACGATCTAAATAGTTTTTTGAAATGGTCAAAAGATTGGCAGATGCAGTTTAATGTAAGGTTTTGAGGTTAGGTAATGATGATAGAGTTACAAGATACGAGCTAGATAGTATTGAGATTGCAAAGCTGGATTGCGAAAGGGATCTGGGAGCTAACTAGATTAGTAAGAATTTAAAACTAAAAAATCAATAAATAAATGTTCATAATAAGGTAAATAGGACACTGGGATTTATTAATTGAAGTGTTAGTAATAAGACACCTGGTGGTGGTGGTCTTCAGCTATATCTTGGTCTGGTTAGGCCCCATTTAGATTATGCAGTTCAGTTTTGGTCGCCGTACTATAAAATGGATATAAATTCACTAGAATGCAGCCAGCGTAGGATGACAAAGTTAATCCCCCAAATTAGAAACCTGTCATATAAAGAAAGATTGACAAAGCTTAAATTACATTTTGTAGAAAGGCAAAGAATTATGGGTGACATGATAGAGGTGTATAAGTGGATGAATGGGCATAACAAAGGGGGGATATTAATAGGTATTAAAAATATCAACACAAGACAGAACATGAAACAATGGATATAAATTGGATAAGTTTAGATTTAGGAAAGACCTGGGTAAATACTGGTTCATTATTACTGAACCAGTATTTACCCAGGTCTTTCCTAAATCTAAACTTATCCAATTTATACCCATTGTTTCATTGATTTGTGGAACCAATTACCATGTAACGTGGTGGAGGTGGGGTCCCTTGATTGTTTCAAACGTGGGTTGAACATGTATATGAGTGGGATTGGGTGGTTATGCATAGGAGCTGCCTCGTATGGGCCAATAAGCCTTCTGTAGCTACCTTTATACTTATGTTCTATAACTCTGGGTATGGTGATGTGACATAATTATACTTTATCTAGACAGGAAAGACACTATTAAAAACAAGATAAATCTAAAGAGTGCATATAGCAAAAGTAACGCCTCCATACCAGTAACAATATGTATACCAAATAGCGTTCTATTTTCATGTCAAATGGTAATACAATGCCCATTTACTCAATTCAGAAGTTTAAGTAGGGAGTAAAATTATTTATTAGAAAATAAGAACGTACCTCCTGAGCTTGTCAGGTCTTGCAGTAGCAGTAAATATGTCGGAGAGATCAACAGAACATCCATTATTCATGTTCTGCATCTGAGAAGCCAGCAGGGAGGTGGCCAGCGCACGATATTCCCTATCATTCTCAGAGCATTGAAGAGTAGTTTTTCGATGCCCACACTCGCAGGAAATCTTAACCTGTACAAATCATTACTTCATCAATAGGAGCATTTAAACCACAATTTTTACCTATTGGTAGTTAACTTCTTGGATGTGAATGAGAAACCACCCAACAGAAGTCAATATTTGAACTTCCCTAAACTGCCACCTTTCAGAAAAAATATTAGTCAAGTCTTCTCTCATAATAACAAAAAATTGTCAGCCTCTCTAAATTTTATTGCTGATAAAAAAAAAATCATCTGCATACATTAAATTTGACATACTAGTCCTAAGCCTATTCACCATAATGTACTTACACTTTCCTTAATAAGTCCCTTATAACTCTAATAAGAAAAACCTATACTCAGAAATACATGCATCATTGCAGATGTTTTATTTATCACCAGCACATATCACCCTATCATATGTCTACAACCACACACCCACCTACCTGGTATTTCATCTCAACATTCATTTTTTTTCTTAAAATACAATAGCTTGTAAATATAAATGCACATATCCACAAACTCTTAACTTACCATCTCCTTGCAGGATGTGTCTGGACAGGATGCAGTATGGCATGGGTTAGCGCAGGGATGGCCACACGATTCTCGAGGCTTTAAGCACCTTTGTGTACATAATGTTCCTTCTGGTACACATGGCTGTTCATGGCAAACGCGCTGACATTTGTGTAATCCACAAGGCAAGGGACGCGCACATGCTCCTCCACATGACACGGCAGTCAAGTAGCACAGGGTTCGAAGCATTATCTATAAATAATAATAAGATTATATATACAAAGTAAAAACTTTTCTATACAAGTTTCTAAACAAAATATTTCTTCCTTTTTATTTTTTGATGAAACTTTTACACAGCAATATCACTTACCTTATGATTTCCAAAACAAGGCTTATCAACAAGCATAGTGCAAGGTGGACAAGGTTCATCAGCATGACACAGATGCGTTGCTTCATGAGGGCAGGTATGTGGACGTCGACATGGATTTTCACAGACCGGAGGTTTGGTTCCACAAGGCACAGGTGGATAAATTACAGATGCACCACAATGGCAGGTTAGTTCTTCAAAGCTTGTCTGCCAGCATCTAAAATCCAGTAAGAATTTATAACACATTTTGAAAGATACAAGACTTAAATTATATAACATTTAATTGTTGCCATCAGAACTGATTTTGATTAATTTCAAGAATTTGATTCAATGGTCAATCTCTACAAATTTATATGAAATTGCAAAGCAATACCTTGCAGGTGAGTGCAACTTTACTTAGCCATGATCAGCATCTTGAGGTCTCAGGAGAAAATGCTTAAATTACTTTCAACAGTTTCATTACTTTTGAGACTATTTTTCCTACTGCTGGATATCTATGCAGAGAAGAGGATGCAAACTTCTGCACATCATTTATTATTTTTCTCACTGCCATAATCCTAGGCCACTCTATTCTGCACATATGGAATTCATTTATTCTAAATATTTGTTATTACACTTGTGATAATTTATTCACATTGAACCCCTTTTCTTCCATCAGTTAATTTTTTTTTTTTTTTAGCTGAAACTGATTCTCCGTGTCTTCACAACTATAGATATTTTGCTTCACATCCAGAGAGTAGATGAAGGGAGTAGATGGAGTGAGCAGATTGAGGAAAGAACATGATAAAGGTAAATAGTACTCTTAAAAGAATAGGTATAGATTGAGTAGATGCAAAACTGAAAATACAGAAAATTAAGATAAATTTTTTTTAGGTAATATAGGTAAATTAAATCAATAGCCACTATAATGACAAAATGATTTTATCAAATCTTTTCTTAACCTCTGCACTGCACACCTGTTTTTGGCAAAAACTTCATAGTGCAATTGTTAAGGACATATTTTTGTTGTTTTTATAAATGTTCAGGTAAAGATAATGTCAAAATGTTTCCAAACTCAACAACTCTCAAAACAGCATTTGTTGTCTGGCACAGTGCAGTGGTTAATGTGCTAATTAAGTTTCCTGTTAGTGAATACAAAGTACTCAATAGCTGTATCAACAATGGACTGACCTTGGACAGTTTCCACGGTGACATGGCTCTTCACATTTGTGCAAGCCACACGTCAGCATTCTCCCACACACCAGCATACACACGTGGTCCACATCTATACAGCATTTGGTGGTGCATTTGTGTCGCCCACAGTGACGCAGCTGTATAAGAACTTCACATTAAACTACAGGAAATGCATTCCTTCCATTCAACAACAGCAGAACAAAAAGGTCCATAAAATTGAAGGAAAATGGAGAAAGAAATGCAAGAATGCTTTCAAAATAAACATATTTCTTTAACTTTATAGTACAGTACACTGAAAATGTATGCGTGTATCAGACAAGTAACTCGACATAATCATCATGAGAGAGAAGTTAACCGTTAGTTCTAGCTGTATTAACAGTCAGAACCATCACAATATACAATAAGAAAATATATTGTTGCATGTGCACTTAATGCACATGCAACATTTATCATATTCAGAATTAAAAGTAAAAATTCTCCAAGAGGCAGATACCACCAGTTAAAATAATGCCTAACACTTATTTATATTAAGCTATGTCTTAGATATATAAAATATGAATTTTTAAAAGGAAATTAACAAATGAAACAAAATATTTTGGGCAGCTAGACAAAAAGGTTATGGAAATTTGCATTAAAAATTTGACTTTACCTGTAAAATTGTTGTAGTAGTACATATGCATTAGTGTAATGATGTAATGTTGTATAATGATGCATTATTGAAACAAATGGGTTGATACAGCAGTGACGTTGCTAAAGAAAATTACACATTACAGTGCAACCCTGATTATCTGAATCAACTGGTACCTTAAACCAATGGATGCCTGGTTCATGGGGAAGGAGAAATGGATTCAGCTATATCCACAGAATCAGAGAATCCAGAAAAATGAAGTTTCAGACAATGAGGAGAGGGGGGGGAACCACTGTATAGAAAAGGGGTGATGAAAATTATCCTGCATTTTGAATTTACTGTACCTCAATAATCTGTTTACTATTTATCAACGAAAGCTTGGACACACACCAATCCATAATTTTCTACTAATGTAATGTCCTCAAACACCAAACATTTTATAACTAAATTTAAATTTGGGAAGAGCACTTACCTTTTTACAAGGCTTCTTACAAGTAACCTCGTCAGCTTTTGTTGTCAGCTCTGAACACAGAACATTGTGATCCATGGCACCACAGCGACACTTGACGGGGGTCTCAAGAGGACATGGCGGGCATGGGCCCTCATGACACAGTGCTTGGCACTCATGAAATGAACCTGGAACACCACATTTGAGAATGTGCTGGCACGACTGACTGCAGGTGGGTATTGGATCCGAGCAGGATTTTCGTTGGATTGCACCATCTCTTTCATACAATTTTTCCAATGGTACCTAAGAGAACAAAAGTTGCATTTGACAATAAACCCAAAAATATAAATTTTTGTGTATCCAGGTTCATATTTATCTTTTATTAAAGAGGTAAAAAACCGAGCTGCTTTATAATGGTTTACCATTCAATGACTAAAAAACTATAAATTAAGAACTTTATATTACACATCAGAAGTGAGAAGGCAAGCAAATAATATTTAACGAAAAAAAAACAAATGAGTAAGATGAAAAGGCAGTTAGAAGATAATGCAACGCCACATAATCCAATATACAGGTACATTGATTCAGCTATGTATTAAGTGTCGGGAACCAAATCAAACCATTCTAAAAATATTTTAAGGATTTGGCAAGGCCTTCCAACAAACTTATGCACATTTTAATTTTATTAGTGTCTTGTCACAAATAAACAGATTAACTACCCCTCCTTCTTATCCATATTTACAAATACTGTATATGTTAACTAGAAAATTCATCATTTCTGCAGTACTTGTGGAACAGTCAGAATAAGAAGACAGATTCAGGGAATCCAACACCTGGTGTTGCCACCTGGTGTTGGCCGTGGGCAGTGGCAGGGTGGACTAGTTAGCTATTAGTGAGTGCTCTATTTGGTGCATCCTTGGATGCCAAGTAACCCTGACAAGGGTTTGGATTTAGTTGCATTTCTACATTTATTTTCAGGTTGGACTGAGCATTCTGCATTATCTCTCTACTCCAATATAGCCCAACAGGTATGCATAGAGATATCCCAGTTGTGCAGGCGATGAGTCACAATAACGTGGCTGAAGTATGTTGACCAGACCACACACTAGAAGTTGAAGGGACGACGATGTTTCGGTCCGTCCTGGACGATTCTCAAGTCGATTGTGAGAATGGTCCAGGACGGACCGAAACGTTGCCGTCCCTTCAACTTCTAGTGTGTGGTCTGGTCAATATCCCAGTTGTGCTAGAGAAGAATATTCAACAGCCCTAGCTGTGCAAGTCCTATCCATGGAAGCTGCAGGACCTTGCCTAATGAAGTCACCAAGTGATACACCTCAGAAAATTTGATACAGCATTAGATACTGTATAGGGGATTAGGGAAAGGTAGCCAGTTTTCATTTATGAAATGTAAAACAATAAAACGTGGAACTCACTTTACCACAGGGACAGCGTGTGATGATATCTACTGCTCTCTCGCAGAGTTGGCATTCCCCGGGGTGGCACTCTGCTTCACACTGGTGATTACCACACTCCAGAGTGCGGCAACACTTGTCCTTACAGCCGTACACAATTATACCAAACATGTCTTGGGTGCAAGCGACTTCACGGGTATTCTTTCCACAATGGCAGCCTAGAATTGATCACTTCCATAAATTAAAGAATAAAAATTGATTTGAATTACTTTCTACAAGTTAAAAGTAAAATGTTTAAATAGATTGAGAAAAAAAATCCATAATAAATTAATAAATAAATACTGTTATTACAATACAAGTAACAAAATCTACATAATTTTCGCCCCTCCCTCTACCTATCACACGAACTGAACTCAAAACAGTACAAACTAAAATAAATTCATCAAAAGTAACTTGAGACAAAGCAAAGAAGCTATTATAAGATGCTGTATTAATACAAAATAAAGCAGCATACCCAGACAAGATATTCTAGTTTTAATGGTGTAGTAAATGGAGGAAATTAGCTACCATTCAACATTATTTTACCACGAGAAAGCTAACTGACAGATGCTTCTAGAAATAAAAGTATTACCTATTCATGGTATTTCCTCTGCAAGGTCCAAACTATTCTATATCTGAATAAAAATTTTCTTATGATCCTATAGTTTTTGCACCACCAAGAGACAGGTAGTTTTTGAGATGAAGGCCTTGTTTTCAGGACTTTTAAAAATAGTGCAAGAGGACATGGGTAGATATTAGAAATGCGAACGAATCAAGAGATGGGGAACCTATCCCAACCTCGGTGGCAGACAGACGTGTTCTGGATTGCTCTTGAAAGTTGCAAACATGTGGTAACCAGCTAAGCAAACCAAGTGGTCAGTGACTGTATCAAGGAAATGACAGAGGTGGTCTGCCTGAGTGAAAGAAGGTCTTGTGCTATGTCTGCAGAGTCAAGGTGAGGATGACAAGACAGACAAGATGATTCCAGGACATTTCAAGTAGAAATGACAAAAAATAGAAATGAACGATGATGTGCAGACAGTTAAGTGAGTGTGAGATTGACAGGGACAAACGACCAAAGAAGTGTAGTGATCAACACCAGATGGCACCAGGGTTTCAAACTTCAAGACAATCTCAACAGGAAAACCTCACCAGGATGCAACAGGACCACACATGGCAACACACATTAATGGAAGGAAGCGGCTGTTATTTTCTTCAACATGTCAACAGAACTTTCATCAGAAGCTGGAGTGGACAGTTCAATAGGTCAAGGAATTTGGTGAATATGAACAATTATTTATGGAGGGTGGTTCACTGGCCCTACATAACAGTTGGGACAGAAGAGGCAGATGAACACCTAACGACTGACAGATTTAAGAATACTGTTTGGGTTACTCCTGAAATAGGAATAATTTACACAAAGGTTATGGTTTTAAGCATCCAACATACTTGGATCCTGACTTTCATCTCAACAGTGAAAGTGTTGTGAATTAATACGAATATTGTACATGGTGAGAAACAAAACTAGATTGATGCCTTGTTAAAGGGTGAGGTTCCAGAAAGACTTTCTTGTGCATGGACTTGGATTCAGGAAAATGGCAAAATATACAGAGCCCACACTGTGCATGAAGTGTTCTCGTTGCTAACATATGGCTTGAAAATGCCAGTTTTACTTCAGATGTCAGTACTGTAGAAAAAAAGCACAACTTGCAAGAGTGTACATTCAAGAATGAAAAAAGGAGAATAATTTTTGCCATCTTGCTGCAATTGTCAAGGCATCCATAATGCTGGTTCCTCTCTGTCCCATGAAGCCCCATCTGAGTGATCCGAAACTGGCATGCACAATCAGGGTAAACAAAGCTCCGAAGGGAAGCACGATTGTACAGCAGGAACAAGGCAGAAATAATGAAGAGACGATAGCTCCTGTGACCACCATTTGGGAGAAAGGAACTGTAACAATTATGGTTAGCCTAGTGGTAGTTGGAAATGAAGTTGAAAAAGTGTACCCTCGTGGTGATGAGGTGCAGAACACTGTTATGTGCTCTGAGGTTGATACACAGATTTTTGGAATATCTAAAAAAGTTATTGAAGATAATTGAAGCACTAGAAAAGAGAGCTATGGCAGGTAGACGGAGCAAAGCGGGGAGTGAAGTGGTAAGGAAAACAAAGGCAGAAGAGACCAAGAGGATGGAGTATCACTGATGTAAGAGTTTCAGGAAAATGATCTATACTTTGGTGAGGGAAGTACTCGACCCTCTGTGGTGGAAAATGCTGTAGCAAAATGTAAGGAAATGCTGTTTAGAAAAATAGAAGTGGAGGACATGGTTAAGAATAAAATCCCCTTTGATGTTATTAACTGCACAAATGACGAGGAAGGAGCCGCTACATTGTTGGGAGTCAGTGTCTAGGCAAATTTGCAGAAAGCGGTAAAATCAGGCGACTTCAAACTTCTCGCAGAAAAATTATTGTGCAAGGATAATTTGTTTAGTTTATTTTTTTATTATACATACACAAGAATTCTTACATTCTTGTACAGCCACTAGCACGCACAGCATTTCGGGCAAGTACTTAATCCTAATATTCCCCAGAATACGACCCGCCAAATCATTTATCATCATAATGAGTCTTGGAACGTTAATGGGTTGCAAAACGGAGCAATAAAATGTGCATTATTATTATATTCTTAGAAAGAATCTTGACTTGTTTGATGGAGAGAATTCTTGGGAGGATCAAACACTTTGCCCCAAGAGTGTAATACTAAGATTCTTGTAATATATTTTGTAATATCTACTATGTGATGACCACTGAATTAAGGTATATGTTTTTGTAATGCATATTATTATCTGTTTACTGTATGGAATTGTGAACCCCTTGAGGAAGAAGTACGAGGGTAGAAATAGCTTAAGCTACTATCCTTTTGGGATGTATTTAATGATCTCAATAAGCTTACTTGAACTTGAGATGGGGAAGGGAAGCTTACTTGCAGTGAGAGTAATTAACCAAATAAGTAGAATGTACTGAGAGAGGAATCTGAATATCATCCTTCATCTAGCTTTTTGTGGGTCGCCTCCATCCATAGCTTCATGAGCAAGTGGGAGAGTAAACAAGAACATCTACTGTATATATAAAAACAACAGGTGCCAATAGCTAGAACATGAGGACCAAGGGCCAGATTTGCACTAGGCTGAATGCATATACTCTATGCATAATACAGTATGTGCATACTGTTACTAGAACCCTCCTGACCAGTAATTTATAAATGTAATCATTAAATAATATCTTACTCTGTGTGATCTGTTGTTGACAGTCACCACATGGTCCTGTATGGCAGTTCTTCTCACACTTATGTCCTTCACAATTAAGTAACTTTCCACATACACCGTCACAGATAAATGGCTCCGTCACACTACACTTCACTTCACGCGATTCTGCTCCACAAGGGCACGACCTAACATCAGGTGAAATTACATTAAAAAGATGTTAAGTAACTATGAAGTCTATAAGGTCAATATAAATTATAATAATTTTGTAGTGAACTTCTGTCCAATGTTGTATATGTATACATACATTAATTATTAAGCTGCACAAGTCAGTTATTCATAAAGGGGTGGGAAACATTACAGTTCTGCATTACCTAATGCAGAACCGAGACATATTAGTTTCCAACTTCGATTTATAAAACTAGTCACTAAACAACGCTGAAAGTCAATTCCTAAACCCTACTTTAATTATTGCCAATATAAGGAACTACATTAATTTTAATTGTGAAAGAGCATGCAAGTTCAGTATCAGATATGACCAAGTAATTTGTTGTACTGTACATGCAAATTTACAATAGAAAGTACACAGGGTTTAGAGTGAAGATAAGTGACTGACTGATCTCTCAGTCATAATAAGACTCACTAGTCTACATGTTTACTCAATTCAAAGACATCTTGATTAATCAAAATTATGAAACAAAATACAGCCTAAAACTAGTTTTAATAAGAAGCTAGAAGTTTCCATAAATTAGGCTATATAAAACCCAAAATAGACTGGGTTTTGGACTGGTATCACAAGATACCATTTGCTTTATGGTATATAATGATGATAATTATTCATTGTGTCAGGGGTCAAGTAGCCAGTGTATATATACATGCTAGGCTTATATTGAGGTCCCCCCAAGGTCAAATTACTTACCCTTCCCAGAATACAACCCCATAATAAGCTGACTTAACTCCTGGGTACCTATTTAATGCTAGGTGAACAAGGGTATTAGGTGACATGAAATGCACTCACCCATTTCTGTCCCACCTGAGATTTGAACCCAGAATTCCTGATTTTGAGTCAAAAATGAACCTGAAGCCTGATCCACTTTGTCCACTTATCAAATAAAAAGTATTAAAATTAAAAAAATTAAATAAAATAAACTTACTTTTTGATAAAGGCTGAACAGGGTGGACAAGGTCCTGGATGGCAAAGAATATTACATTTGTGTTTGCACCATTCAATTTTTCGACTCCGCCCACACACCTCTCCACAAGAATGAGCCATGTCACGCCGATTCCACTCCGGTTCTCTCATTTTTCCACAGAAACATCTGTATGCATTTGGAACTTTTGGGGTGGAGCCTTGGCATGCAGGACACCTCCAGCCTGAATCTGAAAATTGAAAGTGTGTATATTATATTATATTATACACACACACAGTATCAGGTTTTGATTATATTAAAAGCACCTTCCTGAGCAGAATACAGTACTGTTTATATCTAAATAAAAAGAGAAAACTGAAATATCTGTATGTACCTTCACAGAAACACCGATGGTATGTACAATACAGCATCATAAGCGTTATTTATTTATAAAATGACACCAGTCATGTCTGCAGATGCAATACTTATGGGTGCCACCTTGCCGTCACCTTATTATAAGCTCTTCCGATATCTTAACTTATGCCTCTACTTCTACCTTCTCACCTCATCTCTCTTTCCTCGTAAATTGTCTTTCCCTACTGCTCTTTTGCATTACACAACTTAATAATGGTCCTGGACAGACCAAAACATCATCAATTTCTTTATTTTCAGAGTTGTTGGCTAGGTGTCTAATGCAATATTTATTTAGACAAAATATGAGAGAGGCCACACAAAGCGTTACACAGTGTTTAAACACCTGAATCCTCGTATCTGGATAGTGAATCATCATCTATTTATGAGAAATTTTGAAAGTACAATATAAATATGCACATTGATGCCTATATTACAACCCCCGTTTCAATAGAATTAGGCAACAATTTCTACAAGAAAAAAAATCAGCATAGTTTCCCTAGCCCCCCCCCCCCCCATCCCCCCGCCACTATGTTCGTTGGTTCATTTTTGGGGTCCACCAACTATTAAAATTTTAAGTCTGATATTAATATGCATGGTAACATTTTAGGTTTAACATGTACTGTAGCACCTTTAAATTTATTTAAAGAGACAGTACTACTGTACTTAGTGTTAATACTTAGATACTGGTAATACTGTAGCCTTTAAGTAAAAAAATTAAGATATCACATAGAAAACAAAAAAATAAAAACATTACAGAAAATATAAATTAATAAAACTATAAGGTATCCTTACCTAAATATATTTGTACATAAATATGATTAAAATTTCCAAATTAAAAAAAAAAAAAAGCTCACCTCCAGTAGAAGTCTTGGCCCACTTCTTAATGCACCCAAGGTGGAAACAATTATAACAATTGACACAGGGCCATATAGCATGCTGCTGCTTGATACGATCACAACAAACCATACATTCGTATGTTCCCTTTGTCAACTGTTCTGTTAAACGATCACGCTGCGTTTCCTCGTCCTCATTACCTCCGACCTCAGTACGGGAGGATGACAGCAAACTAACTTCTTTATCGGATTGATTTTCTTTCTTCACACCCTTACCAGCAATATCACTGCCAGGAATGCTGTTATCACCATTACCCCATAGTCTCCTATCTTGTCTTCCTCGACCACTTCCTCTAGCTGGCTTAGAATTTATCACTGGTCCAATTGTAACTGTCTTACTCTCGTCCTGGTTAAGGTGTGCATTTACCTCCCAATTACTTGAATCACTGTTATCAAAAGTTCTGCTTACATCCTGATTGTGAGAGCGCCAATTTCCTCGACCACGATTGCCAGATCTCTCATTCCTCGGTAGTTTTTCCCTGCCATCAGTTGGTTCAGGATAACTGTTAACCTTTTCACTGTGACCTTTCTCATCTCCTGTTCTCACTTGTCGATTTATCCATTCCTTTCCCTGTTTTTCTTCGCCAAAATAGTCTCTCTGTTGACGTCTATTACCTCCGCCACGCCCTCCTGCTCCTCTATCTTGTCTCCCCCAGCTACTTCTAGGTCTTCTATCATTACTAGTTTCTTCTTTCACATTTACAGTTGCACCCTTTCTAACATTCAAGCTCTTCATAAATGCAGCAGTCTCTGCAAGGGCAGTGTCCCGGTCACGTTGTCTCTCGTCTAAATTGTTTGATCGGCTATCATACCAACTACTGCTGGAATTCTGGGTATTACCATACCCCTGGCCAGGTGGCTTTTCATTTGTATAATTCCTCCTTCCTCCTCCTCCTCGTTTGCTTTGTCCTCCACGTCCTCTTGATAAACCCTTTGACTTTGCACCATCACTTGAAATACCAAAACTAGTTTTATCCCCAGAGTATCCACGAGCAGAATTCTCATTTGCATTACTAACCGCCGAATTTTCCTCGGTATGTGCATTAACATTAAAACTATCAATAACAAAATTTGGATAGGCCGTTTCAGTGCCTGGTAATGAATTTTTTCTTTGTTTTTCAGCAGAATTACTACCTGAAGCACTATTCACATCTGATCGAGGCTCATTTGGCTCGGGGTTCACCACATTATGGTAACTCATATTTGAAATAATACTTTGTCCAACTCTGCCACTCTGCCATCCAGGGGCATACTGCCTAACGGCATCAAAATTGTACCCTACATTTGGAGTTAATGGACTATGGCTGGCATTAAAATTTGAGTTGTTTTCATAAAGCATTTGGCCAGCAGGTGCAGGACCATTTTGCATCATACAGCTGGACTGATACTGCATATTTGTCCGGTCCTGGAATGGTATATTTCCTTGGTACTGATTATTGCCATGATAATGAGTGTTCTCATAATGTGTGCTAGAGGACAGGTGGGGGTTCCCAGCATACTGGGTGTTGTCCTGGTACTGGGTGTATGTGATGCCTCTTTGGAAAGGCAATCCAAACACCTCTTGGGGACGAGGCGTATGAAACGCCGTCACTGGTACAGATGAATAGGGAAGTGATGGTGCTGCATAACCAGAATTGTAGCACCCTTGTCTGGGGTACCTGCTGCCACTGCCTTCTGCCATGGTATTTTGTCTGAAATCTAGAGAAATATAAGATACTTAAAGAAGTTAGACAAATGTAACTAAAAATTATTTATGACTGCTCATATTAAACATTCAAGTAAGCCCTCAAGTACAGCCTTTGATAATTCTTTTGTAAATAAAGTAAGAGCAGCATAGATATAAACACTTCCCGGTAATATTAAACATATGCTATTAATTAAATTTAAAAAAAAGTTTGACCTTAAAATTTTTTTAAAGCATTCCTCTTAACCATATTAAATAACCTTTTTTATCAATTTATCAGTTACAAGTTTATATCTAAAATAAGAATAAAAGTACGGTACATGCCTACAAAAAATTAAAGCTCTCATTACCTGGAATGCAACTCGTGCATAGCTAACCTTATCAGTGTTCTGAATAGGAATAGTTTTTTTTTTTTTTTTTTTTTTTTTTTTTTTTTTTTGAGATATATACAAGAGTTGTTACATTCTTGTACAGCCACTAGTACGCGTAGCGTTTCGGGCAGGTCCCTGGAATACGATCCCCTGCCGCGAAGAATCGTTTTTTCATCCAGGTACACATTTTACTGTTGCGTTAAACAGAGGCTACAGTTAAGGATTTGCGCCCAGTAAATCCTCCCCGGCCAGGATACGAACCCATGACATAGCGCTCACCAAACGCCAGGCGAGTGTCTTACCACTACACCACGGAGACCGATAAGTAAAGTTCTGTATATAATTTTAAATGTGTTACTTTCATGCTTCCAATTATCAGAATTATTTAGAACTGATTTGCCTTGCCACCTATTTTCATGGAAATCCCTTCATTTGATTTGCATTTTATAGACAATTTTATATTGCTTGATATAACTAAGATTTTATTTTAAGTCAAGCATTGCTTGACTTTGAGAGTCCTGTTCTAACTGTCATTAATTATGGACCGGTTGTTAACAAAACTATACTCAGAGGAATTTAGAGGTTCCATTAATTGACAGATGGAAAGTTTAATATGGGTTTATTAAGAACAAAATATGATATTCCCCAAACTAAGTCCCTACCCTAACACTGGCAATTGTTTATTAATCACGCATGGAAAATATCAAAGAACACACACACACATTACCTTCTGGGTCCTACTCTACGACTATGGGTGAATTTCACTGTCTCCTGAGGCCCCTTGATGACCTGCGGCCCACACTACCTCTATCCTCCAGCACCCACTCTCTCTATCTCCTAACTCTCCTACAGGGGTATATATACAATCTTTTGCAACCTCCCAAATCAGGGGGGTGACCATTGCAACTCTTGTTGGAAAATTTTTGGTATGGTCCTGTTCCCAGCTGATTCAGCCTACCCAGGAAAAAGTGTTTGGCACACCTAACCAGTTCATCAGCACTAAAAGGAGATAGCTCCCCCTGGTGTATGCAAAAACACTCAAGATGCACCATTAAGTTGTTTGCCAAGACTATCAGAATTATTCGTAAACATGACCAAGCTGACTAGGGTGTAGCCAGGAAATGTTTCAATTAACTCTAGCTGAATCTGAGGTCACTTGACTGACCTGAAGAGAGCCGGTCGGCCGAGCGGACAGCACGCTGGACTTGTGATCCTGTGGTCCCGGGTTCGATCCCGGGCGCCGGCGAGAAACAATGGGCTGAGTTTCTTTCACCCTATGCCCCTGTTACCTAGCAGTAAATAGGTACCTGGGTGTTAGTCAGCTGTCACGGGCTGCTTCCTGGGGGTGGAGGCCTGGTCGAGGACGGGGCCGCGGGACACTAAAGCCCCGAAATCATCTCAAGATAACCTCAAGATAACCTTACCAAGAGGTTCCCATAGTGAGTCATGGGTGTACTTTCTCTGGGCATTACAGAATAAGGTGTTATGGGGTGGTATAATGTGTTATGAGGTGGTGTAATGTGTTACGAGGTGGTGTAAGGTGTTGTGGGGTGTAAGGTGGTGTTAGGTGTTGTGAGGTGGCATAAGGTGTTATGAGGTGGTGTAATGTGTTGTGAGGTGGTGTAGTGTTATGAGGTGGTGTAATGTGTTGTGGGGTGGTGTGAGGCGTTATGAGGTGGTGTGAGGCGTTATGATATGATGAGGGTATTATAATGTGGCAGGAGGAGGTATAATGTACAATAAGGTGGTGTGAGGCGGGCAGCGTGCCCCCCCCCCCCACAGGTATGGGTGCAGGACCAGCAGGTGGCGGCCAGCCCCACCTGTGGTGTACCAAGACTGGCAGGCCGGGGCGCACACTCACCAGCTGAGGCCGCTGCAGGCCACCATGGTGTGCAGACAGCTGTGTGTGTGGCTCCTGGTGTGACTGGGGCCGCCTCCACCTCTTCTCCAGGGACTCTTTACCGCCCCGTCACCACTGCTGCTCCTCGCCGCCTCTTCACTCCTCTCACCTCTCACATTCATTTTTGCCACATTAACCACAATAATTTTGGACTTAATTATATTTTGTTATTTAATAAGGGCTTATTAATTATTTAAACATTACCGTAAAAGGCTGAGAAATATATTTCTTTATTCAGAGAGGAGATAATTATTGTTATGGGTTTTTTGGAGTAAACCAGCCAAATTAAACAGCTTATAATATTTTTAAGTTATCCCATATTTTTATCGGCGTTATCGCAGTATGTAGAGGTGTGGTTAGGGGTTAATGATTAATGGATGAAGTCTCACTTAGACTCGAATGTTGAGTGTTTACGTTTGTGTGAGGCTGTGGAGTAGCGGCGCCCCTGAGTGCCTTCCCTGAGTGCCTCCGTCCTCAGTGGTGGAGTGGCGACGCTGCCGCTGGTGGCAGCCTACCAGTAGTAGTAGTGGAGTGGGAGACCCAGGGAAGTCCTGGGGTGAGGCCTGAACAAGATGTCTGTTGTGATAGAAACGACAGTGGGGGACATTACCATAGACCTCTTCACAGACGCCAGGCCTCGGAGTGAGTTCCCACACCACGCTCTTTTACCCAAGTCCAGCCTCAGTACATACAGATTAATTTGATTATATTGATTCAATACATGCATGATGCGCTTCCCCCCCCCCCTCCGCAATTAAAAAAAGTGTTAAATTAAATTTACTATTAGGAATGGTAATTTTAAGGAAATGTCATACACTGTTAATTTACTGTTACTGTACTCAACAACCCTTCCAGGTACCATGTACAGCATTTTCAGTTAAAAGGTGGTCAAATGTCATGTATATTACTGTAGTATATAATCCACTAATATTTTCTCCTTGGAAGCACTGAATATCCTATGAGTTTCAGTGCTTGGCCATGAATCAGTTAATAATACTATAACTACTATGCTGCTATTGTTAGAGTTATAATTATTAAACATGAAATTTACTTAAAATTTATTAATATTTATAGTACACATTTTAACAACTTTGCAGCATGCATGAACTTCCTGAAGCTGTGCAAAATGAAGTACTACAACCTAAATTTGGTCTTCAGTGTGGAACGAAACTTTATTGCTCAAATGGGTGATCCATCTGCAACTGGACGTGGGGGTAAGACAGTCCCAGCCATAGGCTGCAGTCATAATAATCATTACAGTATCTTTTTTTCCCAATTATGTAGCATACATTATAATAAAGTTTGTAGTAGAATACCATTTTGTGGCACTCAGTTATCCAAAACCACCATCTGGCAGCTCATTAACTGCAGGAAAACCGATCCAGATACGGTAATATTCTTGAATAACTGAATACCATTTTTAATTCGGTATTTGGGATATTTTATTATACTTTTTTCCAAATTATCAAAAGGTTGTTTGGATATTAGGGATTTAATATAAACATATTCTCATGATAACTGTAAAACTAATTAAACAATATGGTACACTAAAATATATACTGTATACAGTAGTAGGCTATTAAAACTACTCTTTCATGTGATTTTAGTATCAAAATGTGTGCAAATATGTGTTCTATTGTTTGTGTCAAAAAATGTCCAGATAAATCATAGTTGATAGTCCTAGTTTTGTCAGATAATCAGTACTTCAGTTTACATAAAAGTACAGTACTAGACAGCTTAAAGCTTGATAACTATTGTGTTTTCTTTTGATCAGGGGCACATCTAGTATATGTGTTGCGACAAGGTTTTCTTTTGACTGTAGCCTGGGATGAAGGTCCTGGGACCTAGTCTTGATCTTAGCCTAGGTGTTCCCTTGTATTGTTAGAATGACGACGTAGTACAGTGCTGGGCTTGAGTCTGCTTAGTACAGTTTATGGGATGCTATATATTTTGTTTACTCCGGATATTCCTGCTACCTTTGCCATTTCTACTGTTAGGTACAGGGTAACTTTCACCTTCAGGTATGAGGGAGGGCAACCCTGCCCAAAGCTTAATCTACACTAGAGCACCTGAATGACATCACTTTACCTGTCAAGAACAGGGCTTAGTGCGGCTGGCTTCAGCTTGTTTCTCATTCCCCCCTTATCTTTGGAAGGTGTAGTCTTTCTTGTTGGGATCTTGAGCAACTCCTGAGCACCTCAGCTTTGAGGAATGTTTCGTCTAAGCCAGGCCTGGCTGAAGATGCTGAACCAGTTTCTTAGGTTCTGGCATCACATTACTGTATTTGGGTGCTCTTCTTTGTTAGATGCTTCCTCTTTGGGCTTTATGTGGTTTGGTCCCATGGTAATTCACTTCATCATTTGAGGTCTTCACTGATGTGTCCGGTACCTGCTGGGTCTTTGTCTCCAGTTATCATCACATCACTCATTGGTTTATCATCAATTGGTCTTCAGTGTTAATTCTGTATATGCTCCAACTAATGTGCAGAGATGGCAGCAATGAAAATATTCCAGTGGTCCATTGCCCTAATCTGGATGGTTCTTCCCAATGTACTCTGGACATAAGGACTCTTCTGGATTCTTTGCCTTTAATCCTCATAGTAGTCCACATTTGTTGCATCTTGAATATCATAGTGGGCAACCCCATAGTATTTAAATTCTGCCTGATTCAGATGGAATAAGAGGTGGATGAGACCTCATATCTGTGGATATGCAAGATCTTGGGTGTGCCCAGGCTGTACCATGTATCTGGTCTCATTCTTGGGAGGAGCAGGAAATTGTAACTAAGTGGTATTGTCCAGCAATGTAAAAAATAATATACAAATAAAATTAGTATGTATGTGTTTATATCTGAGCACTTTACAGGATATTTTCTTCAGTCTTAGTATAATTTTCCTTAACCTAATACTGTATGTTATTTACATTTCTCTGATTTTATTTCTCTTTCTAGGTGAATGTATATTTAAGAAAATGTTTGGAGACCAAGCCAGTTTTTATGAAGGAGAGAAGCTGCCAATAATCAAGCACACACACATTGGCACTGTATCTATGGTTTCATGCGGCAGTCATTTGTAAGATTTGTGTACTTTATATAATAGTAAATTCCTCTAGAAAGTATTCTAAATATTAATATATAGTGATGAAAATCATTTTGTTTAGAAATAAGTATACACTCATTTCTAATTTAAGGTATTTTGATAGCACACACTACCAACACCTACTTTAAAAACTTATATTTTAGTTAAGCATTTTACCATCACTCCAATAGAAAATTATTAAATATGCTGTTGTTCACCTACTCCTTCAAATTCAGTTGGATGTGGGGGAGACTGCTCATAAGAACATTAAATACACCTCAAACAAGAAGCACACTGAGAAGCAAAATTATGGTTATCCTCAGAATCCTTACCAGCAGGGGAATGGAATGATATAGCCGACCACCAGATAAAACAACAAAAACCCTTTAAGCAGACAATGAGTCACAATAACATGGCTTGAAGATATGAGAACTAAACCACTAACCAGAGGATGAGGACAAAGGCAATTCGGTGGTTGTCCTTGATCATGTGGACTACCTCCAGAAAGCTGATGTCTTGCTCTCTGACTCCCACACATATGCTCTTCTGGCCTCTAACCCTTTAGATCATCTTAAAACTTCCTTCAATTGCAAACTAAGACAGCTCTCTAGTCTTTATCCTCCTGTCTATGATTTAATAAAATGTTTCTGTGTCATCTGCCCTTCTCTGCCTTATTTCTATGGTCTACCTAAGACTCATAAACCTGGTGTTCCTCTTCGTCCTATCATTTCTTATATGGGCTCTGTCAGCTATCCTCTTGCCTCCTGTCTTGCTAAAACTCTGACTCCTTATCTTGGCAATTTTCCTTGGTTACTCCTTACATTTTATCAACTGTGCCTATTCTCAAACTAAACTAAAATTCTTTTATCCCAAACTTGTTTCCTGTTTACAGGAATAAGCACAATGCTTATTAGCACTACTTTGCCTTCCCTTCATATCTGAACTCAAAAATTTCACTAATACCTTTTGTCCTCTTGACATAAAGCTCGCCTTTCACTAAACTAACACTCTTTGTAGTAATCTGGTTCACACTGCTCACACTTAATGACAGACTTAAAGAACACAAAACAAGTGTTGAAGTCTGCAGACACAAACACTGCTTTCTTCTGTCATGTTTGGGATTCTAATCATCCTATTGATTGGTCTTCTAAAATAATCTTTCTTGCCTCTACTCTTCACAGATGACATCTTGTCAAATCGGTTCTAATACACAATATAAACCTTAGTCTTGGCTTTGTTGCTGTTGACTCTTTCCTTTCAGAGTACTTACTCAAATGTTATAACCTTTCTAACAAATGTGACCTGACATAAGCCTAGCCCCCTTTTCTTTCATTTTCTTTCTCCTCTTATTCTTGTGTTCCCTTTCTTAAACCCATTATAACCCCCATCTTACACCCTATTATTACACCCATCCTATCTGTACCTTTCTTCTTGTTTTGACCTTCTTAGACTTTCCTCCTGCTCCTCACCTCTATCTTGCCTTACTTAATGCTCGTGCCTCCATCACTCCCATCACAATCAACTTGATAATGGTCCAGGACGGACCAATACATCATTGTCTCCTTATCTTTTGGTGTGTTGTTTGGTTCTCAAAAAAACTTTAACCAGACTGACTCGGTGGGTTTTTCCACACTAGTGAATTTGAGGTATTCCAGCAACTGATGGAGCTCCAGCTGGTAAAGCCAATGCTGGTTGAGCACAAGGTGAAGGTGTCCCACAACTGGCTCAGAGCAAACTAGGTGAGAGATGGCAGCCACCCTAGAGTACTAAACCAGTCCCAACTACAAGTGTAAGTGTACTGTCACCAAATGAGACTTCAGAATGTTCATGAGAAAGCCATAATGTGGCAGAACATCAAAAACTAGATCCAAGGCTGATGGCTGCCTCTGGAAAAATGAGTGGACAGAAATGGAAGAGAGATAGCAGAGAGATAAACCAAGGAGATTCCTATAAATTACCAAGAATAGCAAGTCACAAAGAAACCTGTCACCTAGAAAATTATAATAAATTTGTCAGATATAAGCTGAACAATTTTTAAATTACTAAATCTAAATGCAAGAAACATCTAGGAGTCACAATTATTAGGGATCTTAATCCAAATAAATAAATGTATTAATGTTAAAATGAGTCAAATATGCTGGGATTTATATTTAGAAGTGTTTGTAATAAGACATCTAATGTTATTCTTCAACTTTATCTTGTCCTTGTTAAACCCCAATAGATTGTGCAGTTCAACTTTGGGCATTGTACTATAGAATAAACATCAATTATATTTTTTCATATCCAAAGAAGGATGGCAAAATTAGTCTTGATAATTAATGACCTCCCTTTGAAGACTACAGGGTAATTAAAAAAGCATAATGCTCATTGTCCGGAGAGAGAAACAGTAAGGAGGACATGATAGAAGTACAGTATACAAATGGATGAAATGGTACTACTGTACATTGGGTGTTATAAATAAAACATGAAGCTATATAAATTGGGTAGGTTTAGGTTTAAGAAATTTGGTAAAATCTAACTTGGAAATAAGATTGATGATTATGAATACTATATGTTGCCAGGCAACATAAGTTATTTGATTGTTTTAAGTTAGACATGTTTTTGAGTGGAAGCAGTTGAAAGTTAATTAGATGTAGCAATTTCTTCTGTTCTTATGTCCATAAATCAAGTATAATAAATCCACTTTAGAAAAGTCATAAACACCATAATCCAGTACATAAAGCATTTCAATAATTCAGCAACATAGTCAACAATATTTTTTTAATTTAAGAGGATCCGTGTTTTTCATACCTGGGTAGCCCAATATTTTCATTTCATTTTTACAAAACAATTGGTTGAACAACCGGTATTTCTATCGCATGTCTATTATTTTATCTTTGCCAGAAAGTATCCATAAATGGTATGGTTGATTGGAACGTATAATGGATGCAGTCATGAGAAAGGTCAAGATAAGACTATTAGAGAACTGTGTGAACCATACATTGTATACGATAAAGCATGATAGTAGTAAATTGTATCAGATTTGATTTATACAGGTGATGTAGTTCTCTTAGCAGAAAATGATGACAGATTTCTAAAGATTATTTTAAAGTTTGTTTTCATGAGTGGGATAGACTACTTAAAATGAATTGCAGACAAAAGTAAAGTTACAATGGTGGAGAAATATAAGGTTTTTAAGGTGAAATTGGTATAAAAGGAGTGAACTTTTGACCTTTGATTATATGGCAAGTCACAGGATGCACTTAACACCTTGTATGAATCAGTGCGGTGCTGCTGTGAATGTTTTGCTGGAGTGTGATGGTGCTAATTCTACATAATGCAGAGTGTGAAAGATATGGTGAATCAATGGGAGTTTTTTTCTGTACATTATTACAGTACTGTACTCTTTTATATGTTTCAGGCTGTTACTTTTCCACTCTTTCAAAGTAGGAAATGGAGTGATAATTATAATTATAAACATTATACTTTCTTACACAGATTTGGATCACAGTTCTTCATAACTTTGGGCGAAAACTTGGATTCACTGGATGCTGAACACTTGGTATTTGGTAAAGTTGTTGAAGGAATGGAGGTAATCTGCAAGCTGAATCAAACACTAACTGATGACAAGAATCGGCCATACCAAGATATTCGAATCTCCCATACAGTTGTTTTAGATGATCCGTACCCAGATCCAAAAGAGGTTGAATTTCCTGACGAGTCTCCAAAACCTACCCGAGATGTGTTTGAATCAGATTACATTGCAGCTGATGAGACTATTGATGACACGGAAGGTAAGACAATGCTGGAAATACAGGAAGAAATAGAAGAAAGGGAAGCCAAAGCTAGAGCTACAATCCTTGAAATGGTTGGTGATTTACCAGATGCTGACATGGCACCTCCAGAAAATGTTCTTTTTGTATGCAAGCTGAATCCAGTTACAACCTCGGAAGATTTAGAAATTATATTCAGTAGATTTGGGAAGATTAAGTCATGTGAGGTGATACGTGACAGAATAACAAATAATTCACTTCATTATGCATTTATAGAATTTGCTGAAACAAAATCCTGTGAAGATGCTTACTTCAAGATGGATAACGTGTTAATTGATGACCGTAGAATACATGTAGATTTTAGTCAGTCGGTTTCAAAGATTAAATGGCGAGGTAAAGGACGAGGAGTAGAGCTCTTTGATGATAGTGGACGACGAATTGATGATAAAAGAGGTCAAAGATATGATCCTACCAAAGAATACAGTAACCATTCAAAGAATAAGAATAAGAGTGTTGCAAAAGGTCAGCCTTCAGAAAAAGAGTCACGACACCTAGATCATGGACGACCTCAAGCTTTGGAGAGAGAGAGAAGATCTCCTCACAGACATTTGGATGGCAACAGTAGAGATAGACATGATGAAGCAAAACACTTGTCCAGGGATAATAAAAATGGCAAGAATATACGACAAGACAAGACTGAAAGAGACGAGAGACACGAATCTGCTAAGCGAAGCCATGCCGAGATAGAGGACAGTGATGATGTTCCAAGTGACAAAGAAGCTAGGGATAAAATGCTCAAACACCTGAAGAAGTCGCTTAAAAAGAAAAAAAAGAAAAATAAGAAGCACGATAGTGATACTGATATTTCCAATACAGAGAAGAAGAAAAAGAAGAATAAAAAGAAGAAGAAAAGAAAGAGAGAGAGTCAAAATGAGAAAGATTCTGATTCAGACTCAGAATCAAAGAAGAAATGCAAGAAGAGTAAAAAGAAAAAGAAGAAAAGGAAGAAGGAAAATTCTTCATCAGATAGTTCTGAATAACATACTTTTGCAATAAAACTTGAATAATCATTTTTGTATTGCCATGCCATGCCATTCAGTACTTTGTATTGGATAAATAATGTAACATGATTTTTGTTCATGGGTAGTAAGGTGTTATTTCCTAATTGCTTATGCCAGAAAAGTTTAATAAATGCTATTATTCCTCCACAAATTTTGCCCTTGTGATCAAGACAGTCATATTTCAAAATTTACCTGTTTCCTATGAGAAAACGGGCAATTTTGGGTCTTTTTATTGTTATGGGTGTCCCTGTTGTCACAAAGGCAAAGATGCGTGGAACTTAGTAAAAATCTGCCTTGAAGACCCCTCAGGAATGCCACCATTATGAAGTTTTTGATGACCTTCCAGCCATACTTACCATATGTCAAGGCGTCCAGCACGGTCACGATGCCATTGTGATCCTATGTGAGATGCACCGAGTGAACCGGGAAGGGGGGAGAAGAAAAGGGACGAATATTTGTTACCATTATAGTTACCACAAGTTTACTCAGAACGTAATCTATCTGGAATGTAATAGAATATAGGCCAATTTCAAAATATCACTATACTAGTCACAAAAGCAAAAGGTTTATGGGGAATAAAAACCATTTTTTATACTTTGGAGGCATGGGCATGGGCAACTTGCTATCCAGTAACAAAAGGTAAAAAAATTAAAAAAAAAAATTATACGTACAGTACAGTACTGTGTACAGTTTTTAAGTTGGGATAGATAAAAGTTTCTGACATGCTGTTTCAATTTATTTTTTATTTTTTTATACTAAAAAGTAATATACTAAAAAGTAATGATATGGTACTTAATTTCATAATGCAATGACTGTTTTTAGTGTGTCAGATTTTTAAGTAAAGGGTAAAAAATTTTAATCAAATATGAATGATACATTCAGGTATTATTCATATTTAATTTTGTAAAAAATTACTTGGGTAAATTACCCGGTTTAAATTGTAAAAAGTTACTGTTAACATAGCTGAAAAATTTGATTAGTTGTGTGTATATATATCTTGGTTTTTCTTTCTTTCCACTATTGAGAATAGCCATTCCAAAGACTATCAGTCTAATTTTAAACTAAGTACTGTATACCCACTGACACCTTGTGTGTGCAGATGATGAGTCACAATAATGGGGCTGAAGAATGTTGACCAAACCACACACTAGGAGATAAAAAGACAATGATGTTTTGGTCTGTCCTGGACCATTATCAAGTTGATTGTGAAGAAACGAGAAAGGCACGGGCATAAGTAAGGCAAGAGAGAGGTGAGGAGTTGTAACACCGTATTTTACTTTACATACACGAGTCAGTCATACAGGTTATTTGAGGGCGTCAGACAGGCACCTCTTAGCAATTAAAAAATCACACCTCTAATAGTGTTAATTGCAACAGGTCAGGTCATGTGAATTGACCTTGTCTTCTGCTAAGCTGATAAAGTTCACACTTCTCCAGCTTCTAATGCTGCTGGTGCCAACTCTATTTCCTGTTCATCTTGTCCTCTCCAATACTTTGGGGAAACTGGCCGTACACTTAATGACAGAATTAAGGAACACAAAAGAAGTGTTAAATCTGCAGACACAAGCAATGCTCTCTTGTCATGTTAGAGATTCTAATCATCCTATTGATTGGTCTTCTAAAATAATCTTTCCTGCCTCTACTCTTCACAGACGCAGTCTTGTCGAATCTGCTCTGATACACAACCTACCCAACATGAAGCTTAGTCCTGGCTTTGTTGCTGTTGATGCTTCCCTTTTACAGTACATACTCAAATGTTCTAAACTTTCTAACAAGTGTGACCTAAAATAAGCTTACCCATTCATTTTTCTCTTGATCTTTTTTTTTCTTTCACTTTCTCTTTCATTCCCATTTACTCCTTTTACAATATTACCCCTTGCATACCCTTTATTACACCTATCTTTTACCTTCCTCTTAAGATAATTTCCTAGCATTTTTGTTTCTTCCATGAACATGTTCTTAGTCAGTTACACATTTTAATATCTTGTTCCATCTCTCATATACAACTTGTTGTATTTGCCATGATTTAGTTCACTGACCACACTACTTGCTGTGATTTTATGAACTTTTAGCCTATTTCCTGTTAGTTGCAATTCCCTGCCTATTTAGTTCTTACAGCTTTCAACATACTGTATCAATTACCCTACCCTTCCTACCTCTATACATCCTGTTGCTTCTTCAAAAGTTTTTATCTTTTTTTTTTTATTTTTCTTGTCTCTACTCCCCACTGACTTGCTAGTTCTTCAACTCTTGTAACTCTTTCCTTCATCTTGTTTGCTACTACAGTATTTTGAAAAAAAATAATAATCTTCCATTAAAAATGTCAGTCTCATACATGCCTGTAGCTGTTTCCTCGTTTGTATTTTTCTGCATTGGTGTTCTTTTCCACGTTATTCATGTTCATTATTTTCTATATCCTATCTCATGACTTCTAGTTTTTTTTTCATTTTCTCTATTTTCCTTTCTGAGTTCCTTGGAGTTTCTCAAGTTCTTCTGAGAGCTCTTTCATTTCAGCCCTGAACATTATGATTCACCTCAACATTATACTGTATTTTTCTCTCCTTCCTTGCTTCCTTATTCCATTTGTTTGGTTGCTTTCTAGTTTTTGTATCCAGTCATTGGTAGTGATGTGTTGCAACTCCCAGTCCGTCATAAGGTATTTTACTTATTTTTCTGTACAGCTACATTTACTGCTGTTAGACATTCTTTTTCTTTGGTATCATTAATTTTACTTAATTTTTTTTATTTTTAACTCCTCTCGTTACTTCCTTATTTTTGTCACACACTCCCCACTATTTACCACCTAGATCTGTAGAATGCATAAACTTAAATCCTCACCTCATTTGACCACAGTTCAATGAAGACCAAACCACACACCAGAAGATGAAGAGACGACGACGTTTCGGTCCATCCTGGACCATTATCAAGACGATTGTGATCCTTTGATCACAATCGTCATCACGAACGGAGGCAAAACTTGAAGATGATATTTTAAATGAAGTCATATTCCCAAGAGGCTACTTGGTCTGGAGACGGGACAGAAAAATTAGGAAAGGTGGTGGCGTTGCTGTGCTGGTGAAAGAACACCTAAAGGTAAACGAAATAATAATTGCTAATCCACGAGACGTTGACATAATAGCACTAGAGATATGCAATCAGGATGATAAACTAACGATCATAAATGCATAGTCCACCGCCAAGCAACACATGGACAAAGGAAGAGCTAGATAATAGACGAGAGGGGTCTTATTGCAATAATGAGAGAAATTATAGTCAAGAGCTGATAAAGATAGATCACGACTGTTGGTAGTCGGCGACTTCAACTTGAAATCCATAGACTGGGAGGCATATGAAGCTAGAACGGAGGATTTTTCGGACTTGTAGATTCGTAAACCTCATCCTGGAAACATTCATGTTTCAACATGTTAAACAAGCTACGAGGATGAGGGAAGGGAATGTTCCCTCCATGCTGGTTTTGATATTTACCAGGAAAGAGGAAGAGATATTTGACATTCAGTACCTCCCTCCCTTAGGTAAAAGTGACCATGTCTTATTGGGAATAAAGTATGCAATGCGTTATAATTTGGAAGAAAATGAGGTTGAAGCAGTTGAAAAGCCTGATTTCAGAGAGGTTTATTATGGGGAACTCATACATTTCTTTAAAGAAATTGACTGGAAAGACTTGCTGTTAAGACATGAAGTAAATGAGATGTATGTCAAGTTTTGTGAAATATATGATAAAGGCACAAAAAAATTTATTCCAAAGCAGAGATTCAGAATTAGGAAACAGATTGGTTCGACAGAAATTGCGAGAGGGCCAGTACAAAAATGGAATCAATATAGGAAGAGGCCAAACCCCCAAACATACCAGCGATACAAAGATGCAAGAAACAACTACACGGCAGTGAGGAGAGAGGCAGAAAGAACTTTTGAAAAAGGGATTGTGGACAAATGTAAATCAGAACTAGGTCTATTCTATAAATTTATAAACAAAAAATTGCAGGTAAAGGATAATATTCAGAGGTTGAAAATGAAAAATAGATTCACAGAAAATGAAAAGGAAATGTCTGAAACATTAAACAAAAAGTTCCAAAGTGTGTTTGTACAAAATTAAATCTTCAGGGAACCAGACACAATAAGAATTCCAGAGAACATCATAGAGTACATAGAGGTGTCTAGAGATGAAGTTGAGATAATGCTAAAGGAGCTAAGTAAGAACAAAGCAGTTGGTCCAGATGGAGTTTCACCATGGGTTCTGAGAGAATGTGCACCTGAGCTCAGCATTCCACTTCAACTGATTTTTCAGGCATCCCTGTATAAAGGAGTTGTAGCTGATGTGTGGAAAAAGGTTAACATCGTCCCAATCTACAAAAGTGGCAGCAGGGAAGACCCCCTCAATTATAGACCTGTATCCTTGACAAGTGTAATTGTCAAAATATTGGAAAAAATAATTAAAACTAAATGGGTAGAACACCAGGAGAAAAGATATAATATTAGACAGACAGTATGGTTTTTGATCTAGAAGATCCTGTGTAACGAATTTACTCAGTTTCTATGATCGAGCCACAGAGATTTTACAGGAAACAGATGCTTGGGTTGACTGTATCTATCTGGATCTAAAAAAGGCTTTTGACAGAGTTCCACATAAGAGGTTGTTCTGGAGACTGGAACATATTGGAGGGATGACAGGTAAGCTTCTAAATTGGATGAAAAATTTCCTAACTGACAGAAAAATGAGGGCCGTAATCAGAGGCAATGTATCGAATTGGAGGAATGTCACAAGTGGAGTACCACAGGGTTCAGTTCTTGCACCAGTAATGTTCATTGTCTACATAAATGATCTACCAGATGGAATACAGAATTATATGAACATGTTTGCTGATGATGCTAAGATAATAGGAAGGATAACAACTTTGATGATTGTCATGCCCTTCAAGAAGACCTGGACAAAATAAGTATATGGAGCACCACTTAGCAAATGGAATTTAATGTGAATAAATGCCATGTTATGGAATGTGGAATAGGAGAACATAGACCCCACACAACCTATAAATTATGTGAGAAATCTTTAAAGAATTCTGACAAAGAAAGGGATCTAGGGGTGGTTCTAGATAGAAAACTGTCACCTGAGAACCACATTAAGAACATTGTGTGAGGAGCCTATGCTACACTTTCTAACTTTAGAATTGCTTTTAAATACATGGATGGCTAAATACTAAAAAAATTCTTCACGGCTTTTGTTAGACAAAAGCTGGAATATGCAGCGGTTGTATGGTGCCTATATCTTAAGAAGCACATAAACAAACTGGAAAAGGTGCAAAGACATGACACCAAGTGGCTCCCAGAACTGAAGGACAAGAGCTACGAGGAGAGGTTAGAGGCATTAAATATGCAAAAACTAGAAGATAGAAGAAACAGAGGTGATATGATGACTACGTACAAAATACTAACAGGAATTGATAAAATTGAGAGGGAATAATTCCTGAGACCCGGAACTTCATGAACAAGAGGTCATAGATTTAAACTAACAAGACAAATCTGCCAGAGAAATATAAGAAAATTCTCTTTTGCAAACAGAGTGGTAGATGGTTGGAACAAGTTAGGTGAGAAGGTGGTGGAGGCCAAAACCGTCAGTAGCTTCAAAGCGTTATATAACAAAGAGTGCTGGGGAGACGGGACACCACGAGCATAGCTCTCATCCTGTTACTACACTTAGGTAATTACAAATCATTCTCTCTTCATCTACTGGTGTGGTTTTGGTCATCACATCTTCAGCCAATTTATTGTGACTCATCGCCTACAATTCACTGAAGTAATTATTAAGAGAAGGTGTCAAGCTGGGAAGATTATGTAGTACCACCTCTGTTGCTGGATATTCAAAAGTGCTAAATATTATTCAGATGCCAAGAAGAGAACAAAAGGACATAAGGCAAGCAATATCAAAGGTACTGGATTAACCAAAGATTCTACTGAAAGACAAATGACCCCTAGGGACATCAGGAAAGCAAGAAACAATCATCCTGAAAATTGGGACATTCTGTAAGGCAGTGCATGATTGTGAGACAATGCAATTCATTCAGACAAAAAAAAAAAAAAAGAGCAGGACATTGTTCCATTAAGTGACCATGAGTTTAGCAGGCGTGACTGCAAAAAACCTAGTCAAAGCTGTTTCTCATAGTTTATTACGTTGGTAGGAGGAAGGCCAAGGGAAAAGATCATGTTTAAGAGCACAGTTTATTACCTGTAATGCAAGCCTAATGATCTTGCCAACAGTCAGATTGCAGAATGAAAAACTGGGTAGAAATCTGAATGATCCCCCTTTTTCAGAAAATGTTGCGAGCAAAAATGCTCTCCTTAGCAGTGGTGTCCACACGTTTATTCACAGTAACTCCAATATGGCTGGGAACCCAGCAAAATTCATCTGTCTAATATCTGCCTGATATAAGAAACAGTACTAAATTTTGACCACTGCAGAATAAACAGTGTTAAAAGATTTCCAAAACCATGGAGGGCACTGCAAGTCAACCACAATGACAAGTAAATATTGACATAGAAAGCAGATGATGAAGTGCATACAGACCTATATGAAGTTCTACTGTCAATATGCTGATCTGTGAAGGCAGGAAGCACTTATATATATGATCAGGAAGACAATGAGGTAGCCAACACCATCAAATAGACTTTAGACCCATCTGTAAACAGAACAATGAAGTGTGAGAGGGAGGAAAAATGTTCAGGGAAAAGGGTTTTCAAAAATAGCAGGAGTATGTCTTCACCATGTGGGCCAATGTGAATTGAGAGAGAAGCATGCAAACGAGCCTTCCTTAAGTTAATTGAAGGTGGCACACGGGAACAGGTCCTTCCTGAGCAGCAGTATCCAAAATATGGAACTAGAGGGAGTAGGGATGTTGCAGCGAAGGCAGTGACAGTCATTACAATTCTGAAAAGACGATGCAAGTTTCAACATACAAGCTCTAGGCAGGAGGCAAACAAAAGGTTCCAGAACTGAGGTATAACCCCCTGTATCTTGAGGTTATCTCGAGATGATTTCGGGGCTTAGCATTCCCTGCGGCCCGGTCCTCGACCAGGCCTCCTTTTTGTTCCACACCCCCCAGGAAGCAGCCCGTATCAGCTGTCTAACTCCCAGGTACCTATTTACTGCTAGATAACAAGGGTATCAGGGTGAAAGAAACATTTTGCCCATTTGTTTCCACCTCCACCAGGAATCGAACCCGGAACCTCAGGACTACGAATCCAAAGCGCTGTCCACTCAGCTGTCAGGCGCCCTATGTATAGGGGTATACGATGATGATGAAGGCTCGAGGGAGAAATGGAGGATTATCGAGTTTGGACAGAACAAGAGAGGAGTGGAAATAGAGGAATGTTCATCTATGGGCTTCCCAGGAAGTATAGGACATGACTAAGGTATGGGCCTTAGAGCATTCAACTTGGAAATGAGTAACATGGGGTGACCAAGACAAACAGATGTCAAAGAGCAACCCCCCAAGAGTTCAGCAGTATCACTATGCACAAGGAGATTACCATAGTATAACAATGGGGATCGAGGGACGGTATGCCTCGGAATAAGAGTCTAGCACAAGTCTTAGTTGTAAAGAATTTTAAGCAATAATTGGTGGCCAAGGACGACATGCTATTAATTGCGAGGTGAATCTGGCATTGGAGGAAAGAGTTATTACCATAACAGCAGAGTGAGTTCATCAAAATAAAGGACTAAGAAAATGTCAGAAAAGGGAGATTATTTCAGGCAACAAGAAAATGAGAGTTGTGCTCAAAATACTACCTTAACCACAGTTGTCTAGTGTGTTGTTTATGCCACAGCATTTCTTTCTGAATGCTTGGCTCCCCACCACCTACCCCTTGCTGTCCTTTAGGATTATATTGTAAAGTTACAGGATAAAAGCTACTGTACATTTGTGGTACAGTATCCTGTTTTCTCTAGAATCTTTGTTGTGTGAAGTTTCAAAGTTTCCTATGGTTTGGCATACACTATCCTCACATTTAATTCATTCCATCTGTCTACCCCTCTGTAAATATAATTGATGTAACTTTTTGGTACTTTTTTATTATTTTGAATATGATGTTTGCAATGTTGCACATTTAAAAAACAAATTCCTCCTTATAGATTTTGTTAATTCCTGTAAGGAAAGTTACATGGTGATCATATTACCTTTTTGCTGTCTGCTAGTTTTGACATGTGTAATGCCTCCAACTTCTCCCCACAGTTTGTGTATTTTAAGTCCAGGAGCCATTTAGTAGTACATCTTTGCAACTTTTCTAATTTAATATACAGTAATGCTTTTCAAGACGTTGGTACCATACAACTGTTACATATTTTAATTCAAGGCTTACTAGGCTCCTGTAAACATTTAATGTAAACATTAAATGTTTTGTTATAGGAATTAGCTATTCTAAAATTAATCATAGTACCATAGGGTACTTGTACTATGCTTTTGACATAGTCTTCTAGTGACTTCTTACTGTATAGGATCAACCTTAAATCTTAAAAAAAAAAAAATTAAATTGTAGGTTGAATGTTTTTCAATTATTTGAAACTTTAAATTACTTCCTAATTTCAATTATTCTGCACTCCATTACGAGGAGTTTATCCACATTGAATTCCATTTGCCATGTATTTTTATGTGCTCTTATTTCATCTAGGTACATGATGGTCATCATCCAAGTCTTTTATTCTTCCTAGTAGACTAGCATCACATGCCAGCATGTTCATATAACACTATTCCTTCTGGTAAATCATTTACAGACAGTGAACCTTACTAGAGCTAGTACCAAACCTTGTGGGGACTCTAGTGATAATTGTAAAGTCTGATTCATGGACTCTTATCACTACTCTTTTCTTTTTATGCTGAGTTAGTCACCAATGAATAACCTTGTTAGGTCCAGATAGATGCAGTCAGTCCAACCCATACAAGACCTCAAAGTAAATTTGCTATGCAAGACTTTCCAGTTCGAAGTCTATACTGTCTGCTGTTGTCAGTTCTTTTAAGATATTCTATCTATTTAGTTTTAATTACTTTTTTTTTTGTAATTAGGCTACCATACATGCCTACAATACTGGTCCTTATAATTAGCTATTCAGAAAAGCTCAAATCCTTAATTTTGTTTTATTAAGTTTTTCTTTATAATAAATCGGGATGGACCATACAGTCCATTAATATTTTTTCCTTCTAGAGTATATTGATTAGTTTTGTTAAAACAATAGGAAGAACAAGTTAAAGATTTTTTTTTAATTTATCATAAACTTCAGTCTGTATAACTTCTGATGAGCATGCTCCCAAAACAGAAGTGACATCAAAACACCAATCAGTTTACAACAAAATCAATATTATTTAAACAAATCCTAAACACTTAGCTTTAACAGTTATATCTGCTCTTATAAGCAGCAAATATATACTCGACAATTGTGAAAAATAACAGTAACACAACATTAACTAGGGAGACTTATTCAACCTCCAAAATTGCAATAATATTGTAGAAGTTAGGAACATAAATACAGTATAGAAACAGCTTATGGTTGTACCTACAGCTTTACAGCCTATTTGTTAAACCTTTTAAAAGTACTGACTGACCTGGTAAGAACTGGGGAAAAATGACACTAATTACATAAGACGAGACAAGTGGTCAACTATGGAGGCAAACCCAAGCAGAGATTCACAAACACTGGTGCTTAGGTAATGACATTATGGCAATATGTAGTTTAGTCACCAATTCAGTACAGTACCATGATACTGTACTAGTAAATGTGCAAGCTTATGCTCACAGACAGCAAGAGTATTTTGAGCACATGGCCATCATTTAAAGTGTCATGAAATAAAAAATCATCATATAACAAGTCATAACAAGCTATTTTTTTAAATGGAATAATTGCACTGGTGTCAAACTTTAAATAAATATCACATTCACTAAAATATACTGTACTTCAATTACAATTTTAATGTTGTTTATTACAGTATTAAAACTTATTTCAAAGGTACAACTTTAAAGTAAGTTTTTTTTAAAGTCCAAATACTGACACTTTGAAATCTTCATGTTATTATTTCACTGTTAATAATAGGTCAATTTACTCAAATAGAATATAAAAATACCTTCAGCAATAAAATTACTCTTTGATAAAGACTGCACAGAAATACAAAATTGTACATCATTACACTGACCAAACAACTGGCCATACTCCTTTAGTCTGCTACTTCCCCCCCTTACAAAATCTACTGTATTACAATTTTTTTTACCCCAATTAATTTTTAACATATTAATATTGGCATGTTTCAATTGGCAGAGGGTATCACCCCCCCCCCCTCCTTATTTTGTCTAATTCAAGAATTTTGGAAAACTAGTTATGTGAGAAGTATAAAGACAAATCCCATTACAGTATTGGGTTTAATTATGAATTAACTTTCATTGGACTAACTGCCATAATAATTTGTTATCCATCTAAACATATTTCAAGCCCTGAATATACAGTAAAATAATACAATGTCAAGTTTACCTACATAACTAAAACATTCTCAAATACTGTTTCAGTTAATAAAAACTGAGATTAAAATGATCATGTAATGTATATTTCTATGACATTTAACTTGTAAACTCAGGACTTTACCTCATTAGTGGAAATCATGAAAAGCTTGATACATCTCAATCTCTAAAATTCTTCAATTATATCAGTCCTTCACTTAATTATTATATTTTTCAGATCTCTCTCTGTCAAGCAGTGACAACATATTTTATATTTTCCTAATTATATAAATAAATTATTTCCCACGGTACTCCAGTTCTATATTTATCAAAGTGTAATCACCTTGTGTCACTGTGTTCCCCAATCAAAAATTCCTTCAGGATCAGGTGTGTATGCCGATGTTGAATATTATTGTCAGTTTTTTGCCCCAAATGTTGTTTTATAACTTTTAGTAAACTGTTCTCCCTTATAATTCATTACAATACAATACATTCTTCTACAGTTCATTAAATATTTTCTATACTGTAATAATGGCAACTAATAGGCAGGAAGGGTTGGATAAAAGGGACCAGTTGTGTGCAAATCACCTGCAAAAGTGAGCTCCAACTTTTGAAATTGAGCACATTCAAAGTGTCAACAGCTGAACTATGGTGCACTCCTTCAAAATAACGAAATACATTAACCAGACTTGAGCAATAGGGTTAATGATACGTGTATTCATAGAACCCTCCTTTAGCAAATATTTTCAAATACCTGTATATGAAAATATACATTTTCCAATACATATTTTTCATATATTTTAGTTAAAATCTTGTAATACATTATGTTTTCATAGTGAACTCTACTTGCAACAAAGACAGCACAATTATAATAATAATAATAATAATAATAATAATAGGGTTCTAAAAAGCACAGTACAGTAAACTCAAATGTTTGAGTATTATATTTTAACAAGATATGTAAATTTGAATATAACAATATTCAACTTCAACCAAATTTTATATAATATTTAAAATGTAGGATCCCCTAGCTTACTAACTTTGAATTTTTTTTTAAACTATGATATGTGATCAAGTCCATTCCATGTTATGTGTACAATATTAATAATAATAATACAGTGAGGAAATGTCATCGTACATTGTGTTGCTACTAGCTAGAAGGCTCATTCAACTCATTAAAAGTTTCATACAAGTATCAATAAACCACAAACTGTACATGATTATATGCTGCTCCTTACCTATGATTAAATCTTTACTCTCTAAGCAACTTTGTATTCTGTAGTGTACAGTACATGAATGTTAGATGCAAACTTTATTCTGGTAATACACAGGTAAGAATTTAGTCATGCAAATAAATAGCATTAGACAATATATTATTAAAATAAATGACATAGTACAACCCAAAATAGTGACTAGTTTAAACAGCACTGAAAGAATAAATGTGGTTTCACGAGAATGCTTATATAACATGATATGGCTCTTGTGATAGTTTAAGTAAAATGTATAATGTAATTTTTGCTAGTTATAGAATATTAAGATTGCTTAAAAAACTTTTTAATACTTATTATAATTTTTAGAACACAAAGAATTATTCTAATGGAATACAGTATTTTAAATTAAAAGGTTTGCAAAGTTAACATTAGTGAAATTAAAAACTTTTAAAAGTAACAGCAACAATCTCAATATTGTTAATAGCATCAACTGAATAGAGTACAGTACAAGGTTATAACAATAAACAATGTAACATTCAAATAAATCATACATCTTGACCTAAATATATCATATGACTGAAAAACATAAAAGTCAAATATTCAACATATAGTACTGTATTCCCATTCAGGAAGAATACCTAAAAAGTATTTCTAGAGCTCTGAACAGATACCAAGATGCCCTCAGTGCCCAGCTATTATTTAACTTTTTTTAACATCAACATTCTTTGAGCATTACTTCATTTGATGCCAATAAATAAGGAAACTTGTTTAATAAAGATTATAGGAAAATGTTTGCTAATTAACAATTAAAAGTAAAAGAAATCTTTCCTAGCAAGTTTACTTGAAAATTATTTAGTATGATATTGAAATTGTTTTCTCATGGCAGCTTTTACAAAACACAATGACTTGCAAACACCAATACTTATCATATCAGACAAAAACCCAGCAGTTAATCTTGGATGCAAAGATGTTTCAAATACGTGAGGCTTTTAAAAATCAGGTTCCACACGATGGAATAACTGGCACGGGTATACAAGAATGTGATTGTGCTTATTCATGCTTTAAGAAATATGTTCCTTCTAGCTAGCACTGCCCTAGATATCAAGTACAATTAATTTGATATCTTTGATTTGCTATCATACAACAAAGAGTACTGTATTTAAATATTGAGCTGTCCTTAAAAAGAAACTGTATACCATATGGTACTGTACTGCTTGTAATTCTCCATCTACTCTTACCCATTTGCTAATATAAAATTCACAACACTATAGTTACACCACCATTGTTTTGGAAGTGCTGAGGGTTGATGCTAGAGAGCTCCTCATTGCATCGTTGAGCAAGGAAATGCGAGCAATACCATCATCTTTGATTAACCTGACCTTTTAACCAAAAACCTCATAATCTAAGAATCACACTCATGAGACTTCAAAAACTATAATAATTTAGGTCCCAGATTATAAAAAACTGCTTAGATATTCAAAATTCTGATTCTAAGATCTCAAGAACTGATTCTCTTCCATATAGAACAAACCTTCCAAGATGTATTCTGCAACCAACTTTAACAATTATATAAATTATCATCATACTATAGGAAACAAAACAGCATTATTCTATTTGCAGATACAGCTGCTGTTGAAATTTAATGAACATTTTTGCAATCTTTGTTATAACTTCCATACCCACTATTTGATAAAATACTTTATCTTGATATGAGCAACAGTAAATATATTACAGTATATGACTACCATTGACATAAAAAAACACTTATAAAATACAAGCTGCTCAAAGAAGGTACCACATTGTGGAAATATAAAAGCAAAAGGACATTAGAAAAATAAAAAAAAAACATTAGGTCATGTAGATGTAGACTGATAGGCTTAAATATTAAGGTATAAGGCTTTTTTTTTTATAATAGTGGACGTGCTGATATAATCACTATCACATCTTCACTCGGTTCAGAATTGACGATCTACGTTGCAACAACATTTATCACAAATCAGATTTGCAAATTTGTTACTTGTTTGAATAAATTGAAATAAATCCCTTTGTTTACACTTATAAGATGGGGTGGTTGCAGAGTATCAACAATTTGGATAATGAACGACACAACACAAACATCGTGGGCTTGGAAAGCATCTTCTGACAGATGTCCTTCCCTAGCACTAACCTCAGACTCTAGTCTAGGTTAATTAATCACAGTTCCTTTGTTGATATCAAACTCACCTCTTTGCCCACTTTCAATGTGGATTCAATGCCTGTGAGATAAAGGTTACTGTACTTATAACTGTTGGGTTTTCCATAACCAGCCATCAAGATCCAACATCATGGACCATACAGTGGAGGTGTACCTTGATGTTAATGATCTTAGGAATCTTCTCTCAAATTCATTCATTAGTTATAAAAACTTTCATACTTTATGTGAAGACTTTATGTCAGGACCCTCAACATTGGAATCCTCAGTAGACTTAACTCGCTGATGGCACTATGTCAGCAAGACACAGTACTGTCGGTACTACGAGGTTGTTCCAGGTAACTACCTTAACAATCATCTTTAGTACATCCCCAAGCAAACCTCTGTCACACACTTGCCATGACATCCTGATACTGTACTTCACAAATGATTATTTATTTTGACATTCTTGTTCATTAGAATTGGTTGGAAGGCTGCCAGTAAGGATATAATGTGCTGTAATAATAATGTACATTACTTACTTGAGACTGGATCGGTGATCAAACACAGTGCATCATCTTTGACTAGGACAATCTCGATGCACCAATTAGGGGATCCTTGCCTTCAACAGGGTATACTCATACAAACTGATGATGTTTAAGTAGACATTTTAAGTTTCACAGCAATCTAACCAATAATTTTTAGCTGGCAAGAAAATTGTCTTACTTGAATGTACAGTTGAAGCATGCCTAAATAAGGCATGTTTTCCTTAACTTTATATATCTAACATGCTAAGCTATTTAAAAACCTATAAAAATTAACTTCTAATTTAATCTAAAAAAAATTATTATTCCACCACTTTTTATACATACTGACTGATGGGCTAAATATGCACATTGGAATCTAAATTATTATTATATTCAAGCACAAATCCTATTAAGCACCAAACAGCATTGCATGCACTCAAGTCGGGCAAATATATAATTTGTTTACCTTTTAAAGTTTTTGCTTCAAGGCAATTGTTCATCACCTGAACCTATATAACACACTAAACTACTTTCTTACTTGTATATCTCTTCCTTCTACAATGAGCAAGAAATAATGTATGAACTGTACTTTCTGAAGAGTACTGTAATCTTTAAAAATAAGTTCATAATAAAAATTCCAACACTACCATTTAAAATTTAAATGCAATACCCAAATTCTTTTAATATTAAAATACATGGACATTTCTTCTATGCTTGGACTACCCATATTTGCACAAATATAAGCAACACATTTTTGTAAAAAACAAAAATGGCAAAACTGTGGTGCAGTGTACAACAGAATGCAAAGATCGTGAAAATTCTATATACAGGTACTGTATATGAATTCTACCAATATTCATTACCTTTGCCCAAATGGTCACATTACATCACTTTATATGACCACACTGCAATCTTTTGAGTATTTCTTGTTTTGATATACCTGAACTATTTCACTTATGTTTGTCAGTATTAAAAGAACAGCTTTGAATGTTATGAAGTGCCTCTTTCTGGATAAACTTTGGCGACTCCCAGAAGCTCTCACTGAAATAGCTCCCAACAGCTGGGAGAACTAGATGGGTGAACCCAACTAGTTCACATTAGCCATGGAGTTATGTTTGGCGTACTGGGAACTAGAGCCAGAACCTGGCCAACCCCACCCTCACACAGGCACAGAGAGTGGGTGACACTCTAACACTCCAGAAAGTTGGTGAACTAATAACAGACTACTGTTGGGTTCAAAGAAACCAATGCCTTGAAACCAACAAACTCCCCAAGCAATGCAAGCAAATGAATCCCTCTAAACTAGCGAATACTCATTAGCACTAAATCTGCCAAAGCCAGTAAGGATGGGGGTAGAGCTCCAGGTCTTCCCCCAGCTTTCCAAGCCAGTTCTGGAGTAGATGTGAAGAATACACACCAACTGGGGAACCTGGAAGGGAGGGAGGGAATCAGGGAGCCACTGGGGATCATCCAGAAAGAGACACTTCATTACATTTGTCACGAGAATCTCTCTTAAAAGGAGATTTAAGCCTGTTCCATCATCACCTATTCTACCACATCACATCTGCATATTCAAGAATTTACAGCAAGAGAAACAACTACTACTTCTCATACGTCTAGACAGTGTACCACCAGTCTACCTCCCCCAGGGCCCGTTAGCCCCTCGCACCTGGTGGCTGGGAGCACCAGTCGGGGAACAAGCGCAATGGTAGTTTGTGAGAGCCGGTTCCCAGTTATCAAAGACACCAGCGCCACCTTAGTCCAGTTCCCATATAAATAGAAGTCAACAACCACCACAATTCAGAATACTCCTCAGTGCTCAACTGCCTGGATCTGCTAACATACGATTCTGTATGGTAGTTGATTTACGCAGCCTGGCCTTCAGTATTCCCGCACCATTTTATTGTTTTTACTTTAACGTTACGTTAAATTGTTTGTTTATTTGTTTTTGTAATACTGTATTGCCAAGACTAGAAGGCGCTATTTTTATTTGATTGTATTTGTTAGTCATTTTTTTCATACTAAAGTATTTAAATTTTTGTCCTCTATGTTTTATCCTGCAGTTACTTCACTGTGGAGACGTCAGCAAGCAGTCTACTTTATTTTTACTTTAATGTTTACTTTTTACTTTTTGTTTAGTGTGACTGGCATTCCATCTGCCCTAATAGCGACTGCACTAACAACCGTTCTTTTTCGCATCACACATTCAATGTAGGTTTTCTGGGGAAGCCTCTTGTTGCCCCCTGAAGCTAACTACCCACAGAGAAGAAAATACCTTACTTACCAGGGAGGAGGAGAGACTGTAGATGTTCAAGATGAAGAGACAACTGGCCAAGATAGAGATGACCCAAGGCAACACAGGGATGTTGAGGCCCAGGAGCATTAATTAAATACCAGGCTGCCAAACCCTGTTACATCACCAAAGCCCATGTGGCCAAATATCCACCTAGGACATGCAACAAGACTGCTGAAAAAGCAGCATATTGACGAGTTTATCGAAGCTTCTGTCTTTTTCTCATAGTATCCACCTTTGTGGAGCTGATGTCTCTAAGACTCCTCTGCTACTTGACCTCATAATAAATTTACAATGACATCTTTTGAGAAACGTGTGGCATCTTTGCACAGTGCTTCTATCAGTGAAAGTCATTATATACAGTACTTATTTTTTTTACATACTGGTTCAACTTCAAGGAATGGCTTAGAAATCATATCCAAGACTTTGATATAGGTCCAAAACTCTGGTTATGGTTTACATACAGGGAAATGCATATATTTGTGCAAATACTGTATTATCACATATGCCTATACAGTTGCAGAAAGACATATGTACTGCATATGTACTGTTTACGTTCAATAATCCGAATTACATGGGACCTGTCCCCATTCTAGTTTGTCAAATCTTTTGAATTTATTTAGGTTTTCATTCAGCAGTAATCTCAGGAATCAGAATAATAAAAAAATTAAAAAAAAAAAATTGCTTTATTAGAAATGTTTGAGATCTGTTCTTGTGACTGTAAATGCATAGGTATTTTCGTACCTACATAAGTAACTTGCACTACAGTATATCTGAACTGAAGTCCCACTAAGTTACTAACTACAGTACTCACACCTATACAAACTCTTAAGAGAATATTACAAACTAATGCTCTCTACCTGTATCACTCTCACCATTCTGTTCTGGTAAATATATGCTGTATCTTGCCTAAGAAACCCAACATGTTTATACTGTAAATTTAAGTAACTTTTTTTTAACAAGAATTATCAATAAGCACGAGAACACTTGAACAACTGGTCACTACTTTTTAATAATATAGTAACCTTAAAAAATAATTGTATTGTTAACTACAGTATTATTTATATGTAGTAGTTGCCTTGATTGTCCATCTCGGGATGCCATTATATTTTAGTGCTAGAGGAATGAATTGTCCTTATGCAAGCAGGGAAATCAAATATTAAACATTAATTAAAATTTAAAAAACATGTGCAATTACATACTGAATTTGCACAATTGCATATATATCTGAATCCAATAACTAGTCAAATGAAAACTAGCACAAATACTGTATACAAACGCAAGTACACATGCTGGTGCATGCATCCGTTCATGTGTACCCATGCATGTTAGCACATACACTAATCATTTTTACTACAAAATTACATGCAATTCTTTGTTTTTATTTTTTACTTATTGTAAGAGTAAAGTAACAGAGTGAGTAATTATCAGGTGCTGCTAAGCCACTATAGTCTGGCAATATAGCACCATTGAAGCCACAGGTAAAAATGAGGTACTGTACTTATACATTATTGATGATGTATATCCAAAGGTAATTCATCAATGGTATACCAAATTTATCATACTAACAAAGTATGCTATTAGTTTACCAAGGCAATTTTGCCAGGAAGGTGCGGGTTTCTTTTCATCAAACGGCCATGCGCTAATTGTGACCAATATGCAAACTCAAGAAGTTTCTATTTCCAGTTCTGTTTCATATCACAGTTCATGGTGTAGGGTCAGTTATTAGATAAACGTACCCACTTTGCTTTCTGTGTACGTACCGCTGCATGTATTATTGGGTAGTAACATGTGAGAAATATGCTTGAGAGAAGGGAATATTCCAAATGGCAAATTTTGCCCTTTAATCTGCCAATTCACTGAAGGCGATGCCACTATGACTTAGTACTGTACATTGAAGGCGATGCTACTATGACTTAGTACTGTACATAGACAAATCTACTTGTGTTTACTACTACTACTACTACCACCACTACAAACAAACAAAAAACCGGCCAATATTGGATTTCTGTACCCAAAGGATTTTATTTAAAAGATTTAACAGCCAGCAAGGCACCGTACAGTCATCCATAACAAATGACGTTTGTTTCAGAGGTACATTACTAATTTTTAAGATGATTGAGCAGGAAGAAACAAATTAGACCACAGCAATAGTAACAGATATCAAGAAGAATCCTTCCTCTCAAAGTTAGTGAATAAAAATTTGTCCAAATTCTGAGCAGGCATCATCTTGTACAAGTGATCAGATGCAAAAGACATTGCTTTTTTAATGATTTCTTCACATTGTACATGTATAGTTTACCAACATTTTAAATTTTGACAATCTCCACACAGTGCCACAGACCTTAAAACATTGCTGCAAATATATATATATGTAATTTGCACATGAAATTTGACATAATAGGATTTACTAGCATCAAAGATTTATAAAACAAATTAACACTATTAAGCACAAAAGAAGAATGCTGGAAGACAAAGGCAATGAAGGTAAAAAGAACTTCCACTTTCTAATCTTAATACAAGTTATTAAGGTTATTTATTTAAGGAATAGGTTATTTACCAGCCAAAACAAAATACAAGGTCAACATATCCACATTACCAAGGCCCAAATCAATTTTCTTTCTACTCATCTCTTACTGTATATTTATATGCTGTCCCCAGCTTTTATATAATAACCCCATCTCTTTATCTTGCTCTATGACACTCTTCTATATGAGGAATATTGCTTTCTATATGATTAAGATTCATGTGAAGTTGCATGTCTAAACACACATGTTTTAAATTAAAAAGTAAGTACTTATCAAGAGGCACCAAGCTGGGAAGGCTATGTAGCACCATCATATGTGCAGGATATTCAAAAGGCGCTAAATATCACTAAGGATGCCAAAATGAGAACAAAAGCGCACAAGGCGAATGATATCAAAGGTATCAAAGCAAGACGCAAGCACATCCTTGAAGTTAGGACATTCAACAAGGATATGCACGACCGTAAGAAGGACAATGCAGTTTTGACAATAAGGAACAGGGCGGCGCTCCATTAAGTGCCTGCGAGTTAAATGTGTGGGGCCAATACGTAACTTTGCCAAAGCCGTTTCCCACCACCTGTTATGGTGGTAGGAGGAAGGCCATGGTGACATGATACCCTTAAGAGCACGCAGTTTGTTACCAGTACCAGAAGACCATCGATCCTGCCAACGGGCACAGACTGAGGAATGAATAACTGAGCAGAAGTTGAAAAAAGGACATGCTTTAAAAAGCAATGTGGTAAACTATTATTTTCCAGTTGATAAATAGATATCTAATTTGTCTGTCTTCTGGCCCTCCTGTTTTATTTCAATTCTTACTTTGATAAATCTAACCCTTTAAAGCACGAAAATGTCTAACCGCTTCGATTCTAATCATTCAGACTTTCACGGCTGTCTTCAGGTGATGTCTATGTCTTGCTGCCGAGTCAAACCGAATGGTACATCCAGTATGTATATTGTTATCCCTTCAAAAATCTTTCAAAATCACTCGACAACAATTTATTCGATGCTGAAGTAGTCGGATCATCTAGAATTGTACCAAAAGACATTGTTGGGGGAGGGGGGGGGGAGGAAAGGGGAAATGGGAAGCAAAGCTTACGATTATTCTGAGAATCAGGTCGTTCAACAAGAAGGTGTAGGACTACGTGGAACAATGCAATTTGGATATTATGGGGCAGGCTTACAATCCATTAACTGCCTATGAGTTGACCTCATGTGGCTGATACATAATTGTACAAAGGATGCTTCCCATTTTTCTGTTACATTGAAATTTGAATTTGAAAGCCATAGGTGTAATTATTTGTAGCAGCCAGTTATCTATACACTATTTCCATTAGTTGTGGATAACAAATAATTAATGGGTGGTATAAAAAAATAAAAGGATGGTTTTGAGGAAAAAATGACATGTTCAAACAAAAAGAAGCCAGGTTTACTTTAAAGTTAAATCTAACTAGGCAGAGCAACCGAGGAATTACACAAAGGAGATGACGTGTTTGGCCCTAAATCTGTAATCCACACAAATTCATACCACTGGTTAAGTTCTGGAAAAGCATCTGAACAGTGCACCCCTATACCAAGGCATGTGGCCAAGACACTGTCAAGGAATGGCAAAATATAAGAAAAACCAAATCATGCTTTATAAGGTACATGTCAATTAATTAATTGCTTAGGCAATCAGCAGCGGGGAAGGCAATCCTGAAACCAACATGAAGTAAACAAGAACCAAACACACACAAATGATTGGGCAGCCACAACATTAAGCAAGTACATGGAACCCACTGTGCAGACAAACATCCTGCAGAACAATCACTCATGCATGTATGGTGTGTAAGGGTGGACTGCTAGGCAATAAATGAAGATTGTATGCTCCTCCAACTCTTATGATATGTGCTGCCATCTAGTGGAAATTGATGCAGCAGTTAGTTACTTAGTAGTAGTTAGCAGAGCAAAAATATATTTTCCTCGTGATTCCAATTATCACATGCATGGATGTCGAGCGTGTAAGTCCGTTCATTTGTATAAGTGAAAGCAGTAACTCTGTGGTAATCGAGATGGTCTTGTCACATAGTGGACAATGTATCTGCAAAGATCTTTACCACAGTGACAATAGATAAACTGGAACTCAGCATGTGTATTGTGCCATGGGTGGTCCATAAGGCTCTGGCTTCAGGAGCAATTTAAGGGCCCCCTTGCACATAAAATTAACATAATAAAACCATAAGATTTAGGAATACCTATCTAACAAGAAAGGACAAAATATCTGCAGACTGGTTGAATTCATATGTTACCAAATTTGCAAAAGAAATTATGATAATATGCATTCATGATGATTGTTAACTGAAGTAATCCCTCACTGCACAAATTAGCCAGCTACACTGGTCGCACAAATTTCCTCAAATATTTAGAAACCACATATTAAAAAACCACAATATCACATGTGCTTTATAATTTCTGAGAATTCTTTTTACAACTGTAACCTCTTGCACATAATAAAGTTAGAAAAGGATTAGTATACCCCATAATTTAAATTCAAATCCAATTCATATTTCTTTGAATTATTAAATTTCTATAAAAAGCACTATGAGAATTGCTTAATATTTACACAAGTCACTGCTTCAACACATTCCCTATTACAAAAAAAAAAAACAAGGTCAGGTATCATCCTGCATAACAAAATTAATTGGATAATATAATTTTTGTAACCATCTCCATTTAATATATTTATACATAGTGAGAATTAGCAATGCTACATGTTTAGCACTCTCAGATTACATTACCATTCATGATATTCTTCAACCATAATTTGTAGTCAAGTGGTATATCTCTAGATTTTAATGACAAACACATCAGTCTTCTTTGTTTCCTTTTTGCAAGAACTTGTCAAAAAAAAACTTTGGTATGAATAACGTGGATTCTGAAGGGCTAAGCTTGGTCTCAATAGCTCTAACTTGACTCCAGTGTTCACGCCGCCGTTCAACATCTTGGGAGTCCACCCTGAAACAAAAGATTTCTTAATGCCACCATGTAAATGCATTTGCTAAAAATTATGTAACTTATGTTCCAAAAACTAATGTACTTTTCTATTTCAACATAAATATTAGCCTATAAAAGCAAAAATTAATATTCTTGACCCACAAAACACAAAGCAAGTTAACCTGTGCTTTTGACTTAGTTTTTCCTTTTGAATAGTATTACAAACACTTATGTTACTTTCTAGGGAAACTTTACTTACCTACTGTTCTAATTCTCTGACAATCTTTCATTTCTAGACTGACGGGGTAAACAAGTTCTGCAAGACTTAAGGACTTAACAGAACCCACAAAGAACTGCACCCTGTAGCAACAGGGTATCCACTCTCACAAAACTTATACTGAATATATTTCTAGAATATGCTGAACATTGTTCCATACATACACAAATATGCAGTTTAGTCTTTTCTAAATAAAGGGCAACTGTCACTGCTATTTTGGCTGTCAACTCTAGAGAACCACTTGATTTTCACCACTACCACTAGCATTGTAAAGTGCTGAAACACTTATCTTCTTCAATGTACCTGTCAACTCTATAATCTCATAAAATGCTAAATGTCATTCACAGTGCTGAAATCTTTTACCTATTCATACCTAAAGAAAGTATTGTCAAAATTATGCACAGTATGTGGGCTATAGTATCACTTGATGCAGATTCCTTACTCATTCCACACTTGTCATACATAAAACTATCAAACACTTTAAACTTTTCAAATTTCCAATATAATCTTCAGTAAATGTTTGCTCTTGGATATTTGCATCTAATGCAAAACATATTTTTGCTCTTATTCCACAATACTATTATGCAGAAGCTTTTTTTTCCAGAAAACATTAACGTTTACTTAAACCTGACAGACAATATTTATCCAAGGCTTTAATTTTCAGATATTTTAAGCATATTGCCCCGGGGTCCAGACTCCTCAAATTAAATATTTATAAAGAAATGCAAAGTGCCGGTAGCACAAACACTCGTTGTAGTGTGGAGAAAAAGCTTAAACACTGGAGAGATACCAGAAGTGCTGAAATCACCAGATATAGCTGTCCCATGCAAGGGAGGAAACAAAGCATTGGCCAAGAATTGTAGACCAGTTGCACTATCATCCCACATAACAAAAGTATTTGAGAGAGTGATCAGAAGTCAGATCTCCAGTTTTATTAAGACAAATGACCTCCACAACCCAGGTCAACATAGATTTAAGAGTCCAAAGATCATGTCTCTTGCAGCTGCTTTACCACTATGACAAAATCACTGATGCACGTGACAAAAAAATAGAATACACAAATTTTACAAAGGCATTTGATACATGTAACCATAGAGTAATAGCCTATAAAATGAGGTCAATAGGTATAACAGGTAACGTAGGGCAATGGATATTAAAAGTTTTGTCACACAGAATGCAAAGAGTAACAGTCAATCAAATAAATCAAGTCCAAGCACAGTGAAAAGCTCTATCTCAGGGCACAGTCATATGTACCACTGCTTTTCCTCATTCTCATATCAGATATAGACATAATTACAAGTCACAGCTTCGTGTCATCTTCTGCAGACGAAACAAAATTTAGAATGAAACTTACTTTTGTAGAAGATTTTAAAAAACTATAAGCTAATAATAAAGTTTTTGATTAAAGCCAGCAGAAAATAACATGATGTTTAACAGTGATAAATACCAGGTACAGTACTTAGGTATGGTGAAATGAAGACGTTAAACAAAATACAGGGTACAAAACAATCAAATCAGCTCATAGTAAGAAAGCAACATGTAAAAGATCTGAGAATAATGATGTCTGACAACCTAATGTTTAGGGGAAAATAACCAAGCAAATATAGCACCAGCTAGAAAAATGATGGGAACAATTACGAGAACCCTCAAATTCAGGAATCCTATCACAATTCTCGTACTATTCAAATCACTTGTGCTGTCCTACCTTGGGTACTGCTTAATACTCTCTTTCCCTTTAAAGCAGGAGAAATTGCAGATTTTTTTTAAATTGCTAAAAGGGATGGAGGGGGAGGGGTGGGGAAAATGGATGGAGGGGAGGGGTGGAGGAAAAAGGGATGGAGGGGGAGGGGTGAGGGTAAAAAGGGATGGAGAGGGAGGGGTGGGGGTAAAAAGGAAGGGGGGGGGGGAAAGAGAGGAGACACAGACAAACCCGGGCACCATCAGGTAACCATCTGGTCTATACTGTACCTACAAGAAAATGCCTGTTATTGTGTGTGTGTGTACAAGGCTGGAGGCCAGGTGCTTGGGGCTAACCACCTCCAACTTTCCAGTGTCCTTTGACTCATGAATGAAACTATTTGTAAGATAAGAAAAAAAAAACATTATGCGACGAATAATAAGCATCACACCTATTTAACATATAAAAAACATACTAATCAGATGTACATAAACAAATCTAGCTTTGCCATACCACAGCTATCATGGACACTTACTTGAAAGTGTGTGGATCAATGTAGAAATTCCATACAGTCCATAGCACCAGAATTAAGAATATGGCCATCCACAATGTTACAACATGGCTGGAAGAGAAAAATCAGTAATATAGCCACCTCCAAAGTCTATACATGCTATACATATGCAACATATTCATGCTGCTGTTCTATACAGCACCAGAGATGTGCAATTTGTTCAACCAGAGTGGTTGCAATTTGTATTACGGTTGTTGTAGCTAAAGATAATCTGGTCTGCTCCTTCTCTTCATGGAACAGACTTATCTATAAATAATACTCCACTTCCCTCTTCCATTAAAGATCTTGCTCATTACTACCTTACAGTAAACCTTGTTCATTACTGTCTTACAGTAAACCTTGTTCATTACTATCTTACAGTAAACCTTGCTCATTACTACCTTACAGTAAACCTTGCTCATTACTATGCTTTGTCAGACCAGAAATTAGTTGAAATATAAACATCAAAATCTATCATGTCATGCTACATGTACAACTAATGACTTGGGCAGTCAGTACTGAGCTTAACCCCAAGCTGCTCTACTCCCTGGGTACAATGCAACAATTTGTGAACAATTAATGAGAACCTCATACTGTAACTAACAGCAACTGATGTTCAAAAAAAAAAAATATGAACCATAGCAGCCAATTCCATATACAGCCTCTACTAATGACTGGTATTTAAGTGACCCATTACTTAAGAAAGCAAAAATTTATAAAATAAACTAGAACATGATACAAGTTCAAAATTTGAGAGCAAATTTTTAAGGTTTTATTATCTGTTTCTAAAATTTTAATTAACTATACTTTATAATGGTTATGTTAAAATATGAAACCTTCGTATCTTCATGCACATGTCTCATGCACTTTGATGAGAGTTTATCTCATAAACACTGATCAATGTTTACATCTATTCATTCATTTAGAAATTTCATTGCGATTGTTTAACAAAACTTATTACCTCGGAAATGGAATGGTCACAGTTTCCCAGCCGAACTTAATAACAATAAGCAGTTCTGTGGTGACGATGGCCAGGAAGAGCCACGACTGCCGTCCAAACTTCATACAGTCACTGGAAGATTAATACCATGTGCAATATAGGCTACACACTCCATGTATATAATGAATGACTCCATATAAAGTAACTAAAACAAGAATTACCTAGTACTTAATAATGAATACAGTGCACTACTGTACTCAAATACAGTGTATGTATGTATGTGTGTGTGTATATTATATTATATTATATTATATATATTACATATTACTGTATGTATAAAAAATGCATAACATGATGCAAGGTATTTTGCTACTAGTCTTCTCTGCATCTTGAAAAACAGTACAGTCATTAAATTCTAATGTTGGTTTTGAATTAAAAATTTAAGTGCTGCAAATACCATTTGTACATACTGATGTTGGGACCATAGGTTAATCATATACGAGACCTTGTACTTCATTACCATCATTAAACTATATGGAAGCATGAATTCCTTTAATTTACTTACAATAAAATGTGGTATAGTCCATCTAACGCGACTTGATACCACACGTTAGGAACGGAATAATGATAGTGTTGGGCACTTTAAAGTCCAAGGGAAGGATAGAAATAATGATGGTTTAGAAGGCTGCTTATGCAACAGTATGTTTTTATTTCATTTCAGTGATGTTTCTGAATGAGATAAAAGCACCTTATGAAGATAATAGGCAAATTACCTATTAAAAGAAGTTCCTTCTTAGATAACAAAATAAATTGAATCTTCTAATCCTTTCAAATCTTCCTTTTGAAAATACTCTAAGGGTTTGTTCATTAGTACCCCTTAGAATGTTTTTTAGGATTTAGAACTACAGTATATTAGTAAGATCTTCACTAGTATAAAATTTTTTATTGCAGGAGCATCTTTGTCAATCTATCCATTCATCATGCCCTGCTTAAGATTCTCAGATTAAAATTTTTATTACTTCTGGAGCCTTAATGCCTTTCACTAAATCTAACCATTCTTGTGTTGAAGAAGATATAGATTTAGAAGATTAAATTTAACATTTAAATCTGAAAAAAAATTACTTCTGTCATTTAGAAGACTAACAGAAATGCTGGGTTGAAGATTGAAGATATTTATAACAGATAATTATAAGAAAAGACTGGATAATTATGAATAATTATATGATCATGATAATTATGAAAAGACTGGACCCGGAAGTCTTTCAAAGCCTGAGATGTCACTACAGTACGTGAATACATTCATGAGGAAGTGTGAAGTAGCTTAGCTCTTCTCACTATTAAGGACTGTTTAGTAAGGTTATCACTTCTGCACTTCTGCAGCCTTAATGCCTTTCACTAAATCTAACCAATCTTGTGTTGGTACCCACTGTATCCGGAGGCCTGGTCAAGGGCCGGGCCGCAGGAACGCTAAGCCTCGAAACCACCTCAAGGTAACCTCTTATTTGTATTAGATATATATAACTGCCAAAGTTCTCAACAAAATCAGCAAGTATAAATCGAGCTAATTTTTTCAGCCAACATTTCTTTAACCACTGTGCTGCGCCAACTGAGAAAACTCAGTCAGTGGGAAGCTGCGCCAACCGAGAAAACACCTGTTTAATATTTCGTACCCATTCAAAACACTTGTGCCGTAGGTCATGTACGAAATGGATTCTTGGCACCTCCAGAGGCAGCCATATTGGAAAAAATTCCCAGAATGTCCTAGGGTTGCTGGCTGGCTCAGTTCCAAGTGAGCAACCATGGGTGGTGCACGTGCTTCTGGCTCCCAAACACCTATCAGAAGCGGTGTTGAAAGATCGCTCTCTGTGGGTGAAATTCAAACCTTATTGTTTGAATAACATAAGGGTCATGATATTGATGACGCTAGGCACAATACGGACATAACACAAGGGTCGGATGCAAGTGATACAGCACCGACGATACAGCACCGATGAGGACGATACAGCGAGCGTATCAGTTGTAACTGAGCTCCACCCATGCTCACCCATGTTATCTACAATTTTTTTATAGATGATACATAGATGAATCGTTTTCTGGGTTCAGTGATGTTGCATCTGATACAAGTAGCATAGATGAACAGTGCTAGTGGCTTCCATGGTGGTGTTTTCCATCGATCTTGTCAAGAATAGCCGAATCTCTTCCAAATGGCTGAATCTCTTCCATAATGACAAACTCTTCCAGAATACCTTACAAAGTGATCTTTTCAACACTACCTAACACTTCACAAGCTTCTCTACATACCACCTACAGGTACTAAAGCCAAGGGTGTACGTGAGTGTGTTATTTGCAAGAACACAGAACAAAGAAACAGGAAGTGAAAATCTGTTTTAACCTGATGCATATTTACAAAGTGCAAAGATCCCAGTGCAAAGATCGTGAGCAAAATTGCACTGTGTACTAAGAACTGTTTTCTTGATTATCACTCACTTCCGAAGTACTGAGTGTGTAATACAGTGTGTTACTGTGTAAATAGTGTGTGAAACTGTACATATTGTAATTTTAGTGAATTTTGAACAAGTAATATTGCAACAATAAACATTTATTGAGGGCACATTACTGACATGTATCACAGCTCCATGGAACATTATGAACGTTCTAATGTACACATATTGTAAAGGACACAAACATGCATCATATACGATAAAAAGCAAACAAATAAAACTGCATTGGAAATACATAGAATAAATAATTGAAAATACATTTGAGGCAACTGGCAGTGCTTGAGTGGCCCGTGTGACCACCTCTTGGGGTGGTCACAGGAAACACGCCCTCTTCTCCACATCCCCACAATCAAAGTAAGTGGAATTTATTTTTATCTTTTTTTTATATGTATGTGTTCAGGGAAGGGAATTTATCATTTTACAAAGATAAAAAAAAAATTGGGAGCACCTGACTTTCGGCGCACAGGGAAAATGTCCCAATAAACACTGCATCACAGTGGTTAAATTGCAACTTTGAACCAAACTGCAAACTTTTGCAATATTGCACAGTCCTTAATAGTGAGAAGAGCTAAACTTCTTCACACTTCCTCATAAATGTATTCATGTACTGTAGTGACATCTCAGGCTTTGAAAGACTTCTTGGTTCAGTCTTTTCATAATTATCATGGTCATATAATTATTCATAATTATCCAGTCTTTTCATATAATTATCTGGTCATAATTATCTTCAATCTTCAACCCAGCATTTCTGTAATGACGGAAGTAATTTTTTTTTTAGTCCTTCAGAATAAGAGAGACATGGTCCATTACAGGGAGAGACTTCCCCTGGTAGCTACTAGGTTTAAGATAACATGAAACTCCCATTTGTACATTAAACTAATCTTAAAAATAAGAAGAAGAATAATGATAATAGTAATGATGATTAGAGCGGCAATGGTAACATTGTCACTCTCTAATGTTGCTGTTCAAAAACATTAAGGTTTCTAAATTATGATAACCCAAGAACAAACCAATTACAGTATTGTGAGCACAATATTTACTTTAGAAATTAATGAAGTGATAATATAATTTGGCCAAAATTGGCATTGGCAAATGATAAACAAATACACTTACGGATCATCCAGGAACTGGAACACTTCTCTCAGGGCAACAGCCCCCCAAGGCAAAATAAAGGCAAGACGTACTAAGTTAGCCCAGTGTCCTGGCGCCACCCATAACACAAACTTCAAATAAAATGTGTTGAGCTCTGCCAGGAGAAACTGAAAAAACAAACAAAAATGATTTATATTAAATGCAGTCAAAGAAAAAACTTGAAGCACTACAGGTATGAATTGGCGGGGTAATGTCTTCGATACTGTAGCTGTCTTGGGCCATAATGTACTGTATCTCTATACCCATTATTACTTTTATTATCCACAGTCAGTCATACTCTTCTTTCAGCTAACAAAGGCACAAAATATGCCAATTATTCAGTACAGTATGTATACATGCTGGAGTATGTGCAAAATGCCACACATGATGAATTGCATTAATTCGGGTATTTCATACAAATTTATCATATTTGCTTTAACCCTTCAACTTCACAAACAGTCGACAACCGTCCTGTATACAAGAAAAAATTACAAAATTTCTTTTTCTATTTTTGTTAAAAATGCATTCCATGATCATGGGAAAGATAAAATAAAATTTCTAAGTTACTTGCCTTGGCTGTGATGAAGTCACAATGACAGCATGAAATCTTTATCGTTCACGATGCAAATTCTGGGTCGAGTTACTCCAGGAGGAAGGGATGGGGGGGGAGTTGCTACACACATTTAATCATTTAATTTTTTTTTCTTCTACCAGTATTAAATTATTTTTTCTATAGATTTGGTCAGTGCAATTATCTATTGGGTTGTCAATATTAGTGGAAATGATATCACAGAACATGGGGAAATATTCTTATATAATAAAAGATGCAGTTTTTGTTATTACACTGTAGAGACACGTTGTATATACCTACTGACATGCTTACACACTGTTAGGAGGCACTAAGAAATTCTGGAGGATGATAATCTTGTAACCAACGATCTGAGCACAGCTTGGCCCCACACATTTTGCATCAAGTTTTAACTGAATGCATTGAAAACATGTTACTTTCTTTGCATTTTTATTGTTATAATACCATGATTTTTTTTCCAGTGCAATGAGATATTGGGCTGTCAATAATGTTATTTATATCACAAAATGTGTAGAACATTGGCATTACACAGATATACTTGCCACTGATATGTGCACCACAATATAATTTTAGAACAGTAAAATATACTATTTTTGTGGTTATTACACTATATACACATTATATTAACTATTTACATGTTTATGCACTGTTACAAACCACTAAGCAGTTCTGGTGGGGTGTGATAATTTTGGAGCAAATGAATTAAGCACAACCCTAGACCCCATTAGGACATGATGTGGTGGAGGCAGACTCCATACACATTTTCAAATGTAGATATGAGTGTGCCCAATAGGCCTAGGAACCTGTATACCAGTTAATTGACAGTTGAGAGGCAGGAACAAAGAGCCGAAGCTCAAGCCCCCAAAAGCACAACTAGTTGAGTACACACTCAACACCAGACAGTTAAGTGCTGCCCAATTATCACTATGCACACTGCTAACACTAGCCAAAACACTGTTATTAACAGAATCCTGATCACTAAATCCTGAACATGCACAAAAAGACAAACCTGGCCACAAAAAGCAGGACAAGAACAAAGAGAAAATGTCCGAGGGTCTGGACTAAAGCAAAAATCAATCACCTTCACTCCAGGAAAACCTGGCTACAGAGCTGCCATGCCTGCCTACTAGCCTCAGAATGTGTACAATAAAGAGCTCAGCAACAAGGTCTAGGCTAGAGACAGTCTAAAAAAATCATGGCTATATCAAACAATAATAGAAAAGATAGATAGATTTTAGGGCAATTGGCCCCCTCAATGATCAGCACTAGGGAAGAACACCCTGAAACAAAGATAAAGTGGATATACAGTGTATAGTCCAAGTCAAACACCTGAGCACCATACATTGCAGTGAATTCTAAAGCAATGTATTCCCTGCACACAGTTTCCAGGAGTGTAAAGTCAACTTAACTGATTCGGCCTGTACAGAGCTGGATGCGATACCTAACAAGATGTGAAGATTGCCAGTTAATCTGACCCCTGTAGTGGAGGCCCAGCTACCACCTGTTGGCAGTTTGGTTGTGGCTAATTCCCTCAGGAGTATGTAAGTGATAATTGGCTTGTATTGCATTTACAATTGCTGCTTAAAGGTGACATACGCTGTCTCCTCACCTCTAAATTACATGGCAGGACCATTTGCAATGTTCCTTGACACAGTGTTATCAATGACCTGGGTACAAGGACCTGTCGAGGAAAGCAATGAAGAGTCCATGCTCAGAAGTGTCACATACAAATTGTTAGGTACAGTTTACAGTTTATATTAGGTTATTAAAAACCATCATAATATTGACTACTACAATTACAGTACATTAACTGTAAAAATAGTGAATAAATCTGATTGGCTAAAAGTTATTGTACCCAATCCAGATTTTTCAGTGAATACTTCCATTAAACTGTCTCTACTTCAGATTATGGAGAGCTGATGCAATAGCAAAACTTTGATGTTATTTGGAGATACAGTATTTATAGGGACATCTGAATTTTAATAGGATGCACTATATACAGAAGCATTCTCTACCACTCTTATCCAAATCCTCATGCTAGGCAGAGGTTGCCTATTGTACTTTCCACTAAATATTTTTCCTTTGTTCATCAACTTTACTTTCCATAGCACCTTCTTTAAATCCACCTAACTTTAGTACCCTGCTTTCTTTAATATTCTGATGTGATGTACTTACTCTGGAAACACAAACCGAAACTGTCTCTATTTTCCGCTTGTTACAATTTGTAATAAAATTGTTACATCTTGGCTTAACGCGTTTATGACGTATTAGAACGTTGTTACAACTTGCTATATTGGTTGTTATAACTGGTTAGGAGGTGTTAAATTTGTTCGAACATTGTACCAACGTCGTATTTTCAGTGTGTGTGTGTGTGGCGGGTAAGTAGCAATTTTTTCACTTACCATGGCAATAATCCCAAGCATGGAGAACCAACGTCCAAGGGATGACAAAGGTTTCCAATCAAAGTCCACCCATACATATGGACCAAATTGAGCCATAATACGTCGAAGCTTCCCTCTGTAAGTGACAAAAGCTATCAATACACACTTATTTAGGTGTAATAAAAAAAAATTACATACTCCCTGGGAATTCAGGTCAGTCGGATCTTCCATAATCCTATTCAGTTTTCTCATGCTCCAAGACAATAAAACTTACTGTAAGCTATTTTTTACTAATCTAAAAGGCATATTCCCTCCCACCCAAATAAAAGGATTTAAATGTCGTTTCACTAAGTAGTACACTTGCAAGTCAAAATTAAAGAATGTGCTGACACACAACATGGACAAAAGCATGCTTTTCTTATTCCTTGGAAGCAGGTTTAGTGGTCTACGGTACCTGTATGTGGGGATGTTCCAGAGGCCTCTCCAGTGGTAAGTCTTCATGGAGAAATACTTTAGAGATTGAAGCCCACAGAAGATACCCAGACCATTACACAATAGGGCATCCATTATCCACTAGAAAAAATAAAAATTGATGATCGGAAAACTGTTAGAAAATGTACAAGAAAAATAATAAATAACTACAAACAATACAGGAGCTAAAATCAGACTTGTGGCTAACTACATGAAATATTTGAAAATGAAACTACATTGAATGAATGTGCCCATGCATGATCTGCCTTTCTATATAAAATAAGTATTTTAAGATAATATATACATTAATAGTAATTTATATAAATAAAAAAAAAGGCCTGAGCAGGCCACAAAGTAATACTCGTAAATGTTTTGCTCCCTCAAGGACTGTTTTTAACCAGCGGTGTGACTCTCCATTGAAGATGCAGTGGGGATTTTTTCTAATGGTAAAGTACATTATTAGGGGATACATACTGCCAAAATAAGTGCTATTCAACCATCACTAACAGGTCAGAAGTGATGGAAGGGCCACACTGGAGAACTCTTAATCCATCCCTGAATAATTACCAATAAATCTTTCAAATACACAAAAAGGCCAGCAGTCCCTCAGAGCAGAGATCTCTGGCAGAGTATAGGAAAATAAAAGCTAAACTTTGTGAAAGCATTCCTGGCCATGATTTAGAGTGAAATGGAATGCTACAACACACGTAATGTGGTTGGAACAAACGATTAGTAAAGCACTAAAAAAATTATAAAAGCAATGGCCCTTGGTGGAATGTAATGTTCCAGGAAAAGCCTACACCCAATTACTGAAAGCAAGCCAATGATGAGAGTCAAGCAGAATCAACAGACACTGGACAGGTTACACCAGGCAAAGGTGTTGATATGGTGGTGAAGTGGACCAGGACTAGGGTCCGATTAGTAAAGCACTAAAAAAATTATAAAAGCAATGGCCCTTGGTGGAATGTAATGTTCCAGGAAAAGCCTACACCCAATTACTGAAAGCAAGCCAATGATGAGAGTCAAGCAGAATCAACAGACACTGGACAGGTTACGCCAGGCAAAGGTGTTGATATGGTGGTGAAGTGGACCAGGACTAGGGTCCTGGTACACTGAGTTCTAGGAAACTCAAACTGCTGACCCAACGTGTACGAGGCCGAAGCTCTATTGACCGCGCTATAAAGCCGACCGTCTCAAGGATTTTTTTTTGCAAGAGACCATGTCTTTTCCTGGTAAATTCCCTGTGGGTGCTTCCAAGCTCTGTATTTGTCCACCAAGTGCTCCCCTAAGATGTTCTTGGAGGATCGAGAGTCAGCCTTTCAAATATAAGTGTTCTAATGCAGTTACTATTCACTTGTTTTCTGATACAAAATTTGGGATTTTCCTGGTGGCTCAAAGTAGGCAACAGATGAATCAGAAGCCTGGTATGTTGGGCTGGGGATTGGTGATACAAAGGTAAGCTTGGGGGAGCTGCCGAGGGGTCCCATCCAAAAAATAAGACCATGTTAAGCCCAAGCGTTCGAATGAACCACACGTGCACACAAGCACTTGTGGCAACAGTACAATATTCAAATGAGCATGCATAGCACCAACACTGTTGCAAGGAAAAGATCCCAAAGAACAACGAAAGGAAGGGTCAACTTAAGAGCAGCAGCAGTCAGAGGAACACACTACTAACACAAGCGGTTATCAACAATGATGACCGCTTCAAACTCAGTAGATGCTTGAAGGACACACAAAGGCATGGCAGATATGCAAACGATACACATCCATCAAAGCTTGTGTCCCTGTAAAAGATGGCAAAAGTCCCAAGATGAAGCAACTATTTATTTAACTAAACAATTAGCCTCTCACCGATCTGAAGATGAGCACATGAAGGCACCAAAGAGTGGGGTAGATTCACCAGGTTCCTATGTTTATAGTTTGCTCTGCCATTTGGGGGTGGGGAAGGGATAGTAACAAGATGGTTAAATAGCGGTTGGTTAGTTTGTGGTTAGCAGAGCAATGATCACTGACAAACCTGAATCTCAACAATGCTTGCAGGAGGTCTGAGTATATATAAATGTATTTTTGGTGATAATTATGAGCTGTATTCAGGGTTTTCCCAATGTCTCCCTGCCCCATTTTTGGCTGATGGGTGAAATAATAGTGCCTGCTTTGACTTAATACATACCGAAATCCATTACAAAAGATCCCTACTGTGTCGAAGATGGCAGGTGCACCAGTTCTAGCTAGGAAGCACAGTATTCTTGAAGGAGCATGACACTTGGCTGAGTGACCAAGTTGGCTTAACTTCGTAGCTATTTAATAAAATTAAAAATTTCATTATAATGAAATTTAGTATACTGGAAAACATCCACCTTCATCCATAAGCCTAAAGGTGGATGTTGTGTATGTCAGCTATGTACAGTTTGCAGAAATAAGTGAAAATAATAAAATATGATAATTAAATGTAACAGTATGAGTTAATCAAATTTAGAACTTTTACTTTATATATATTTCACAGAAATCATATGAATCTAAAAAATTACAAAATTATGAGTAAATAAACAAGCAGCTTCATTTATGAGAGACATTTTCCATACCGGTATGATACAATTGTAAAACTATGGATTAAAGTGAATACCAGTAACAATTATAAAAGTGAAAAATGTCTGCCCAAACGTAGCATAACTTATTATATTTATATATACTGTTCAGTATTAGCAACTAACTACCATTAGCTAAAAAGCAGAAATTTAAAAAATGCAAAAGACTGCCCTAAAGTGTTATTTTTGCATTTTTAACACTTTAGCTTTGTGATGGAGCAGAGTCATTAAAACAATACATGTAGTTCAGGAGATGACGTCAATGCCGTCATCAATTAATTTTTGCTTATTCTTATTAGTAAGTACAGTATAAACATTGCGAGTGAAAGAGTTTAACATTGGGTTGTGTGCTCACGGGCACCGCCCGGCCTACCTTGCGGTGCGCTGTGGGTTGCCCATCAGGCCAGGCAAAGTGTTAAATGCAAAAAAATGTCCTACAATATTATTAGCTGTGTACTCACTGTTCTATTTACGCTCTAACTATTGACAGGGATATTGATTACTGGCATTTCTATTGACAGGGTTATTAAATAGTGTCCTATATTTGTTAAAACAGTTGTCTTATTCCCATACTTCTTATTAACTTGATTTATACACATTGCTAAGTCATGAGGTAAAACTAGTTTAACCTTTGTAACATTGATACTACACAGCGTCACTGGTATCCAACTGTTGCTCTGGTATTATCTCAAATACTTAATCAAAATAACAGACTTCCCATTTTTTTTTTTTTTTGGAAGAAACATCCAGTGCAAAAAAAATGTGTGAAAATGCTGCATGCATTAAGAACATTCAGCTGTTTGCTTTATTCAAAGAAAAATGTCAATGGATTTTCATCAACTCTGCCTGTAAATATATACTGTACTCAGTACTTATCCATTTATTTCAAACATCTATTAAAATGAAAAGCTTTACAGAATTTTAAGTTGTCCTTTCACTGCTTCCAGGAGTACATAGAACTACAAAGTTTAGTGTCTCAGAGCTATTCCATTCAGTTACTTACTAATGCAAAATTATACTGCCATCAGGTCCAATCTGTCTAGTAGTCTAGTCTAATCTAATCTTATCTGCTGCAACCACGGCAGGTTAACACTCCACACTCAAGTAGCAGGGAATTTTTCACACTAGACCATTCTGGTGCTAAGGAGACACCGAAAAATACTTTATCCAGCTAGAATGTAGACAGAAAAGTGCTTTACATTACCTCAAAAGGCTTTCCAGGTGCACCTTGGAATCACACATCACCACCATGCTATCTAACAACCCACTTGCTCGCTACCACAGATGGGTACCAGATGGTAGCTCTGACAAAAAACCCTCCAACCCAACCTCATCTCATCATGGGCTCAACACCCACAAGCACAACTAGATGAGTACATTCCATCCTTGGTTGACCTTGGCTGCAGGTTGTGGTCAGAGAAGACTAATTACAGCACTTTCAGCTAAGTACCCTGTATTATCCTTAGGGAAGTATGTATCATTTGTGCAGCAGGCTTATGCTACAACAATGGACAAAAATTGTGTGTGTAGAAGACTATTAAAGTTGGTTCCGAGCTACGTATTACCAACTGCAGACCAAAGTTCTCGTCTATGTCCAATTGGTTCATACCCTTCAGCAGTGGCAATTCTCCTCTTGAGAGTTCCCATTATACTGTACATTCTCAGAACTTTGTACCTTGTGTTGGGACCCATTCATTTATACTGGGCAAGATATAATTTACCATCTGGTTCTCACACAGTCTATTTCACTAGTATAATAGCAGTGGCATTTCTCCTCATGGTTTTCCTACTAAAGTACGGTACTGTACGGTCACTATTTATTGGCCTTGGGTCATCTAGCATGTATTTGTGCTGTGGATGGATAAGGATAAGGCTGGTTACCATTTCACTGGTATGTGGTGGTACAGTATGATTTGCTTATCCCAGATCAAGCATCATTTTTGTGTGCCTGGATTGTACCTGGATAGGGTTCTGCGTGTTCAACACCCCAAGCCCGGGCCGGGCCCAGGATTGACTTGTGAGCTATGGCCACAAACTTATTCATGAACCGGTTGGCCAAGCGGACAGCATGCTGGACTTGTGATCCTGTGGTCCCGGGTTCGATCCCGGGCGCCGGCGAGAAACAATGGACAGAGTTTCTTTCACCCAGATGGCCCCTGTTACCTAGCAGTAAAACAGGTACCTGGGTGTTAGTCAGCTGTCATGGGCTGCTTCCTGGGGGTGGAGGCCTGGTCAAGGACCGGGCCGCGGGGACACTAAAGCCCCGAAATCAAGGTAACATCTCAAGATGGCCAAGCTTCTGGTTCAGGCTCTTGTTCAAACCACTGCAGCCTAGGTGAGCCTCACTCTTCTACAGTAGTTAGGGTTGGTTTACATTGGTACTTGCCTGAAGGTGCAATCGAGTCTGGTAGGTCAGAAATCTAACTTCGAGACTACAGCACTGTAGATGAAAAGCACTTTTAACTAAAACAATTAGTTGCTTTTGTTCTTGCTCTTTCTTCCATCCTGTACCACCCATTCGATGGTGGTGGCATGTCATTGTTCTCATAGCCTAGGATTCATGTGTTAAATGGCGAGTTTGAGCCGATGTTGATAAGGCCAACTGGTGGCAGATGGTGGTAATGACCTTTTGGATTGCTAAGCAGTTAGCATGTGCACAGCTTAGTGATGTTTGTATCAGAAAGTTGCACCTGGAAATGATTTTGCAATAATGTAGTGAATATTTTTATCTACATTCTGCATTGAATTGAGTATTCTCCAGCCTCTCCCAGCACTAGAGTGATCCAGAAGGGATGACTTAAAAATTCCCAACTGTATCTCTGTAGAATGTCAACCTTCCCTAACTGTGGCAAACTCTGCCTATCAGCCAGTAATGTTTGGCCAAAGGAACCAACTAAGGCACTGGTCAGAGAAGTGCATTTCATGTATTATACTGTAACAGTACATTTACACATTTTGTTTTCAATTTAAATACAAATATAATGGAAATAATATTGAATGAATGTATTTCAAAATATATTTGCATAACTGGGGTTTGATAAAAAATCAAATATTTCAGAGCATAATGCACATTTAAATTCATTAAATATGTATGTATACGAGTAAATCATTAATAAATTAACATAGTAGCCTCCCCATTATGTCCTGGCATAATAGCAGAACATGGTAGCTCACCATTATGTCCTGGCATAATAGCAGAACATGGTAGCTCACCATTATGTCCTGGCATAATAGCAGAACATGGTAGCTCACCATTATGTCCTGGCATAATAGCAGAACATGGTAGCTCACCATTATGTCCTGGCATAATAGCAGAACATGGTAACTCACCATTATGTCCTGGCATAATAGCAGAACGTGGTAGCCTCACTATTAATACATAAAAACCTACACAAAACAAAGTTAAATACATTTTAACTATGAATCCTCTTTTTAACTGTCAGAGAGGGATATATATATACAGTGATGTGGAGGGGTTTTGGTATCTGACAGGACATAGATAAATGAATGGAACGGGAGTACTTGTTGGTTTAGTTACAGCACATTACCATAAAATATTTCCCTGGGGTCCAACTGTAGGTCAACATACAGCCATCTACCCTTTTTAACTATGTGAATTAATAAAGTTAAATCCCATGTTGAAATATGAGGCAGATGAAATTATTTTTACAAATCATTAAGTGATCATTAATATTAAAACGAAAACATTTCCCAGATGTGAACATAACCAATGCCTCTACCCCCTCTACTGATATAATTTTTTAATGCCAATAAATATAAACGTGTAGAAATCTAACAATAAATAACCGATTAAAAATTAAGACGATTAAGCTAGTATTATGAAAAACATGCAAGAAATGTTATCCAAACTTAATACCAAAATAAATGATGATTCAGACACCAGGTGGAGTATAGAGGCTCTGCCTACACTTCAACTTCTGGAGCTAAAAACCAGAATAGCCATTCAAGAGAAAAAATTAATAAAAATACATACAACAGACAAGTATCAGTTTTGTTATGGTAGCATTTACTGCTTGGAGGTCAAAAATACTGAAGGTGCCTAGGTATAAATGTTTCAAGAGGCATACCTGAACCAACAGCAGTTAACGTCAGGCTGTACAGCAAGGTGGAGTATGGAGGAGACACACCACACATGGTTGCTGATGCATGCCACTATTTTGGCCAAAAATTATAATAACCTTACAGAAGTTCAGGAAATTTTTCATAAACCAGATGCTGCATGCACCATAAATACTTAAATGCAAAATACAAGTGCAACATGGAATTCATAGAACAATTAGAATTGCAAACATGTTCAGTATTTCAGCAATGTGAAATATAGAAATTAACACTGACAGCAAATATCAAAGGTGAAAATCATTTCAAGACTAAGAAACTTGTGCTTCACAGAGGAATGTGGAGTAAATGTATTAATAAACTGGATATATATGTAAATATATGAACTACACACACACAACTCAACAAGTGTTAATGCAGACAAAAAAGTAATGATCAAATAAAATGACAAGATCAGCAATAATGTATTGTATTCAAAATAGCAAAAGCATTTATAGCATACTAGTCACCAACTCTTCCCACATAAGAAAAGGAAATTTTGGTTTGTTTTCTTTATAGATTTAAGGTTTGAAATATTAGCAAGAGAAATGTTTAGAGGTCTGTTACTTCGCTTAGTGCTTGTGCCAACTCTAATGAGACCGAATATGACCACTAACAATTGTTCTGAATTAATTACTATTCTCTATGTAACAAAAATGTTAGTGCAGGACTCATCACCTGAGATCACCTGAGATAGTCCTGGAACATCCAGAAAACAATCAGGAACAGGGAAATGTATCCAATACTAAAAAGAAATATTAAATTTGACACATTTAAAAAGTACAGTATTATCAGCATTCTAGCAGGAGATATAAAATCTTCCCTAAAGAGAAGGAAGATTACAATTACCACATAGCAATACAGTATATACTGTAAATGACCCAGAAATTAGCCATTCTCACAATGAGAAAAAGAGCCTTGACTAAACCTGATGAGAATCTGTAACAACAATCACTCCTGGTTCAACATCTTCTCACTGTGGCTGTGAAGGACTGGAGTAGTTAGCTGCCTCTTGCCAACAAATCTTCTAAGGAAATGAGGAGACCAAGTCTAAGACAGACCCTGAACAACCACCTGTGATTGCCAAGTCCGATGAAAAGCTTATACATCTTTCTTCCATTTCATTTCCAAGGCGTGCAATGAAGAAGGGGTTGAAAGATCTAATGATTGCAAAGACACTACCTCCTTGAAGTGGACAAAGCACACCCATTCCAACTTTAAAGGCCACCAAGAATAACTGGCCTTATTCAGAAAAGCAGCGAACCAGAGACTCTATCTCACACAGGCATTAAAAAATAAGAACCACAACCTCCCTTTCTCCTGAAAAATGGTGGAGTAAGCTTCAGCCAGAACACCTAGTTAAATAATTAGGGGATACACACACACACACACACATTACTCAACACCCACTGCACCTTCTCCTTGTGAAAGACAAGAGATAGGTGTGGAGAGCAACAAGGAGACTCAAAGCAGACTCCTGAAACTGAATGCCACACACCTGTAGACACGACATGCTGAAACGAAGTTCACAACAGAATTGCAGATGGTCAAACCCATTATCTTAAACCCAGATAACTCATCCACACCAATTTAGCTCACTCCGTATGAAGCTAGTATGAGAAGTTTTTGACGTGAAAGGAGCTTAACTGTTTGGCAGTACAACATGATAGCAGTTGACTTGAGGAAATAGGCCTGAGATATGCCATGCAACCTCTGTCCATGTGCCTAGAAAACTATTTCCAAGCCATGAACTGTTCACCCCAGGTTCTCTGACCCCCCCCCCCCCCCAAAAAAAAAAAATGAAGGAGCCTGATTGATCCCAGTCAATGTTGCCATATGTTGGTGACAATCATAGGTCTCTGTGCCTCCTTAAAGTCCTCATAATCACACACAAAATATGCAGCTCCATCATGGAACCCAAACCTGATAAAGCACAAGTAGAGAATTTTATAAATACAAAGATATGTCACAAGAGCAGTACCAGGGAGAAAAAAGATGTGCTATGAGAACAGGCTAAGTGAATCAAATCTAAAGGTATTAGAAGTGAGAAGAACCAGAGGCAATTGGATCACAATATACTAGTACATGATACTAAGGGGAATGGATAGGTGTATAGAAAGTCTTTGCCTGGTGAGAGACAACAGAATAAGGAACACAGGTGGAAGTTGGAAACATACAAACCATAGAAATATAAAAAATGTGCACTGTATGGATTAATTGCTATGAAAAAGAAGAATGAGCTTTAACCATAGGTGGTGAAAGCCGCCACCATTCACAGCTTCGAGCAAGTATGACATACATTGTACTGGAATGTTAGGAGGTTTAATAGCCAGGAAGCAGAGCTCTAGAGCTGAACCTTGTTTTTCAGACAACTAGTTAAGCACAATTAGATAAACAAACATACATACTACAGGAAAAGAAAAGAGTGAATCATGTCTTGGCACTATAAGGGGAAAAAGGGAATTAAATAATATATCACAACAATTAAAACCAAAATTGACCAGTAAAGTCTAACAGACACTGAGCCCATCACTGAACCAGACTTACATGATCCCACCAGCACTCTGAGAAGTTGGGCAGCTGGTGCTCTAGCGTGTACTCGAGAATCTCAAACATGACCGAGATAACCCAGCAGAGCCACCAGTCACGCAGCAGCAGTGTCTTCAACCACCAGCCAAAGAAATGCAGTGGCACAAATAGGTCTAATTTATCCTGAAAATTTGCCTTAATGAGAATTTAACTGAAATGAACACCTTATTAAGACAATTCAATATACTTGTGATACAAAGTCCTCATCAATGGACACAAATGCCATCACTACAAAAAAATATGGTCATGAGGAGAAATTTCTAAATGTTACTATGCATCAGTTTAAATGTGTCCAGACAGATATGTGCAAATGGACTTACTACACACATACATACATACATGGCACAAACAAAAAACCCTTCCACAAAATTGAGGTTTCTCACCATTCTGATACATAATGTACATGTATTATAATTAAATCATTTTCCATTTTCATAGGATGGGGAAGTTTCAACTAAGGAAAAACTAATAATATAATAAAAGAAGGATGTAGGGACAGTACTTAATTAATAATCATTCACACTACAGTCTATAACATCATGGTTAAATATGCACTAATACTTTCCATCACTTCACAGGAATACCCTGATTCTTAAATCCTGGGACCAGATTCACAAAGTAGTTATTCAAGTACTTACAAACGTGTACGTCTTTCCTCAATCTCTGTCGGGTTTGGTTACATTTATTAAACAGTTTACAAGTATGAAAACTTCCCAATCAACTGTTATTGTTATAAACAGCCTCCTGGTGCTTTGGAGCTCATTAACTGTTTAATAATTGTAAACAAAACCACCACAGATCGAGAAAAGACGGAGAGGTTCGCGAGTGTTTGCATAGCTGCTTTATGAATCTGGCCCCTGATGTACAGAGATTTTCATGAATGGTCATATGCAATACACTACAAATATATTCACTTCATCCTTACAAACTACTTCCATCCAGTCCTGCTAATTACCATATCCCATGTGCTGTTCACTTACACTCACCATATACTGTACACACGGTAATCAGAGGCAATATATTTGACTGGAGAAGTGTTACTAGTGGAGTACCACAGGATTCAGTTTTTGCACCAGTAATGTTTATTGTCTACATAAATAATCTACCAGAAGGAATACAGAATTACACGAACATGTTTGCGAATGATACTAAGATACTGGGGAAGATAAGAGATGCAGACGACTGTCATGCCCTTCAAAATTATCTAAATAAAATAAGTGCTTGGAGCGATAAGGGGCAAATGGAATTCAACGTGAATAAATGCCATGTTATGGAATGTGAAATCGGAGAAAAATAGACCACACACAATTTGCAAATTTTGTAGAAAGGAATTAAGGAACTAAAGAATAAAGAATGAGATCTAGCGGTGGTTTTGGACAGTAAACTGTCACCAGAGGAACACTTAAAGAATACTGCGAGAGGAGCAGTATATATGCGTTGCTTTCCAACTTCAGACTTGCTTTTAATTATATGGATGATGAAATACTAAAGAAACTGTTCAAGACTCTTGTGAGACCAAAATTGGAAAATGCAGCAGTTGTATGGTGCCCATATCTCACGAAGTGCATCAATAAACTGGAAAAGGTGCAATGGCATTCTACACAATGACTTCCAGAACTGAAAAACAAGAGTTACGACGAGAGGCTAGTGGCATTAAATATGCCAAAACGACAAGACAGACGAAAAAGAGGAAATATGATCATCGTTTACAAAAGATTAACAGGAATCAACCCTATTGGTAAAGAGGAATGCCTGAAACCAGCAACTTCAAGAACAAGAAGACAGATTTAAGCCAAGGAAACAAAGGTGCCAAAAAAATATTAGAAAGTTTTTTTTGCAAACAGAGTGGTAGACAGTTAGAACAAGTTAAGAGAGAAGGTGGTTGAGGCCAAAATCGTCAGTATTTCAAAACGTTATATGACAGAAATGGGAAACAGGACACCACGAGCATAGCTCTCATCCTGTAACTACACTTAGGTAATTACACACTCTTCCTGGGCTTCCAATCACTTGGACAGAACGGTTGAGCGATGGCCTCGCTTTCCACAGGTCATTGTTCAATCCCCAACTGTCCATGTGGTTCGGCACCATTCCTTTCATCCATTCTATCCTAAATCCTTATCTTCATACCCTTTCTAAGTGCTATATATTGACTTAGTGATTTTTCCTGATAATTATATCTTATTCTTCCTGGTCTTCCTCTCCTCTTACCCTCAAATACACTCTCCCATTCAACTTCTTAATTTCCAAACCATCTCAAAATATTCTTAATCTTGTGGGTTATTGATTTTTTCACTCCACATCTTGCCATCACATTTTACTCTGTCTACTCTCATAACACTATGTACCAATAAAATTCTCAGATTATTCATTTATATTGCTCTACTTCACAATTTCTTCATGCTCATACATCCCCATCATTCATATTTTACAAACACAATCTACTACTCTCTCTCCGCCACCATAACTTCATTTTTGTACACATTCACTTTTTACAGTCTTTTCACACACATCTATGAAATATTAAATCAACCTATACGAATCTGTCACTGCTAAAGGAACAATTATCTACATACTGTATATCAAACCTGACATACTCCAATAACTCATTACGACATCACACCTGATTTACGCCACTAACATCCTTACTCGACCTCCCAGACAACTCGATGCATGTGCGTATTGAATAACCAATGTGATATCTTCACAGCCTTGGTATACACCAATGTATTAATATAAATCACATAACACCATTAATGCCTACCCAAGTCCTATTTCTTACACTGAATTAATTTTTCACAGCATTTAACAAAACTCTGCCAACCTACATTTTCATTACACACACAAAATTTGATCTGTATTAACTTTGCCATACACTTTCTCAATCAAAAAATATTACAAGATAATATTTAAGGTGTTCCATAAAATAAATTAGTACTGTATACAGTTCTATTTTACTTGAGTAAAACCAGGTTCAGCAGACAATCAGATATCTAAAGGATTCAATTTAGTGAAATGCAATGAATTTCATGTCTGGAAAATGAGTAATGAGCACAGGGTGATGTAATGAGTACAATAAATGTAATGAGTACTGTAGTGTAATTGCCACAAATATATATGATGAGTTTCTGAGCAACATCTTTAAATTTATTGTTTGATTTCAGGCAGTTAGATAAGTTTAGTTCATTTATGATGCACCAAAAATTAATTACATTTATCTGTGTCTAGAAATTAAAGGATTAAAATCAGTGCTCTAACTTAATACTAATCATAGATACAGTACATAATGCAATCTATTTACCCATATGTTATGATATGGATCTTCTGGGTTGTCATCATCATATAATCGACAGTTTCCCCCATAATCCTTCTCCTCCATGGGCTTTCCAAGTTTGGGGTCTATGTGTTTTAATAGTTGCCGGGCACCAGATGCACTCTGCAAGGAGATTATAAAAATTAAATACACTATAATATTGTACGTGCATTCCCATAAACAAATAAAAAATACTAATTTAGGTAAGGTATTAGCAACCGATAACCGAAACAAAGAATTATCAGTAGAGGAGGTACACAAACGTAGTCTTTTGCAAATTTTACAATAATGTGTGTGCCTTGATACCCTGCATGCATCGTGATTGCTCAAATTCTTAGGATTTTACAGAAAAAAAAGCGTTACAAGGAAAACAATTTCATTAAAGTTAAATAATGTTTGGCATGAACATTGTAATGTTTAAATGTGGGTCCACTATTTTGGAAACTCCTCAATTGCAAATTTTTCTAGGCAATGGAACCACTTACATGATACAGACATGAATGAGAATGTGGATTCAGAGGAATGGCAGTGTGCCCTAATTAGATTTTGTCAGAATGAATGAAACACTTTCCCTAATTCACAAAAGAAAATATGCTAACAAAAATGGCCAATAAACAGGTTAATTACATTAGAATGATTCAAACTATTGCAATCAAAAACAGAATTAAATAAGCTAATGTACCTTAAATATGACCATATCACATCTCTTTATCAGTGACTGAACCTTGACATCACTGTGAACTTTATCTAGTCAGTCTTGTCTCATATTTTCTTTTATTTTTTATAAAAAAAGATTTTGAACAGAAATGGTTGCATAAAAAAATAATTAATATCCCACAATTTAAATTCATTAAAGCATCACCAAACCAACTAGTATGAAGAGCAGAGTTTTTGACATACTTGATATAGCATAAATATTAGGCCGAGTTCATAAACAATGGATATGATGAAGGTGAATCTCCATATGGCTGGGTGTGGCCGCTTGAATGGCCCATCTGGGGTCACAGTTACTCCTAAGAGGATAAAGGCAGACACACTTGCAACCAAACCTCTGGGGGAGGGGAAAATATGCATTTAAAATAAAATGTAAGATGTTAATTTTGCCCTAATATAGTCAGCCAATAATTCCCTCCTTATCATTATTCACTACAAATAACATACTGTACTTGTAATTAGTTTAAATTTCTTACATTGAATGCAAACATTATACAGCAACTACTGTTCAACAATAAGTGTGTTAACATTCTATGATAAATATTATAGGAATAAACAGCATTATTGCATTAGTGTAAAATGCAATAATGCCTAAAATAACCTAGTTTCCAACTTCTATGTCTATCCTCTTGTCAAATTCCCTTTCAGTTGGAAGACACAGGACAGTATTATCAACCTTGTCTATTCCACTTCTATAGATGTGTTCCATGGCAGTGCTGCAATTCCAGGATTGATCTAAGTAGGATGTGTAAATTGTCTTGAACCACCACCATTGAATATAAAGAAGCACCAATTTCTGGATGAGCCCCAGTGGGTCCCTGAAGCTACTGTCACTGATAGTGTACCATCTGCTAAGTTGCATCAGCTACAAAGTTCTATAAGCACCAGAACCCTCACAGAGGCACAGGGAGAGGTGACATTTATTTAGTTATATACACCACCACTGGAGAAGGCACCCAGAAAGTCAGCAAAACAAAACAAAACAACCACTGCTGGCTTCAAACGAGACTGCAGCCTTGAGAACAGCTAAAATAACTCCCCCAACAGTGTAAACAAATGATCGAAATCTCTTGAAATTATCACCAGCTCGTTCACCCCAAACATCCCCCACTCGTTTGGGGGAATGGTAGGGGTGTTCTCTATTATATATATATATATATATATATATATATATATACTCTCTATATATACTATAGAGTATAGTATATATATACACTATATTCTTTTATTTTGACCTCCAGCTAGAGTAGTGTACAAGTGAAGCTTCAATATAATTAATAATAGACTGCTAAGGTTGTTAGTGGTATGTTTCTGAGGATCACTTGGAGAAAATTTGTAACAGTTTAGTGATTGCAGCTCATAGCTTCTACGGCACCACTAGAGTAAATACTGTATTTTGATTTTATGTCAGCAAGACATTTCTTCCACTATATTAACTAAGACAGAAGGATAGCTTCTTAAAATTGTATATAAATGCTGTACTACAATACAGTATAAAATTAATATAAATTCTTAAAATCACATACAAATCTCTGCAATGACATGTGTATAGGTTATGCAGTGATAATATCTAGTGAATCTTGACTACCGAAACACTTTTCCTACTGACAGAGGAAAATGTTTCCGAGCTATTATGATAACATAACCTGAGCTATTAAGATAACATAACCTGAGCTATTATGATAACATACCTCTTCGTATTGTCAACCATGTCCTCATCAGGAGGAGTTAGGGCTTCATATAGCAAGAAGCATATCATGAACACCAGTGTTGTTAATGTGTGGGCTCGCCTAGAAACAGAAGATACATGTTTACAGTTACAGGGCACATTACTCCAACAATTATGTTATTTCTCAAGAGACAAGAAGGAAGGAGAGATGAACACACAGACGGAGTGAGCGAGTGAGTCAGAAAGACTTACATTGAGACTAGTTAACTGATAAAAGTTGTTTTGTATGTCCTTTAACAGTTTTACATATCTAAACAAAAATTATAAAAATGATGTACTAAAGGCCAAATTTGAATAATTAATTTCATTTAATTTTGAACTTCTTAAATTGATCATCAGTAATTTCTTCAACTTAGTTTACTCAGTGTTCTGTAATATCTTTGTATGATTTGTTATACATATTTATCTTCTATATCTTGGAAACCTTGTACAGTACCACATTGGAAGTTACCTTTCTTGAGGCGGTGACCTCATTGGAAATAACATTATGGGAAAAACATTTTCAAATGTTTAAAATACCTTCAAGTGAAAAATTTAAAGAACACTGGGAACATCTGCTACAGAATATTACATGCTAGTCATAATTCTATATATGAAAATTGTATTACAGTACTGTATATATATAATTGTGTTACGTATGTATTGTTATTGGCTTTATTTTCTTTATCACACTATCATAAAGAACAGTAAAGAAAAAATGACAAGAATAACTGAACTATGTACAGAATAATGTACAAGAAAAGTGTTAATACGTATCTACATTGCAACACCAACAGGGATGGAGGTGGCTGCAGGACAGGAAGTGTGTGCATGCGCATATGTTGGTCTTCCTGGGAAGGTAAGCTTTGTACTGTAGTAGTAATAGACGAGGATGAAGTAGTAGTCCATCATCTTCTGAATATGAGAGCCATACCCGTCTTCCCCGTGCTCTGTCATATGACGTGTTGAAACTACTGATGGTTTTGGCCTCCGCCACCTTCTCACTTAACTTGTTCCAACCGTCTATCACTTTGTTTGCAAAAGAAAACTTTCTAATAATTCTCCGGCACCTTTGTTTCCTTATCTTGAATCCATGACCTTTTGTTCTTGAAGTTGCAGATTTCAAGAATTCCTCTTTGGCAATTTTGCCAATTCCTGTTACTATTATGTATACAATGATCACTTCTTTTTATTCTTCTATCTTCTAGCTTTGATATATTTAACACTTCTAACTTCTCCTCTTAGCCCTTGTTTTTCCAGTTCTGAAAGTCACTTCTAAGCATACTTTTGCTCCTTTTCCAGTTTATTGATGTGCTTCTTAAGATGTAGGCACCATACAACTACTGCATATTCTAATTTTGGCCTCACAAAAGGCATGAACAGTTTCCTTGCAAATGTCCTTTATGCAGTCCTCCAATGACAGCTTACTATCCAGAACCAACCCTAGATCTCTTTGTCAAGAGTTCTTTAATGCCTTTCCACATAATTTGTAGGTTATGTGTGGCCTATTCTTCCCATTCCACATTCTATAACATGGAATTTATTCACATTGAATTCTATTTGCCAAGTGTTGCTTCATACACTTATTTTGTCCAGATCATCTTAAAGGGCATGATAATCATTCAAGTCTCTTTTATAGTAATTCATTATATAATTTATCTTACAATTTAACTTCCCTGATGGCTTACAATCAGCAGCATGTTCACATAGTGCTGCATTCCTACTGGTAGATCATTTCATTTATATAGAAGATGAACATTAATGGTGTTAGACGTGAATGCTGTGGTACTCCGCTAGTAATACTCCTCCAGTCTGGTATATTGCTTCTGATTACTGCCCTCATCTTTTTGTCAGAAAATTTTCCATTTGTCAGCAGGTTTTATGTCACCCCTATAGCATGTTCCAGCTTCCAGAACAACCACTTGTGTGATACTCTATCAAAAGCCAATTTTAGTTCCAGATAAACAGTCAACCAAACCATCCTTTCCTGTAGACTCTGTGGCTCTTTCATAAAAACTACAATAAGTAGATTTGTTACAGAGGATCTTCCTGTTCGAAAGCCATACTGTCATTGTATCTTTCTCTCTGGTTATTTACTAATTTGATTTTAACTATAACATGGAAATAATCCCAAAAGTGGAGATAGTGTTTGTGCAGTGACACTGTCTTCTTGGCTTTAAGTAAAATAGAGTCAAGGAGAAGACATGTTACTGTTTTCAGAGATGTTTGCATTGAAATCTTCCAATTTTAATACTGTAATAGTTTATCTTTAAAGACACAGGAGAGTAACTTTTTTCCATCTTAGCCACAGTTTAAGGCCTATCAGTTACACAAAAATAAAATTGTACTAAAAACAGAAGCACTGTATCTTCCACAGAATGAAAAAAAGACACCAATATGCAGACAATGAGTCACAATAATGTGGCTGCAAATATGATATCCAAACTACACATCAGAAAATGAAGAAACAATGATAATGTTTTGGTTCATCCTGGACCATAATGGTTCAAGATGGATCAAAATGTAATTTTTTCATTTTTTATGTATGGTCTTTATATCATGACACCAACATGCTTAATTATGGCTAGTACTGCAGAGCAGCAGAGACATAAAAATCAAATCAATCACTAGCTAAAGGTTAAATTAGTTAACAAATGCTGCAACTACAGGATGTGCTCACCAGAAGTATGTCATAGTACCATCATCGAAGAAGTCAGTCTCTGTTGTTTTCTCTGCTTCCCAGTCATGCACTGGGCCACTTGTGACTGGGGAGTGCTCTGGACCAGATAAATCATTGGAGGAGACATCACGAGAGAAATCTTCATCACCAATATCTCCATCTAGATCCTTCATCCCTTCTTTCCTCTTCATATTTCTGTTGTAGAGAAGATTTATTCTGAATAATCTTATTTTCAAATACAGAAACCTCTAAACTAATTTTAAATTTCATCAAATACCACTTTCCCTTAAAATTTAGCATGATTATACCAGTCAGCCTTTGAAATTCATAAAATATTTTGGGGTTTAGGTTAATGTGGCACTTTGAAACATTTCACCCCTACCTACATTTACATTAAGAGAGTATGTTGCATTACAAAATGTGCAACTTACTGTACACTAATAATGCATAATGACCAAATTGTCTCCTTTAATTTCCTTTGCTCCAGACCCATCATTTTCACCTTAAATTCTCATTAATTTTTGTAACAAATATTATTGCTTTAAATTGTAGTAAACTCTATGGAAAAGTTGCCATGCAGTTTACTACTGTTTACTGCAGTAAACTACATGGCAGTTTATCAGTTTACTGTAGTAAACTGATACAGCTTTATCAGTTTACTACCTGATAAAGTAAAACTATCACCCATAGCATGGACAAAAATTAAAAGGATTATGAGGAACTTGTCACATATACAGTATTAGCCTTACACGTGCAGATATGAAAGATACTATACCTAAAAGGAAACAATAATTATAGTAGCTTGAATTTGTTTAGTATGTTTGGTCAGAGAAAACTGTCAGATTTGTAAAGCTGATTATGCAGTTTAAAGGTGTAGATTGGACTAAGCAAACTTAAAAACACATGATCAACGTTTAGGTTAATTTTTTATCTTAGCGACTTGTGTGAAATACCGCACTTTGTTCCGGAGCTGTTAAAAGATGATACAATATCTTTAAAGGTTCTTTTTATATTGTACAACAGGTATGCAATTTTCATAATCACATTAAACTACCAGATAATAGATGGCTGTTATATTTGCAATTTGCCAGCCTACTGCTATCTGAGTTTTGCTGAAAAGAGGAGCTTGGCATCTTCTGATTAGTTTAGTACTGTACCTTTATCTCTTACCCACTGAGAGCAAGTGCCATTTCACACTAACTTACCTCCTCAACGAGTCAGGAAACGCATAGGGATCAGAGCTTGTCTGACTTCTAAGGTGAACCACATGCTATGGATAGTCACAAAACACTCAAATTCAGGCTCGACTTGGGATAAATTGAACTATATGAACTATATGGACTAAGTTGAGTTCATGTAGAACTCAAATTTCACCACCACCTATCAACACAGTAACCCGAATGTCACCAGGTAGCTGGCCAACAAGACAGCTTCTGCCACGACCAGAAATCAGCAGGAAAGTGGCCGTCTCCCCACCTGGACCCAAGTTCACAAGTAGAGGGGTCATGCTTATTATGTTTCACGAACGTGTGTACTGATTACCTTAAGTGTTCTCTGCTACTTCAGTTTAATATTTTTGGCATCCTTTCAGGAGTCTCATTCCCTGATGCTGCTAGTGAAGACCAGTAAGCTCAAATATTTAAACTTCTCTGAGTTTTTAGCCAGACTCCATTCGAGTGTTACCCTGTCCCGGGTAATTTTTCGAGTCTGGGTTGCTAAAGCAGTGCCTGTTGAGGGAAGGTGAAATAGTAGTGTTTATGCATGCTTACACATGCAGGTGCAGTTTCTCCACTGCTTTTTTGGGGTGAGGACTGGTGCCATTTGCTGGGGGTCTATTAATAATAATAAATAATAATAATAATACTGTACTGTATTTATATAAAAAATTTGTTTATAAGTAAATTTGATACATGATACAGTTCAGAATTCAGAGGTACAAAATATACATTACATAAACCAACTAATACAGAGTGCATTTCAGGCAAAGTAAATATAATTAGGAGAGTTATTTAACAGTTTAATGAGGCAAAACTTGAAAGAAAAACTGTTATAAAGTCTTTATTTGTCACTTTGCTACAGTTTATAATGTACTAAAAATTCCCCCTTAGCCAAGAGGAGGTCAAGATCTTAAGCTTGACCTCTACCCAAGGTCAGGGGCCCAGTGTTCCAACCTGGCCTGTCTTGCAAAAGACCTGGTGTTCAAGCCTAACATGCTCTGCCCCAGCCTGAAGTCAAATTCAGTTTGCTCAGTTCCTAGTCTGACCTGCACTGCCAGAGGTCAAGGTCAGGGCCTCGGCCTGACCTGCAGTGCCAGAGGTCAAGTTCAGGGCCTCGGCCTGACCTGCAGTGCCAGAGGTCAGGTTCGGGGCCTCGGCCTGATCTGCACTGCCAGAGGTCAAGTTCGGGGCCTCGGCCTGACCTGCACTGTCAGAGGTCAAGTTCGGGGCCTCGGCCTGACCTGCACTGCCAGAGGTCAAGTTCGGGGCCTCGGCCTGACCTGCACTACCAGAGGTCAAGTTCAGGGGCCCCAGCCTAAGGTCACGACCCAAAAAGAGAATGTTCGCAGACCAAAAACATGACCCGGCTCACCTGATATTTGACATTTAACCTGGACGTGGAGACAAGGAGGGCAGAGATGTAGCGGGGACGATATGGTGCGAGAAAGTGTGGGAATGTTGAGAGAGAGAGCGAGAGAGACAGTAGTGTGGAGGGAGGCGGCGACCACTCCACCTCCACCACCATGTAAATACAGACACTAAGTCACTTGATCCACAAGACGGATCACGCACATTTCAGACTCACAATTTTTATGTTTCTTATATATATATATATATATATTTTATGTTGGTCAATATTACAAACCATAATAAAATGCTGTTTATTTTTCAGTTTCTTATACTAAACTGGAAAATAGTTATTAAATGAAGGTCAGTGATGTGAGGGACATAATCCGGACGTACTTGACAAGAACGACGACGGCCGGTGTAAACACTACACATCGGAAGGCCCACGAACATGATCCAACGCACAAAACACTAGACTATGGTCAGATTTTGGATAAAAATCCTATGTGATAGTTATATTTTCATATAATAATATGTATTAAAAGTAAATGCCTAACATGTAATATTAATAAATAAAACAAAGTCAGAAGCCACACGTCTGTCTCCACATGTCTTTTATGCTAAAGTATTCTTGGCACTCTTGTACTTGTTCGCTAGCTGACGTTCACGACTGATCTCGCCTTCAAGGACTATATTTTATTTATTTATTTATTTATTTATTTATTCATATATATACAAGAAGGTACATTGGGTTTATGAGCGTACATAGCATTGATATTTTTACATTCTTGTAACGCCACTAGCACGCATAGCGTTTCGGGCAGGTTTAGTCAATCATAATGATAATAATGCTTATTTATTTAAGGGAATAAATTTCTGGCCCACTCATGAATAAGATGAGAATTTCTGGACCTCAAGAATAATCGAAACATTATAATAATATTTTTTTTTAGTTGCAATAAAAATATAAACTACAAATAAACAACATTTCACTCAAAGATCCTTAGATATTAATGACTATAATCCGAAAATATATGCAAATTATATGAAAATGCATGACCATGAAGGAAAAATAAAAGAAGAAATTTCTTAAACACTTCCTTGTTCTATATCATGAATATATCATGATATACGTCTTATAGAGTGTTGATTAACACGAAATTGCTTAAGTAATTTACTGTTACATTTTTTCTTTTTGGTTATAAATTATCTAAATTTTCATGTTATTCATAAGCACACACACACACACATATATATTACTTATATATTAGGAGTCTGCTAGCTGAGTGGACAGCACGAAGGACTCGTAATTCTGTGGCCCGGGTTCGATTCCCGGACCAGGCAGAAACAAATGAGCAAAGTTTCTTTCACCCTGAATGCCCGTGTTATCTAGCAGTAAATAGGTACCTGGGAGTTAGACAGCTGTTACGGAGCTGCTTCCTAGGGGTGTGTGAGAAAAAAAATATAGTAGTTAGTAACAGTTGATTGACAGTTGAGAGGCGGGCCGAAAGAGAAAAGCTCAACCCCAGCACAAATAGCCTCGGCTATCACTGCCTTTTGTACGGTCACTGATGGTCGAGTGGTTTAAGGCACCGTGTACGCCAGTTGAAATGTGCTCCTGGTGGTTCTATATTAAGTTGGATTAAGGCATGGCTATACCAAAGGAAACAAACAGTGTAAATCGGGGTTAAGTCAAAGTGGGAAAATGTTGTAAGTAGAGTGCCTCAAGGCTCTGTTCTGGGACCTCTGTAATTCATAATATATATAAATGATTTAGATTCAGGTTTGAGCAGCAATATTTGCACATTTGCCGACGATACGAAAATCGGGAGGGAAATAAACACGGAAGAAGACTCACTATCACTTCAAGTTTAAATGTTCAAAATAAGGCAAGTAGGACACTGGGATTTATTTCTTCTGTACAGGTAACAGTACATTACCATTTAGTACAATTAATTCATTTACAATGCCACCTATTGTAAGCCTTATAATTTGCCTATTATCTACTTCAGTTATGCTAATTATTGTAAGCTTTATAATTTACTTATAATCCACTTTTAATTATATTACTTATAAAATGTAAATAATGTATTATTCGCCACTCAAAAGTGATGAAACAGAGAACCATAACCCACCGACTGAACGCTCCGGACGACGTAAATGAGGAGGCGGAGCTTAGCAAATACCTCCCTGTGATTAGCTGTTGCAGGGAATGGCAACACTTTTTATGAATGAAATGCAAACTAACAAATACGTCGTTATTAACGTATTTTTTTGCAACAACCTCTTTGGCTTGTACCTGACAGAAATTTCCATCGAACAGAATAATTTAATAACATGTAAGAGGGCGGGCATCGTATCATCGATATTATTTGTTGAAGGCAACCCCTCTATGACGACGTCATAAGTTAGGTAGCCAGGTCATTTTTCTGTAACACCTGTTATATCCTGCAATATTTAATTATCACTTTTAAATAATTAACACTTCACTTTTCAGGTAGATTAAAGTTGAAGCAGAATGTTATGAGCAAGGCTGGTGTGCTGAATAAAGATGATTTATAAAATGGATGGAGCCTTTAGCTGATCCCTTCCTGTGATTGGGTGTTGTGGTGAATGTCATCAAAGAATTTCTACCAATGACATGGAGCCTCGGGAATTCTTACTTTAACACAACTTCTTATTGGCTGCTGTTTGGCTATTGATAGTGCAATGTCGGGCTAACAGATGGCGCCAGCTGTATTTTCCATGGGGGTTTCTTGATAGTGTAATTTGATGTCAACAGATGGCATAAGCTGTTACTTATTGATACTATTGACTGGCCGGGGAGGATTTACTAGGCGCAAATCCTTAACTATAACTCAGCAGTAAAATGGGTACTTGGTTGTGAAAACGATTCTTCGCAGGGGTCGTATTCCAGGGAACATAGGATTTTAGTCAGAAATTTTAGCCAAATATCCCCAGTTTGCTAACTGTAGGTAGTAACTAAGTGATTGTAACCTATCCACCGCTGCCCACTGGATGGGGGGCGGTGTGCAGGACAAATATATCAATTGACACTAGCTCTCTACATATGTCAGTTGCTTAATTTAGAAATTGTACTTGTGGTCGATCTCGAATCCATTTATGATGTGACGACTTATACTGAATTTTGTAACTAACTCATCAAGATTGTAATTTGCTTAGCTAAATGAATTGTGGGGTTCAGTCCCTGAGCCCATTATGTGCCTCTGTAACCCTTTCCACTACCGCCCACGGGATGGGTATGGGGTGCATAATAAATGAACTAAACTAACTAAGCTTCGGGATTTGTAGATCAGTGTTTAACCATTGTGATCATTGCTGTCTTCTTGTATGTGCCACCAATATGCTGTATTGTGCCTATTAATCTTTGTTAAATTACCAATCAAGCTGTCACTGCAATCAATCAGTTGTGAATCATTTATTAATTTATGTTTTTCAAGATGAAGACGAATGGTATTTGCAATTATCGATTCAAGTAACTTTCCCACAATAGACGTTAAGCAAATTGGCCGATAGTTTGACGCAAGTGATCTATCTCCCTTCTTGAAAATTGGAACCATTTAATATAAAGATGTTAAGGCACGAAAACCTTTTTATTCATTAAATTGTATAAAGACAAATTAAAAGAGCCTGACTTAGATATTATTTGAAGACATGCGCTAATTATATGATCATGTGCTATCTATTTATTCATATTCTTAACTATTATCAAATTCTATGTCCTCGGTTTTGATCATTTTATTGACTTAGAAGACGATAACAGCAGTGCACATAAGCCAGCATATATGAATTATGATAAATATATAATAATATAAACATACATATATATATAAAGTTCTCACCTATGATGTGCTGCCCGAAATTTTAGCGAAGTATCCAAAATTTGCTTACTGTAGGTAATGCATGCACATGACTAAAGCTGCCGCCCAGTTGGGTGGGTGTGCAGCAAGACTAGTAACTGTGTGACTCACTATAGATGTAAAGTGCCTTGTATAGTGACTGTTGTGAGCCTCTTGTAATGTCACAAGTGACACCTCTTTGTGTCACTTGTGACGCAAAGATTATTGATGTGTGTATTTGTGTGGGTGATTAGATATGTATGTGTATGTATATGTGTATACGTATATATATATATATATATATATATATATATATATATATATATATATATATATATATATATATATATATATATATATATATATATATATATATGCATATCACGAAAATAAACACGTGATTAAGAATGTGACAATGTCAGACCACGGAGGAAAATGAAACAGGAAATTTCCTTAAGTACTTTCGTATATTAAATACATCTTCATTCCTTCATCCTTGGATTCCTTCTGAAGATGTATTTAATATACGAAAGTACTTAAAGAAATTTCCTGTTTCATATATTCCTCCGTGGTCTGACATTGTCATATATATATATATATATATATATATATATATATATATATATATATATATATATATATATATGTCGTACCTAATAGCCAGAACGCACTTCTCAGCCTACTATTCAAGGCCAGATTTGCCTTATAAGCCAAGTTTTCATGAATTAATGTTTTTTCGTCTACCTAACCTACCTAACCTAACCTAACCTAGCTTTTTTTGGCTACCTAACCTAACCTTACCTATAAATATAGGTTAGGTTAGGTTAGGTAGGGTTGGTTAGGTTCGGTCATATATCTACGTTAATTTTAACTCCAATAAAAAAAAATTGACCTCATACATAGAGAAAAGGGTTGCTTTATCATTTCATAAGAAAAAAATTATAGTAAATATATTAATTCAGGAAAACTTGGCTTATTAGGCAAATCGGGCCTTGAATAGTAGGCTGAGAAGTGAGTTCTGGCTACTAGGTACGATATATATATATATATATATATATATATATATATATATATATATATATATATATATATATATATATGTACACGTATGTATGAGGGTGTGTACATGTGTATACAACATTGATAATTTTGTAACTAGCGTCAAACATTGTTATTTGCTTAGCTAAACGAACTAGAGGGTTCAGTTCCTGAACCGATTATGTGTCTCTGTAATCCTTTACACCCCCGCCCATGGGATGGGTATGGGGTGTATAATAAAGAAAGAAATTGAATTGGCACAGGACAATTTCTTTCTTTATTATGCGCCCCATACCCATCCCATGGGCGGTGGTGTAAAGGATTACAGAGGCACATAATCGGTTCAGGAACTGAACCCTCTAGTTCGTTTAGCTAAGCAAATGACAATGTTTGACGCTAGTTACAAAATTATCAATGTTATATACACATGTACACACCCTCATACATACATGTACATATATATATACGTATACACATATACATACACATACATATCTAATCACCCACAGAATTACACACATCAATAATCTTTGTGTCACAAGTGACACAAAGAGGTGTCAGAAGTGACATTACAAGAGGCTCACAACAGTCACTATACGAGGCACTTTACATCTATAGTGAGTCACACAGTTACTAGTCTTGCTGCACACCCACCCAACTGGGCGGCAGCTTTACAGTCATGTGCATGCATTACCTACAGTAAGCAAATTTTGGATACTTCTCTAAAATTTCGGGCAGCACATCATTATGAATGAAGTACTTACACATTTCTTGGACACTATTGATGGTGTTATCTCTAATTTCCGCGATTTTTTCACATTCCATTATATAATGACGCAAAGTGTGCGAATAGTTCTGCTGACAGAGTTTACATTTAGTCAAATCTACATCAGCAGATGTTACAAACTCCCAGAGGTACTTGTAGCCGAGCCTAAGCCTAGCAGTGGTAACATCTAGAAGTCTGCTAACATTATTGGATGACCCATAGACGTGCGGTTCTTCATGCATAATAGAATGATGATAGATGGAGTAACTGGTGTGAATTTCACTTTGCCTCAAGTCTCCGAAATTTATAAAATAAAATATTGTAGCATTGTAGATTATTGTAGCTCGATGGCATTGTAGCGAGTAGATTATCCCAATAATATACTCGCTCCAAATGCATTGTTAACCCATTTGTTGACCTTCCCAACCATGTTAAAGACTGTACCTCTCTCAACCAGTTTAAGTTAAAAACGAAGCTATACCTAATAAATTCCCTGTAACCTACCTTACCCTTCTATTGTCAACCAATGTCTGTTTTTTTTAAAGAGCGCTGTTTGTCGACATTATTGTATTTGTGCTGCTTTTTCATCTATGTTTTCATTTCTTGTTTTCATTCTACTCATTATGCTCAATTAGTATTAAGCTTGTCATTTAAGTTTATCATGCCCGAAACGCTTTGCGTAATAGTGGCTTTAGGCATTGTATGTACTAGCTCTACCTATAAGTCAACCAATCTTTGTAAAAAATTATTGTATGTATGTACCTTACCTAAATAAACATTTTATTTATTTTATTTTTTATTTTATACATTCTGAGCACATTGGCAGTTACGGTAATCCATTTGGAGGGATGCTGATCTTCAAGGAAGAAGGCTTGGAGGGCTTCAGTGCAGGGGTTAGGGTGGGTTAGCCTAAGCATCTTGATACCAATTAAAGCATTAATTTCAGTGATACGATCACTTACACATGAAATATTCAGTTCCTTCCTCATGTTTAGTAATTTAGTTGTACGGGGGCATCCGAGGATAATCCTCATGGGTTCGTTTTGCCTCTTTTCCAGCCCTCCAAGCATTCTCTCAGGCACTAGAGCAAGCATGGGTGCAGCATAATCAGATAATAGGAATAATAGGAATTATCAGAGACCTAATATATGAGAGATACATCATGGTACAGGAGCGCGGCTGTAACTGGCGAACAGACTTTATACGAAACGGTTATGTACGAATCGATCAGTCCCGTTAAGGATGCGTCCGAGTCCTCAAAAGCCCCTTCCTTCCTCACTACCCTATTATCATCTCACTTAATCTCATGTAAAAAATATCACTCAAATTTAATCTCATTCAAAATATTGCTTGAGCCACACATGCCAATGCAGCACGAGTCAGTATGCATTTATCATATTCATGTTAAAAAAATTTAACATCGTAATGTGGCGTTTATCAGAAAAGATTTAAGCGCATTTTTAAAGTACATTTTAAATACATTTTAAATGTGAGTAATCATAATGATACTTGGAATTTTTTTATTATTTGAAAAGGAACCAAGCGATCAGTGAGGAGGAAGCAAAACAATCGGATGGGGAGAAGCTCTTCCCTAATAAATGACGTTTTCGTAGCGAAAGAATCACTTGTTCTTTAATTGTAAGCCGTTATACTACAATTATTCACTATGATTAAGTTGTTTTCTATGAAAAATCAGAAAAAGGATGGCAGCGATGTTCCCAAACAAGGGACACAGAAGCGAGCCTCAGCGGCCCAGCTAAGAATCACGAAAGGTGGGTAACCAGCTGAATTATTTTAATTATTAATTAATTACCTACAGAATGTTACAGCTTTTGTGTCGGCTGCTACTGTCATATTAAGGTAATGAATTTGTTCATTTAGTGACATGACGCGTGTTAGCGTGTGCAGATGACCACGGGTTGTGGCACCATGACTAGCCAAAGATTTTTGGGGACGGGGGGGGGGGAGTCGACCCCCATAGGGTCAATTTTATCGCACAACTGAACGCTGTAAGTGTTCATTGAAGTGTTGCATGTGCTGTACCAGTCAGTCCGGGTGTAGTCTTGTGAAGATAAGACACTTGTAGTGCTGCATAACCTATATGACCTTGTAACACTAGTCTACACTTCCACCTCTCTACTGAGGGATAAGGGTTCAATCTCTGGGCAGGAAAGGAACGGTTGGGCATGTTTATTTTTAACCGATAACTTTGTTCACCTAGCAGTAAGATAGGTAACTGGGCAAATCCACAAGGGCCGTGACAAGGATTTTTATTTCATTACAACTGTGTAGGTAACTGGGAGTTAGGCAATTACTGCGGGTTGCATCCTGGGGAAGGCCCATAGTTGACCTAGGTGGACCTGGATAAGCCTAAGTACAGGCTTCCTCTCCCCAGAAATGGGAATTTAGTAGGGCAATGTGCATACCTCCTAGAAGAATTCCTCATCTGAGGGAAACTAAATTTATGATCTTAGAAATATCCTTTATTCTGAATTGATCTTTTGGTTAACACTTTAACATTCCAACCCGTAGGTTTGTACCCAACCGTAAATGTGCTGGTCATCTTAAGGTCCTGCTCAGCAACACCTAAAATGTTCATAATCTTTTTTCTTCAGGTTTTCTCAGCTTTACATTACAACTATAAATGAGATGTTAAAGTATTTGCGAATGAATTTGCTAAAGTTTTGATGAAAAAAAGTGTTTTGATAATAGGTTGTGGGTGACAGGGCTGAATATATAACTGGTTATGAATATATCACATTCCTAATATTTTTCAAAATCCCTCAACTGTTTTTAAACATAAATATAAATAAAATATATGGAACTGTGCACACTTGATCAATCTATATCACAGTAAAATGCAAACAAACATAACTTTCATGCTTCTCCGGAAAGTAATTTACAGAGCGTAATGAAAATATTCACAGAGTCATTATCATCTTGAGTGATGGGTCATCTTGGCCAAGATGATCTTTGGATAGTAGCCTGATACTTTAGTTGGCCTCCAGATAAATCTATGTCCACACTGCTCAAAAAAGTTTAGTGCTCTGCACACTAATTTATACCAAAACAAAAGATGCAGACCTAGGAAACAGGGCCAGTTCAACAGAAATTGTGAGAGGGCTAGAGATCAAGAGACACAAGCATGGGATCATTATAGGAAGAGGCCAAACCCCCAAACATACCAGCGATACAAAGATGCGAGAAATAACTACACGACAGTAAGGAGAGAGGCAGAAAGGAACTTTGAGAACGGTATAGCAGACAAATGTAAATCAGATCCAGGCCTTTTCTATAAATTCATTAACAGCAAGCTGCAGGTAAAGGATAATATTTAGAGATTGAAAATGGGAGATAATCATGAAAAGTGAAAAGGAAATGTGTGAACATTAAACAAAAAGTTCCAAAGTTAGTTTGTACAAAATGAAATCTTCAAAGAACCAGACAAAATAAGAATTACAGAGAACAACAAAGAGTACATAGAGGTGTTTAGAGACGAAGTGATAAAAATGCTCTTGGAGCTAAGTAAGAACAAAGCAGTTGGCCCAGATAGAGTTTCACCATGGGTTCTGAGAGAATGTGCACCTGAGCTCAGCATTCCACTTCAGCTGATTTTTCAGGAATCCCTGTGTACAGGAGTTATTGCAGATGTGTGGAAAAAGGCTAACAGTTCCAATATACAAAAGTGGCAGCAGGGAAGACCCCCCTCAATACTAGACCTGTATCATTGACAAGTGTAGTAGTCAGAATATTGGAAAAAATAATTAAATGGGAGGAACACCTGGAGAGAAACAATATATTATCACACAGACAGTATGGTTTTCAATCTGGAAGATCCTATGTATTGAATTTACTCAGTTTCTATGATTAAGCCACAGAGATTTTACAGTAAAGAGATGGTTGGGTTGACTACATCTGGATTTAAAAAAAAGCGTTCGACAGAGTTCCAAATAAGAGGTTGTTCTGGAAACTGAAACATATTGGAGGGGGTGACAGGTAAGCTTCTAACATGGATGAAAAATATTCTAACCGATAGAAAAATGAGGGCAGTAATCAGAGGTAATTTATCAGACTGGGGAAATGTCACAAGTGGAGTACCACAGGGGTTCACTTCTTGCACCAGTGATGTTCATTGTCTACATAAATGATCTGCCAGATGGAATACAGAATTACATTAACCTGTTTTCTGATGATGCTAAGATAATAGGAAGGATAAGAAACTTAGATGATTGTAATGCCCTTCAAGATAACCTGGACAAAATAAGTATATGGAGCACCACGTGGCAAATGGAATTTAATGTGCATAAAGGCCATGTTATGGAATGTGGAATAGAAGAACATAGACCCCACACAACCTATAAATTATGTGGGAAATCTTTAAAGACTTTTGATAAAGAAAGAGATCTAGGGGTGGTTCTAGATAGAAAACTATCAACCGAGGACCACATAAAGAACGTTATGCTAGGAGCTTATGCTACTCTTTCTAACTTCAGAATTGCTTTTAAATACATGGATGGCGAAATACAAAAGAAATTGTTCACGACTTTTGTTAGGCCAAAGTTAGAATATGCAGCGGTTGTGTGGTGCCCATATCTTAAGAAGCACATCAACAAACTGGAAGAGGTGCAAAGACATGCCACTAAGTGGCTCCCAGAACTGAAGGACAAGAGCTACGAGGAGAGGTTAGAGGCGTTAAATATGCCAAAACTAGAAGATCGAAGAAAAAGAGGCGATATGATCACTTCGTACAAAATGGTAACAGGACTCGATAAAATTGATAAGGAAGAATTCCTGAGATCTGAACTTCAAGAACTAGAGGACACAAACTCAAGCTAAGGAAACATATGTGCTGCAAAAACATTAGAAGATATTCTTTTGCAAATACAGTGGTAGACGGTTGGAACAAGCTAAATGAGGTGGTGGTGGAGGCCAAAACCGTCAGTAGTTTCAAAGCATTATATGACAGTGCTGGGAATACGGGACACCACGAGCATAGCTCTCATCCTGTAATAACACTTAGGTAATTACACCTCTTAAGTGCCCTAATATACACCAGACATGGGATAAGAAAACACAAGTTACTGATTAACACACACACACACACATACATTCTATAACTGTACAAACGTAAGGAGGGAGTGAGAGAGAGCCTGGTCTCATGATTACCTGCTTGTTGTCTCCCCTCTTGTTGGTTACCTCCCTCTTGCTCCTCTGCCATTTTCCCTGATCTTCGCTGTGTTGTAGGGGGGTACTGAAGTCACTACAATACAAACTAATAATTTTTGTTAAATGACTTTCAGTAATTTCAAGACTGATGTCACATTTTATGTCAAAATATTTACATTATACTTTGGAAACACAAATTACATGTTTTAGCATCATTGGACCATTTCAGTGATGATGTGCTAGCTTCTTTTCTGTTCCCCATTCCATGAGCAGAGTTTGTTTTTAGTGTAAAGGAAAATGTAGGTTTTAACAGTGGTGACCTCTTAATTTTCTTGATTGATTGTCCTGTACACTTTGGTTTTAGTTTTTCTTAAGGATTTAATGATTTACCTCACTATTTTTCCAGTTATTTCTTTTGTATGCATTTGAAACATGCCTTAATAACAAATAATAATGATTTTGATAAAAAACATGTGTAAATTTTTAAGGATTTATTTTAAGCTTTAATGATAATTATAGGATGAATGTGTTGTATAAAATAGGTAGAGCTATGCAATTCTGTAATTAATATTTTCTGAGTGCCATCTCTGGGGTAAATGAAACGCTTATGCATTGCATCTGAAGCAAAAACTAACATACAATGAAATGGATACATTTTTCAGATACAGTACTGTACAACTTATAAATAACAGCTCAGACTGTCACTATTTTCATAGCTAAATATTCATTATATTTTCAGATATCAATGAGCTGACATTGCCTAAAACTTGTGACACAGAATTCCCAGATCCTGATGATCTTCTCAACTTCAAATTAATCATATGTCCAGATGAGGTAAGGCATTGTAAAAAGTCTGCCACTGGAGATGTGTTAGCCTTTTAATTATATCTTAATGCAGGGGGTAATATTAATTATAATGATATGAAAATAATGTTGTAGTTGGAGTAAGTCTAGATTATTTATCAGAAAGTTGATTGGGTCATCTTCATGTCATTGAGGTTTGAACATTAAAACTACATGCCAATCCTAGGTTTGGTGTACGAATATTTGGTTTACGATCCATTTCTTGGAACGGATTAAATTCGTACACTGAGCTTCCACAGTACAGTAGTTATAAAAAATTATTTCCAGGTGATCAGGGATGACTGTACAGATTTATTGAGGTTATCTATTAGTCCCCTTACAATGCCCAGCCTTTTAAGATGCATCCATGAGGTATAGCCAATAATCTTAAGAAGTTCTCAGGAGTGAGGCATCTTTCCAATGCAATAACAATTTCAGGCCAATGAGTATTTACAAAAATGTGAGTGAGCTCACCAAGGAACTAATGAATTCCCCATTGTAGGTACACATATACACAGATTGGCTCCTCATGTTTGCATGTAATTTGATAGGTAGGTGTACAGTGTATAATAGCTGGCCTTTTTACTGGGAGACAATTGGTAGATAGGCTTGTTTTCCTGGGAAAAGTAGAAAATTAACATTAATAGAAATGGTACCCATGAAAAAAATGCTGGCAAAAATCATAATTGTGTCATGAATCTAAGATTGGTGCCAGATCAGAACAAACCAGGCATGTAAAATGCTTTCATTTATGCTTAGCAATGCTGGTGGGTTAAAATTTGTATTGTTCAATTCTATATTGTCTGAAGGAATGTGTTTACACGTTAAATCAGGGGTCTTTTGAACCAATAGTACAATACTGTATTTCATAGCACTTTTAACCCAATGTAGAGCATGTTATGCATCTTCGTTATCTCATGTCCCACTTTCGTGTGGTGGGGAGGCACATTCATAGAGATGGTGAAAATGTATTGTAGGAAAAGTGAGCTAGAAACATCAAAGTTATATTCACTAACATTATTCACAGCTTTAAAATTTTATTATATTAAATTTTATTCAGCTTGTATTATAAAGAGATCTGTTGGAAAGACTTTATGGGCTGATATCAAGTCTAACAATTATAAATTTGAACATCAACAGGGCTTCTACCGGGGAGGGCGCTTTGTCTTCAGCTTCAAAGTTGGCCCAAACTATCCACATGAACCACCCAAAGTTAAATGTGAAACAATGGTATGTAGTGTTCATAATATTTTCAGTTTTGTGCTATATATTGTACTTTATATTGATTTATTGTTTGGGTGTAACTATTAAAAATGTTATATCTATAATTTTGGATGATAGTAAAATGTTCTTAATATACAATCGTCATTTAGTTCATAAACATAAGAGTAATATCCTTCTTAACACTTTGAGCTGCACGGTGTGTGCTGCCCAACCCCAAGGTGGGCCTGGCGTTTCCCGTCAGCGCGCACCCACACTTAAATTTGTATACTCTCTTCAGTTTTCTCACGTCAATTTTCGTGTTACATCGTTCATTTTGGTATCAAATTGATTGTTCCTAATAGAATTCTCTAAAGGGATACATGCAAATAAGGTAAAAAAGCCCAGTATGCCACCCGCAGCAAACTCGGAAATCAGCCAAGCATTACCCGTGAGCGAGCTCCCATCCTCACACCCACAACACTTACACTAAAATGTGTATACTCTTTTCAGTTTTCTCACATCAATTTTCGTGTTACGTTGTTCATTATCAAATTGTTCACAATAAAATTCACTAAAGGTATTTATGCATATAAGGTAAAACAAACAGGCGTGCTACCCACAGCAAACCAGAAAATCCGGCTAGCGTTATCTGTGAGTGAGCACCCATTTGCACACCCGCACTTAAATGTGTGTACTCTCTTCAGTTTGATCACCTCAGTTTCTGTGTTACGTCGTTCATTTTGGGTATCAAATTGTTCACAATAGAATACTCTAAAGGGATATATGCATATAAGGGCAAATGGACGAACAACATTACCAATACCATAAGATAAAGAATATTGCCATGTGAAAAGCCAGCTTTTTGTCATTATTTTACATTGGTTTTCATTCCCGGCATTTTTGTGACACAATATCATTCGTTTTTGTGTTGCTTCCTTCACATAAGTGTTTATACTACAATATCATTGTATAATAAATGAAAAAATATGTCTGTACTCTCCACCCAGCGATGTTTGTAGAGTATGAGTTGAGCATTAGGTTGAACCACTCCACTTGCTCCAGGAAAAGGTTTCTTGAAGTTTCTCAACCCATGTTGAGTGGATGGGGTAAGTATTACTGCTTATCCAGTGGATATGTCCTTTTGCGATGGTACAAGCCAAAGCATGGTGCAGCACACAGTGCCACACCACACAACTTGCACTTATACCTGGTGTCCTTCCTTTTACCAGACTTGTAGCAGACACGACACTACAGACCTTTCTTGATGCAAATTAGGGAATTGTTCAAGTTCCTGTTTAGATGTTCTGGTTTATCCACAATACCAAGGTTTCTCCTAGCAGCAGCACCACAAGGAATAGTCTGACCCTCATCTTCTGAGTCAGTTGAGGAATTTTCATCTCAAGGCGAAGAAGGGAGTAGTGGCCATCTCACACCTGATGGTCCGGGTGTTGCAAACATTGTCGCCAGTAGATCTGCTCTCATTGTCATGCACATCACCAGCATATATGATGATGTCATTTTGGAGAGGCCAATTCTTATACTCAAACTTCAGTAGTGACCAAATGATTACTTCATTTAACTGGAGCAATGAGTTTCTTTGTATCAGTTATGTAGTACTTGTATAACACAAACGCATTATGGATAGCCATTTGCAGAAAGTAAAACATGATTTTCTTTGTCCATTTGTGACATTTCCGTGTGAAATGATAATATTTGACCATTTGGTCGAAGTGATCAACACCTTTCATGTGGTTATTGTAGTCACAGATTGCCTTTGGTTTCTTCACAGTTACCTGTTGCAATGAAGATATTCCGTCAGGTTTGCGTACTCGTTTCCTTTGTTTCACGTATTATGTATCTGCATTGTTGCAAGTTGTGATGAGTGAAACAACTCGCTTATCTTTCCACAGAGTTATAAAAGTATTGTCCTTCTTTCTGAATACAGTTTTATCTACTGGTAGATAATTTATCTTTGTTTTATTTTTGCTGTACTTTTGGAGAACACTACAGTACTTAGCTTCTCCCTCTGATGTGTTCCTTTCACTGTTTTTGTCCTGGAATGACTCTGTTTGTGATCACTATCCATCTTGGAGTAAATGTCGAGTGTTTATAAAGGCAGTAACAGATATAGCTGACGAAAAACGAGGGGAGGCCGCAGCGGTCACGAGAGTAGACACGATAACAATGGGCCTACCATGTGGGAGGCGGTGCTGTGATGCCACATGGGCCATCACAGAAAATGGGAAGATGTTGGCGCACAGTTTAAAATATGTCCCATAATGATTGGAAAAAAATTGAATTTTAACAAATACGGTACAGTATCTTAATTTTGGACACAAAATGTGTGTCCGACGGACATCCATAAATCTTCATTTTGATTTTTCTTAAACTTAAAATAATTTTAGCATATCTTTACACAAATGTATAGAAGCAAGCTTGCACACATTGGTGGTGGATTTTTTTTTTTTCCTGGGAGATTTTTGTTGGTGCTAATCTTCCCAGCTTGGTGCCTTCTTTTGATTATTACTTACACTGATGTGGCTGGTATGAAGTGGACCACACTGATGTGGCTGGTGTGAAGTGGACCACACTGATGGGGCTGGTATGAAGTAGGCCACACTGATGTGGCTGGTGTACATCAGGCCCCACTGATGTGGATGATGTGAAGTGGGCCACATTGATGTTGATATGATTAATGACATGACTTATCTAATATTTATTAGTTGACCTAATTTCAAAGCATTTAATCAGGTATACCACCCCAACATTGACCTGGAGGGAAACGTCTGCCTTAACATTCTACGCGAGGACTGGAAACCTGTCCTAACCATCAACTCTATAGTCTATGGGCTTCAGTATCTTTTCCTTGTTAGTATTTGTTTATTTTTTAATATTTCAATCTTTACACTTTTTTTTATCATGGATATTTAACCAGTGGAATATATAATGTAATGCTGATTGAATTACACTTAATGCTTAGGAATTATAATTTTAATATTAAATAAGTGAAAGGTTTAAATATAAAATACCCTTCTTTTGCAGGAACCAAATCCTGAGGACCCATTGAACAAGGAGGCAGCAGAAGTGTTACAGAATAACCGACGGTTATTTGAACAGAATGTGGTTAAGAGTATGAAGGGTGGCTACATTGGCAATGTTTACTTTGATCGCTGTCTAAAATGATTCCAGGCATATGGCTCCAGAGCTCACATCATCTGAATGGGTGTCCGGAGTGAGTTTAGTTTGGAGTTGAATCAAGTTCGTGGCTTTTATACACACTACTTAGTAATCAGCTTGCGGGGGATGCTTCCCATTTTTTTTTTTGTCATAATATTTATTTCCTAGCTATAACCCAGATTTGATGAAATTATAATAAGGAAAAGCTCAAATGAAGTGTACATTAATATTCACTCCACTACTTTACCTTCATATCTTTCCCCATCCTAATACAGTACTGTATATGCCTTTTGAATCTTACTTTTTTTCTAAATCAGGAAGTTGCCCCAAAAAGGTTACTTGTGATTCTCCTCCCCAGCGTGTGTAGCTGAGGTCTGTAAGGCCTGGTCTTACCTTGCCGTGTATGTCATATGTCTGTTTTTGTTAGAACCACAATGAGCTTTATCAGTGTTGATATGCTATGTGACCAGCCTTAGTAATATTACTCTTCTGGCAATAGTAATATTGCCAGAAGTCGTATTCTCTTAAAGAGGCTGTACGCTGCTGATAGCATTTACTTTAAAGATCTAGTATTAAAGGTGACCTCTAGCGGTCTGATGAAAATAGCTAAGTGGTCTAGTAACATATCAATGGCACCAATACCAATCATATCCTCCACTACATAAATTTTGCTGCTATGCAATACCTGTACTGTAATATGAAAAAATTCAGATGTGTATATTATTGATATTTTCTATTTTTCTTGTTAATAATCCAATATGTGATCTCCATAATATCTGTTTTTTCCAGTTTAGTGCTCAAACATTGATAATTGATTGCTTAGAAGATATTGAAGAGCCAATTATTGATGTATAGTTTATGATTGAGGACATGTCTACAGATCAAAACAAAATGCCTGTAATTGGAAAACCATTTGATCTTGCCAGTATGAGTTGTCAATGAATGCTAGCAGCAATAGAGGTAATCATTGTTGTTATAAAATTATAAGTTGACAATTGCTTATCAATCCGAAACTTTATCATTGGTAGATCAGAGTATTACTTGAGGATCTGATATTGGTAATGGCTCAACTTTCAGATTATGAAGACTAGCAATAACACTGGCCGAACATTGTTGTTCATGGTTGTGGTATATTAGGTTAACAGTGTTTAGAAACCTGAGTATCTTGTAATGAAATTAAATTCAGCATGGGTTTCACAGTATGGCCACACTGTTACTATGTTATCCAGAATATAGTTGTCACTTTTTTTTTATATAATATTTTATTTATCCATACAAGCAAAAAGTTACTTGAAATAAGTTGAAGTTGCCATCAAACATTTTTTATGCAAATGCTCTCAAAGGAAAAATAACTTTTAAAATTGGATTTTGGGTGATATTTAACTAGGTTTATTTTGGTTTTAGACTAGTGTGAATAGATTCTGTACTTCCAGTTTTGTGGTGAAAGAATTATGTGCATGGCAAAAAATTAAATGTTTAAATATGGTAAATCAGGTCCTGGATAGTAAAGGTTATAAAAGGGTATATAAAGGTTAGGTCAACACATGAAATACAAGTACTGTACCACCAGTGTTGACAGTATCAGTGACGGCAGCGGACAACCCGGAGCCACTGCAAATCGTTGTTGCAGGGACTTTATCCAAGATTATTATCGTCCAAGAATTTACCCCATTTACTTTTAAGATTTAAGATATTTTGATACCTCTTATCACATGGTTTTTTGGATAGTATTTATATAATAGTTTGACTGAAACAAAAGTGTAACTGTTGTCTGTTGCATTCAGCATTTTATCCAGCAGTATGTGGTCTTGCACCCTTACAAGTGCTACATTATTTCACAACTTTTGAATGTTGAGAGAAGAGGGAAAAAAATTGATGAATTATGTTGCTACTTTGAATTTTATTTTTGAAAACAGCAACTTGTTTATTTGTAATACACAAAATATTTGATGTACCATTGTATATATATATATGCTGAAATGTAAATTTTTTTTATATTTAGTACATAATACCAGACCCTTTATTTTCTTGCATCTGAATGTTTCCACCCATTTTCCTTTTGTTGAAGTATGCTACATCATGAATTTAGGGATATATTCTAAAACATATTTGTGACCGCAAAAATATACATGCAGAAATGTGCTTTTGCAAGCAAAATTACTAGAATAAAATTCAGCATTACCTATTTTTGTGCGAGATTATTGCCCATAGTGCTGGAATTTAAAAAAATTCTGAAATTTATGTTATAGAACAAAATATTGAAACAAATGGCTGAATAATACTGGAATTAGAGCAGACATAGTGGCCAAATCCAACATAATTGCTGAGAACTGGTACAGTAGGCAACATTTCAGAAAATAAAACCAGAGCTTGTTAGAGACTGTACCTCATACTGCAACAGTTTTGCTTCGTAGGTTCCTTTGAACATTTTCTAACTGAATATTGATGGAAGTTAAAATAATAATACTGGTAGGAGACTTAGTAAGCATGTTTCATAAGAAGGTAAGGGATGTGGAGGACCAAAAGTGGAGATGTAATTAATATACTGTAGTACTTTTATGAACAAGAGAATGTATAGGACAAAAATATAAATGAACTAAATATGTAGGATAAAGATAACTATTTACTACACACAGAAATCACGACATGGTATACCATGTCGTGGCACAGTCGATTAAGGCGCGTCTAGGATCTTCTTGGATGTATGTTCGAGCCCTCATCACGGCCCTTGTGGATTTGTTTAGTATTTACTCTAGGGTGAGAATGAACACAGAGAAAAGACAGAACTCGTACAGTATATAGCACTTGATAAATAGGGAAAGTGTGAAGGATTTGTAGTGATGTTGTTCTTAGTTGGTATATGTTCTTTGGATATAATAAATAAGTCCCAGCATGTAATCTTTGTATTTAAGCTCCGAAGGATAAAGGAATCACTATATAACTGTAACTGCAAAAATGCAATGAATTTAAACATGTGGATAGCAGGATAGTGGATGTAGATTGGTTCATGAGTAAATTAGGGGTTTAGTAAGGGAGAAAGAAAACTGAAATATTTCTGGAAATTAATTGTTGGGCAAACCTAATTTTTAGATTTACAGATATGAAACTAGAAAGTATCCAGCTATTCTAGTATAATTGGGTGCCTTTGTTCAGATTTAGCTGCTGCTTTGTGATTAGGATGAGGCCCTTTGCTCAGTTAGTATTTATCTCTATGACAGTTGGAATTTTGTTGGGTAGGGAAGCTAGGCCCAGTGGGCTTACCTCACTAAATCTTATCTCTCACCTTAATCACCCTAGATAACTGAAAAATGTAATGCCAACATTGTCTATTCAGTGATAGCTTCACCACATACCATCGAATCTACTAAAATATACATTATAGCATAGACCTTAGTATCTACTCAAATTGCTAGCCCAAAAGTCACATGGATGGTTAAAGATGAACTTCATGGAGGTGATCACTTTTCCATAAACTGCACATAGAATTCATTCAAAGTGTACTCATGCCCACTATCATACATATAGAATTATTGTATATCTGGAAAACCAAACAAAATCTTTATTACCCACAATTCCTTTCTGGGATATGAAACCTGCCATACCATACTCAGGGAATCGGACTCATGGAACATGAATTAATAGGTTAGCTTATCAAACGCCATAAGCCAAGCATAAACGAATATTAAAAAAAAAAAAGAGAACTTTGTAAAAAGTGTTAAAAGTATTAAGACAAATTTCACTAACTAAAGCATGGAATCTAATGTTGTATTAGCATCCTGTATACAGTATCCTTGAAATTCTGAATATTCTGTGCCATACTGTATTTTAGCCACTATAAGAAAAGTACTAAAGTTTGAAGAATGGATGGAGTTTAGCTCAACATTTTGAAGGAGCTTGCTGATGAATTTTTTGTTTCTAACAACTATGGAAAAATCCCTTTTCCAAGGAAAATTGCTCTTGAGATTGACAGTATGCTAATATAGTTATCTTTAAGAAAGAAAATTACAGAACAATCTTTCTAACCTCTCATCTGCAAGCACTCAGAGTGGAGAATCCTGAGAGGAAGAAATTATCTGCCATGTTGAAGTACAATTTTGCAAAAACATCAAAATTGTTTTGTCAAATCTGTTTAACACCTGCTCACATGTGTGGAAACAGTAGCCAACTGTGCAGACCAAGTTAATTCCCAGTAGGGTGTACATACATTTCACAAAGGCTTTTGATAAAGTACCACACAAAATACTGTCCTAGAAATTACATTCATGGAATTAATAGTAAAATACTGAAATGTATACGACAATGACCAAAACATGTAGAACAGAATTGTCCTGAGTGGAATAAAATCTGATTGGAGAAATATTTGGAAATAATTCCTTCAACCTGATGCCTCTGTCTAGCAGCAAGTAGGTACCAGGGAGGTAGGCAATTGTTAGGGGGGGTTGTATCCTGGAAAAGGTTGGTATTTGGCCTAGTGGGGCTCTTGATTAGGTTAACAGGGTGCCTGTTCTCAACAGTGGGAAATCATAGGCATCAATGTAGATGATGTTACAAATCACATCATAAAACTCTTGGACGATAAAAAGATGATGGGAATGCATATATGAAAAATGATATTACAGCCTTGCAAAAAATATACCAGTACACAAACTTAAGTCAAATAACTGGTAAACATTTTACTATTGAAAAAGACCTCGCATGTAGGACAACAGTGTCACAGCTACCTTAGTGACAGCACAGCTTTGCAGTATATAAAAAAAGAGGATTTAAGACTTGGTCTCTTGGGCTGAAAATTTTTTAGCAAGCTAGAGATGCTTTAAACATAATTACGAACGAAACTAGGGATAACCAAACGAAATTTTTTGACTTCATGGAAATGAGTGATTATCCAACTACAAATCTCTCTTTGAACCCCCCCCCCCTCACCACCGCCTGGGCTACTGTTTGAACAGCCCGCCTTCGTGAGCTGCCAATATGGACAAAATGAGGTCTACTAAAATGCGTAAACATACCAGACAGATTTAACATAACGAATCCACGCATGGAAAACGTGGTTTTGTCGGAATGCGTGCGATGAATTATTTTAGAGGAGCAGTTTGTATACAAGTATGGAGACCTTACCTAAAGAGATATATTGAACAGGGAAATGCAAAGCGCAAATATATGAAAATCATCCTAGAATTAGGTTAATTAATTAATTCACATATTGTACCAGGAAGGGCTGCAAGCGAGCCTCATCAATTAACAAGACACGACGAGGCTTTTAAAATACTAACCAAGTTCCAAGACTTGGAACTTGGAACATCCAGACCACATCCTTTGATAGGTCCAACGTATACACCCAAAAGAGGTAAATAGCTTCGAGCTCATGCCTCAGTGTAGAACTGAGCATGAAATCTCGCCCGCATAATTATAAAAATAATTCATTTTGTCGGGAACAGGAAGCCAGTGTATATACACGTTAGGCTTACATCGAGGGCCTCCCCAAAGGTCAAACTACTGACCCTTCCCAGGATGCAGTCCCACGAGAAGCTAACTCCTGGGTACCTATTTACTGTTAGGTGAACAGGAGTATTAGGTGATAGGAAAGGAAGGGAACTATCAGGAGAATGCACCAAGCCATTACGACTATAAAGCACTTGGAAATAACCAGAATAAAGATTCGGGATGGGATAGAGAGAAGGGATGGTGCCTAACCGCTTGGACGGTCGGGAATTGATTGCCGAACTGCATGACCATGAAGCAAGATCGTCGCTCGACCGTCCAGCCCAAGTGATTGGCTGAACCAAGGAAATGCGCCCAACCATCTGTCCCGCCCGGGATTCGAACCCGGAATTCCTGATTGTGAGTGGAAAACGAACCCAACTGTATTACCGGGACCCTCATAAGCCGTTTATACCAAGATTGTCACAGCTCGAAATACAGCTGAAAAATTCCCTAGGAAGAATGGATCGAGGAACCTTCCGCAAGCCAGCGCGGCTTCCTACCATCACCGAGATCAGTGACACTTGCCGGAAACGCTGTGTTTATTAGTGGCTTTAGGTATTGTATGTACTAGTTCTATATATAAATCCAACATTACGTTTGTAACTCATCTTCTATGTATGTACATTTACCTGAATAAAAATTTTAATTTTGAATTGAAATAAGTTTATTGAGGTAAAATACACACAAAGGGATGAGATAGCTCAAGCTATTCTCACCCCGTAATTTTGAATTTGAATTTGACAATTTAGAACGTCGAACAAGACATATGGGATGAGCTGTGGGAGCGAGAGCTCGTACCCTGTGAACAAAGACAACAGCTAGGAGACTACTCTTCAAAAAATTTATAAGTTGCCTTCAGTTATATTCAGATAATATACTTTATATTCAGAAGTTTAATATAGCCTTTTATAACCATTTCATATCTACCTATACAATAAACTCCAGGCTAATACACTATAAAAACAGTAAATGAGACAACATTCTTCAACCATTACCTCTTCCCTTTATAGTCCCATTAGAAAATTTCAAATAACAGCATGGCAAAAATATAAAAATTTAACTTCAGTCACAGTCCACAGCTCAAATTCAATTTGCTGAACACACTTCCGTACACAGGCACTATACAAATCTATACACTGACGTGGCAAAATTAGTTGTATAGTGTGCTGTTGTTGTTGTTAAAGATTCGCTACCTGGAACAAAAAGTTTCAAGTAGCACGGGCTATGGTGAGCCCGTTGTGGACTTACTGGCACAGGAGCAAGGCTGTAACTACCACCAGTCGTATATAGTGATGATTGATTGATGAAGGTTAAGCCACCCAAGAGGTGGCACGGGCATGAATAGCCCGTGAGCATATAGTGTAGTTCCAGACGTAACTTATAGTCACCACTCCGCTGTCTAGTTTGTCTTGTTGCTAGGTAGCAGGAACTAAATGGTAAATCTATGCATCAGGATTATCTATACACTTTACTGTAAATAAAATATGATCATTCAGTCCTGGAATGACATTCGTTCTTGCAATATAATATATAAATTCAACTATTTTTGCTCCCAATTGAAGTGTTTGACTCATTGTTAAATGATATATATGTGAATAAAGTTCCTGCTATCGAGTTTTATAAGGTTCAGTCTTATTTTCATAGCTTATAACGTAGCATAATATCAATTTGCTGTTGTATTGTACTCATATACATATACAGTT